TGGGAAATTAATACGCGATTGCGGTATAGCTATAAATATGAATTACTTACAAAATAGAGAATTATACTTATAGTAACAGAATACACATAAATACCTTCATTAATATATAATATCACATTTTAAACATTTCCATCTTTACTACAACATTTTAGTTTATTTATGAAAAGAGGAAACTTCGCTTCATATGAAATAATTTATTTTCTGAATACTGTCAGTTAGGTTTCAACAGCATTAAAAATATGTCCATTTATTCAGCATGCTATATAGACGTGCATATTTAATCATTCTTTATTATATTCATGCAGTACAGACTGTTCCAATAAAGTAGTAATGATAGCATTAAAATATCAATTATTTATACATTTCAAAATGAACATTCCATTAAAATTTCTTTATAATTACTGGTACAGATAACTATTAAAGGGAACGCGTAGCATTTGTACACTGCATTCATGAGAATTATATTAATGAAATTTCATAATTAATTAAAATATTCAGTGCTTTTAAAGTAAGCTTGACAGTGTATTATTATGTTTTAGTCTTATGTTTAAAAATCATATACTATAGTGTAGCGAAGTAGACATTATATACATTTCTCTTATAACTATACTTATATCACTGAGGTTCTTATGATTAATTTATAATTTTTGCTCTCGGTTGCCCTTTATTTAATTCATATCATTTCTTCTAAAATGTGGATGAGAATTGACATAAAATCACTCGTCCCAAATAAACTGTCGCTGTCGTCATACAATGCATATTGCTCGAATACGCTGCCTATGAACTCTCAAATCTTTCTCAACCTCTACAGAACTTCCCCAAAGTACTAGAACATAATTTAAAACTCCAGACATATCCATGGTGTGTTGTCAGGTCATAAAAAAAACTCAAAATTAGCATTGTAACTATAGAACAGTTTGGATCCCTTATGCATGTTATTTTTTATCACTAATCCTACTGTCCAGTTCAACTAGCTACTTTAGTTTAGTTTATCCGACAAGAAACTCAACTAGTATATACAATAAAGTAATATAGTATTAAAAAATATGTGGTATATGTACATATGTACATAATATATTTGAAATACTGAAAATTATGAATTCATTAAAATGTAGCTCCAAAATATCTTTTGGTGTTGTAGAATGAAATATCCCATTCGGTATACACGTGAAGTAGTTAACATTTGGGAAATTATTTGAGAATGTTTTAACCGTCACCACGGTAGCGGAAAGGCAGTAGAATTGTTGTAGAAGATTTCACACGCTCCGCTACGCAGTTACGTTCCTAGGTGACACCTACGTCATCTTTGTGTACATAGTTTAATAGCAATACCACAAACTTTACACTGGTCTACAATTATATTACATAGTGAGTGTGTGGGAACACTCACAATATGGCGAACCCTTTGTGCAATATACACGTGGTAATGGTATCCTCACGGCAAATAATTTGGAAACTTGCATATGAGAACTGTCACTAAATGCGGCTGAAGTAAGTTTTCGGTACATAGGTACCGTGAGAGAGATTTAGTTTGCCGCTTGAGAACTGCCGCGTTTAGTGATCTATAGAGATCGTCAGCTTTATATAATTAGACTACAATAGAGAGTAAAATACATAAATACAAAGGCAATATAATGTTTGCAGTTTATATACATATATATATATTTGTCTTTACAACACGTGTGTTTACATTTTTTTAATTAGAATTTTCAGTCTAATGTACACAGTTATAAAGCAGAGTTATACGCACTAACCAACTATGTATTATCTAATAATTTATTATTATTAAATTCCAATTAAAGTCTTTTTAAGTTCTTATCAATCTGAGTCGGACACACTTTTATTACAAGAAACTCCTTACAAGAAAGAATAACTAATGTTCATCACTTTTTCAGTAAAACATCACACCGTTTTTACACTAAAGAATCAATTTTACTACAAATTTAATAGGCCCTAATTTGAAAATTAACTAACCACACCAATTATGCACCTAACACACATGTGGTTTAACGCAACGGGTTTATCAAATTTTCTGTGGTAATGTCATAATGCAGTCGGCAATACTAATAAGACAGTACAATTCAATATCACCTATATTAATTGTATGTGTATAACGTTATTATTTTAATATCATTGTAGCCCAGTATAGCACTAAGCAACAAAGGGCTGTGAGAATTAAATATTATAATATTACTAGCAATGCCCGCGATTTTGTACATCGTAGGCGTGGTATTTACACCTGTCTAGAATGAGTATAAACAATTTTATAGTTTTGTCCCGCATTTTTTCCGATACGTTAAAGGTTAAGCTACTGATAATTACTTCAAATTAGAGATCATAATATTCATGTAATATTATTTTATGTATATTGGTTATTAATAAATTTATTACATACACAATACATGTCACAAGATCCAAATTCAAAACTGCCATTTGTCATAATGTCAAATACAATTACTTGCGTGTCTGGTTAATTCATATTACTTGCAGGGTTGCCGTAATAATATTTTCTAGTATCTTTTATTCCTTAATATCTCCCGATGAGAGAGCCTGGAAAGTCGCCTGCTACTAGTATTAACTCTCGAGATGCTCTAAAGGAAATCGTGTAACGTCTAATTGCTCCTCTATAAAGTAAAGATATTAGTTTTAACTTTGTAAGGTTTTATTATATGACGACCACTAGCTGTAGACCTCTTTCGCGTGTCACACAATAAATAATTTTACTTATTTCGTTCCTCGTAACGTAATTTATATCTGTATTTTTTATATAATTTGCTTGGCAAACTGTGCGGCTACCCAGCTGATAAGAAGTCTATACTAATCATCTTAATAATATAAAGAGGAAAGATTTCATTGTTTGTTTGCATTGAACAGCCTCTAAACTATTGGATAGATTTGAAAAATTCTTCCTAAAATATAATTCCTGATTAATATAGATGATAGAATACTTTCAAAAACGTTAAGGTTCGTGTTTAAATTTCGAAAATGTACATGTGAAAATAAACGCAGCATGTGAAAAAAATACGAAAAAAACCTTTATCGCGTACTCTGAGGAGATTATTCGCACAAAAGCAAATTACAGCTTTATAGAGCATAGCAATCTCTAAATGTGTTTATTTATAAGATCAACTAAACAGACAGACAAAAAATATTATTTCACAGTCTTGCTAATCTCTGAAACAGGTGCACCGATGTTGACGGGACTTTCGCTAGCTAATGTTTATTCTAGAAATTTTAATTCTTTTACTAAAAGTAAGTTAAATTCTACGCCAACGAAGTCGCGGATAACAGAAAATAGTCGCTAGCATAACATATAATAAATTTGCAAATGATCGCTGGGCATATTGAAAAAAGAAACTACTACTGGAACACTTATCGAAAAACGATTTTTATTTTTAAAAATCGTAATTATTTGAGTATGTGTACGCTAATCTCGGAAATGGCTTAACTGATTTGTATGCAGTGTTGACTTTTTCATTATTCTAAACTGTTTGAAAACAAAGTTACAAATCACGAATACGGAGGCCTAAGCCTTAGATAAAATTTACGGCATAAGTTACCTGTACAGTGTGCACAGAACTTTGCATAGGACTACATTAAATTAATTAATATTAGAAGCGCAAATTTAGTAGTCGCATGAATAATCGCAAATTATAGGAGTATCTATTTAATCTATTTGCAAAAGCATAGGACCGATTTATATCCGAGCTTGAGTCGACTCAGGCGACGCTATCGCTGAACGTTTACAATAAGTTTACGCCTCAACGCCTGCGCCTCCCAATCGTACTCTACTCGAGCGACTATTAAAAAATATAAATTAATATTTCAATTTAAATTTGATATCCTAAAGTGAGAATTAGCTTTTATAAATTATTGTTTTTATATTCATTACTAGTTGACACGGCAAACGTTGTTTTGCTAATGCTAATGTTGATAATTTAGAGTTGTGTATATTTTTAATGCTGAAATATAAAAAAAAATCTAAATAATGTTGTCCAAAACTATAAAATAATCATTTACGGTTGGACCATCCTTATCACTTAGTGGTATAAAAATAGTTTACATCCTGAGTATACACAGAAAATTTTAAAGTGGATTTTTACTTGGAATTGAAAGTCCTTTTACTCTACCTAAAGGTTACTATAGTGGGACACTCCCGACGCCTATGTTGTACTTAATTAATATTATTTCACTCGTCCCCATTACTGACAATTCCCTCTCCCACTAAATTTTTGTTTAAGGTTTATATAAATTACCGCAATATGCGTTATAGTGTCTGTTATACAGTAAAGAGCGCTGGAAAGTCTTTTAAGCTACATAATATAAGATCTTTAAATAATAAAAGTTACTTACGTTGCAATCAACTACTTTTATAGCAGTATAAAGTTAACTATTTATATATAATATAGTATAACATAATAGAATTAACTTTGACTAATAAATTTCGCTGAATCAAATCTCAGCAGGACTTATAAGTATTTATAACTTTATTAATATTATATAAATATATACATACATAAAATCTACGAAATAAATAAAATCAATGAAAAACCGCAAAAAGGAAGTTCAAGTTGGTCGGTAAGTAGGTATTACAATGTCTCGACGCTCTCCCACATTATTCCTGTCTCGCGTGTCTGTTATTATGTCAAAAACGATGTAAAAATGGTCACGACTTGGAAACGTACACGATTTTGTATTTGTAAGTACTGATATTATCATTACAATTCACTACAAACTATTTAGAATGATTGGATGATTTTATTTAAGTATCCTAAGAAATACGAGTATACCGTATCGCTTCATTTATCCTTATTTTCTGCGTGCAGCTAAAATCGTCCAGTTTTAGGTGCTCGCAAAATTTTATTTTTGACCAGTAAAGGGAATCTGTACTTGCCGCCAAGCAGTTAGCTTTACAAACTATATACCAGTTTGAAAGTTGAGATGTGGATATGATGCAAAAGATTCTTGTGATAAAGTAACATTATACGAATTGTCAACAGGTTCAGAGAAGGGTCGGGGCACACTGGACGCGCTGCTGTGCACCACATACTGTAGATCGCAGTTGTACCTCTCCCGGCAACTGTCCCAACTGCACCCCGAACTCACTATGCCGATGTTCTCAGGTAAGCTCCCCGATGCATTCATAAGCACGTACGATAAACACAATAACATACGATAATGACAATACAATTCCCAAACTAGTGTTTTCACAGTTAATTATTTACCTACACTCGTATTTAGGTTTCCGGTATAAATGCGTTAACGATGTATGCAGTGAATTAACCTGAATTAAATTATGCGCTGTCAGCACTATATTGCAAAACTAAAATTAATTTCGCTCATTATATAAAATTATTTTTACATATTTCCGAGAATGCTGCTGCTCAACATATATATATCTTAACCATCCTATAAATTTTGTACCGGGAGGAAATTAGTCACTATAATCTGTTTCAGGCCTGCAGATCACTATAACTTATGTGAGGTATCCTTTAGAAGGTATTCGTTACTGCGTTTCAACTCTTTTTTATTGTTCATTATCGCAGTACTCTCAGTAATCTCCGACTGTAGTGAAAAATTTAAAATGATCCTAAATAATTATGGTTAATACAGTTTACAGTTTTTATGAAATTGTCATAAGCTCTCTAGAACCAAATTTAGTTCATACACATATGTGTATTAGCAGATTACATTTTTTCATTAGAACCTGAATGAATGTATACTGGCAGCTTACCAGTTTTTTTGTCTTTATATATCTACTACCCATTTTTTCGGATCTAATTAAAACTCCATAACCTGTGTAAAATCTGCCTGTAATGAACGTCGTGTCTGCAACAGTTCAACTTTGTTTGCTAAGCCGCAAATTCACCCCCGTGACTCGGCTTAACTTTATTTGCAGGAAGTATTATAGCCATGAGTAATGTTTACCGTAATACGATCCATATCCACTGCATCTGTTACACTGAGTACACTCCAATGTTGACACAGATCACGTATATACTCGTATTATCCCTCGTAATTGGAAAGTGAGGATGTTTTCAAATAAGTTACAATTTTGTCCAAGTAAAAAACGTTTCGCTTTAACGGTAATCGCTTTGCCATTATTAAAATTAGCTGTTACTTAGCATTTTTTTATATTCTACTGGATTGACAGATAAACTCGTATGTTGGTAATTGGCAATCCTACAACAGAATCACATCTGAAAAGCTTGCAAGCTACAATTGTTCAGACAGAGATAACCACGCAGTCGCCTCCTATATAACCTACCTCGTTCAAACTACAACTGTATAACGTTTACTAAGTAGTAATATTAAATATTTGAATACGTAGCGGTTCCCCTTTTAATGGTTGGTTACCTGTGCAAATAACAATTATTACTAAATAAAATTCAATTCACAATATTATTTCTTCTTCATTTGTATTGTTCAGATGACTAGAGTATTCGTCTGTTACTGTATATTGATTTGATCCAAAAATGTTGAAAGTTCAAGTGAAGTGAACATCTAACGCTGTTGCATTTGTTGTTGATTTTAAACAGATTTAATTTAAAAACATATGACTGTGTAAATGTAATGACAATCAAAGATTATTTTGGCGCGCACATATCTTAGCATGACAATGTCACGTGCCATAGATCGAAAGGTGGTTACTTCAAATCTGTCAGCTACCTATAAACTTTCGGCGTCAAATATTTCTGAGTTTCAATAACAAGCCTCTCAGCTATAGGTTCAGGAGTAGACTTACCAGCCTAAAATTAGAATTTATATTTTATTTATTTGCTTCTCATATGCTAAGTCATAGATGTTATGTAAAATAAATAGCTACATAAAACATGTGTTACTCTGTAGACGCACTGCAATCAAATTATTATAACTACACTTGCATTGTAATCATTTAAAATTAAAAACTACACAGAATTAATTGGTAATACGGTTGCTATTAAACATAATTAATTTCTTGCCATGTATCATATTATATATATTCCCAGTGATTTGTGGGCTTGTCTAGTAGTTCTTTCGCCTCCCGTTTTAAAGTTGATAATTCTTTGTCCATCCATATTTTTGTATTTATTAGTAGAGGCTTTCGTTTTTAAGAATAAGAACAACTTCAGAAAAACGCGACATCAAACGCATTCATCAATTACTCGCATCAAATTTATATGTACAGCGTGAGTGATGAATTTTCATATTAAAAAATAATTATCAAATCAATTTAAAGTTCTTTGGTAAAAAAACAAAAATATGTATTTCGAATTGAGTATTCCCTCGTTTCAATGAGCCCCTTTTCTATGAACTCCGTCTGCAAAGCTTTTATCAACCTACACAATTTAATTTTCTTACAACCGTATAAAAATATTTAAAATAAGTAGCAAGCAAACGTTTACTTTGATGGTTTACTGTTATACTTAATTAAAAGTTATTGACTCGCGCTGCCAATGTCGCAATGCTAAATTGTATTTGCGTTTAATCATTTAATTTAAAATCAGCGTTATTACTCTTATAGTATACAAGATAATGTGTACATATGATGATATATGTAATGATTTATTACTTCTACATAAAACACATCTTTGTTTGTTAGACTGTAGGTATTAATTACTATAATGTACTCAGTACGTACGTACTGAGTATAAAGACTATATATATATATATATATATATATATTTGTTTGTATGTACTCAAATATAAAAAAATATTAAATTTTCAATATTTCTTACATATTTAAAATCACACTAGCCAGTAATAATAGTACCCTTGTAAAACTGGGCGACTCGATAGTTTTATATCAATATACGTTTGCATTAAGCATTTAATCACATAGTTACGGCAGCCAGCCATGCATACACCAGATGTTGAGTGCCTGCAAACGTCAGTCAGGCAGCGGTCTACCGCAATATCACATGCCAGCACATGTGTACAGGCATCTACAGATAAGGTAATACACATAACACCAAAAGTGATAAAGCAAATGAAATAATTGCGAACTTATCTCACTTCAAGAAGAGCCGAACCTCAAGTCAAGAACCGAACACCGACAGAGCATGCAGAGCCTAATACAAGGCTCTGCATGCTCTGTCGGTACATCGGGACATACTTCTAAATGCATTACAACAGCTCACATAACTACATAACTACATAACGGTATTGTAGAATACAAGTGGGGCTGAATAGTGCGGCTCTGTCCTAACTACCGACCTGAGTAGAAACAAACACCCAGACGTCGAACGATCGAACCCCCAGAACAGTACCGTCGAATTCCAAACTAAGCAGAGCTTGTACGTTTAATTATTTTAATGTTACCATATAATATACGTTGATGTGTGTGTATATATGTAAAAATAAATGCATATATGTGTACATATTTATATGTAGATATAATAGCAAATTGTTATAAATAAAAGGAGAGTTTACTCGGCCCTTATGGCCGATAGAGATCAGTGGAATGACATACCGCGCCGACTCCAAATAATGGGATAAAAGCAAGACAGTGATGATGATGATAGTGATAATAATAAACAAATACAGTAATAGAAAAATACAATAATAATGAACTTGCAAGTAGAAATACGTAGAAATTAATCCAGCCTGTTACAAACTCAAGTACTTATAACAATGACACTTAAAAAATATATCTGTTTACAACTGTTTGGAATGCAACTGATATTTAATCAGAACAATATAAGTACTGAATAACTGCCATAAACAGTTACATATAACAACCAAATCAACTTGAACTATTAGAAACCATTTTCATGTATATGTTAATTATACCTTGCATCAAATATACCACCATCGAAAGGGGTGATAATACCACAGTAGCCGTATTTATAAAATAATATTTACCTACGTTCAGATTAAAAGTAGGAGAACTATACTCAAACATTATTCTATTCCATATGTCATATATAATTCAGTTATCTACTCAAAATACGCATTACGTAACTACAAGTAGAAATATCTATCTTTTAAGAATTTTTTGCATAAAATATAATAATAATTATTATTATTTATTCCAAAACAAATGTAACACAGAAATGTCTGACAACATTTAACCGCGCTCTACAACCTTTTGTAATAATATTGATTTAGTTGTGAATGACTTTAACATTGGTACAATTCAAGATGTAATAAATAACATGGCCCTTACAAAATCTTGACGTTATATCTTACGTTACGCATGTCTATCTATCTATAATACACATATCATAAGAGTCTGTGATAGACTTACATGAATAAAGATATTTTGATTTAATTTGAATAATAATAATATTTATTTATTTAAAAACAATAATTTACATTATACACAATCATTGCAGACTTAGACCGGTACGATACAATATGGTACCGGTACAATACGGTATGTCAATTAACCAAAATTATCAGTGGTGTACATTTACAACAGTCTGCACTAAGCATAGCTTGTATCACATGGGCCAGGCTATGTTTTACCTATTAGATTGCTATTTTAAGGTAGTCGTTTCTGATACCGTAGACAGAATTTACATTTTCACTTACCTGATATATTTAAAATTTGGCTGTAAAATATTCATATATGTCTGTGTATATTTAAAGCCCTGAAACTCAAATCCCCGTGTTATAATTACAATGAAGGACAGTCATACTATTTTTTATAAACTCTAGCCACACAGACTTAGCACAGACCAAGGAAAAAGTGAGACCAAATCTTTACAGGTTGTATGTAAAAGTTTTCTTTAAGCCGCCTTAAGTTGATATAAGGGCGTCTTTTGTTAAGGATAATGTAACGTTTTAGGACGTTACAAATATTAGAAAATTTATTTATCTTATTTACGAAACATGTATAAAACCAAATGGAAAATATAATTAAATAATGTGTTACATTAGTTAAAGAAGAAACAAATTGGAAACTAGTACCCCCTTAAATATGTTGAGTTCAACTAGATAGAACTACACCGATCACATGTTTAAAGTTGTTCGCGTATGCTTAATTAGAATAATAGTAAAATAGCTTATTCAAGAGAAGAGGAGATAAAATTTAGATAGTAATAAGATAGGTGGATTAGTAAGTTGGGATTTATGAAATGTCCAGTGCATGTAAAGTTTTTGGAAGTAAAACAAATTCATAAGTAAAATATTCACTACACCAGTTCCGTACAAGTTCTGTTTGAAATGTTTATCTCTCAGATAACTTCTTAGATAGTTTTATGTCTAGTATAGTTTACGACCGCATATTATTTACGTTCATACCATTCGACATAAATACATATTATGTATGTCGAGCCAGTGCAACGTTTTCTTTTGATTTGAGAAAACCCTGCCCTTACTAGTTCTGGCATTAATAAAATGTGTAATTATTTTCTAAAATAAATCCAAATGCTTACGAAACTATAAAAGTATTTTTCAATCAAAATCCCCATTATCGTTTTTTATTCTACAATCGCGTTCATAAATTGTATTCGCACGGAAAGAGCAAATAAATCAGATTTGAATCTTTTCAAATAACTTAGTGCAGGTAAATATTCGTAAGTCTAAGTCTGTAAATCAACCAACGGCACCTTTGTAGAAGCTTCAGTGTAATTGAAATAGCAGCTGCTAATATTGATCGTAGCAGTTGTACACAGAAACTTAAAACCAAATAATAACTACGATCAAACAAATTGAATTCTGTTGTTGTAACTAATAAAGATTACGTCTGTAAGTTAACGACCAACAGGCGATCAAAAATATGTATATAGAAATATTTTGCCAAAGTATCCTTTTTAAAGAATTTGATTTTATTTCTATATCGGAGCTAAAAGAAATTCAATTAAATCAAAATATAATATAATAATGATCATGAACAATAGACACAACATAATAGGCAACTAATACAAATATTTAAAGACATTTTTTTTAATAATGCACATATCAAAAACTCAGAACTATACAAACAAGCATACTTATACAAATCTTTGCATAGAGGAATGAAATCAGCGACTATAATAAGTAGGATAATATGCTAAACGAGGACGCGAGGCCGTTAAAACAGAATAGATTTTAGTCATGTTGTTACTTAAAAACGCTAATGAAAAACTAGATGTACTGACTGTTTGTAATATAGTTGCATTTATAGCTAACGGAAATCTCAGCGGTCATTCTTATATTAATGTACCTGTACATGAATAGTTAAGCTACGCATGCATAAAATAGCATATACTATTACGTCAATATAAGAAAACAAAGCAATTTAACAGGATACATATTCTGTACTGGACTGTCCACAAAAGCATTTATACGTGTGGTCAATTAGCCCAGCCATCATTGCATTCAACGACATCAGAGGTCCATCATGCCGCCGCAAATTAAGGATTAATCTCGGAAACTAATGAACCAATTCGAAATTGGACGTCTGTTCTATCAGAATAATGCAATCCATATTTCCCACTAACTAATCCGGCATCGGGAATAGAAATAATCTTTATTCCAATAGACTTAACACAAGCACTTATTAATAATTATATTTTTTTTCTACCTATTATTCAGATGTGTTTTCCGAATAATAGGTAGAAATATCACAGTCTTATCACAATAATAATGAAAGAGCAGTTCCTTGCTTGTTATTCGGCAAATTGTTATACATTACGGGTTCAATTCACGCATACATTACGGGGTAAACGCAACAACAAGCCTCAAAATCCATTTTGTCTGCTAAACTTTTTGTTTTCGAGTCTATGCTAATGGTAAATTAATATTGAGGAAACGGCGTGTATTCACCCGCCTAGACAAAGTTGCGAGATATTGTCAGTTTATTTAGACAATGCTTCATTTGTTAGATAGCTTTTAAAGTGATTTAATACCTCGACCTGCCGTATTCCTGAAACGTGAGATTGAATGTGGCTAGAAGTTTGTTAAAAGTTCCTACTAATGTTTCGCTGCTATGTAATAGCTATAGTCAGGGAAAGAAAATTTAGTAAGGTGTACTAATAAGCCCATTGCTAGCAATGTACCATGTCAGGTTGACCACCACACATTTCCCCCTGGAAACCATCGTGATAAATTCCCTGGTGAACGATGACCTAACTTACCTGACCTCATGACCTTCTTATCATCCTCCAGTAGTGCCCCACCAGCGTAAACCGTTAGCGCAGGCAGGTGAATCATTACATTATTATACATAAAAAAGCAATAAAGATATGTACTCGTATTTGAAAAAACAAATGTGGGCATAATCAAGTGTTGCGGTCGGCACGACGCTGACAGTCGATGTTATTTGTAATTGCACTCCTAATTTGTTCGTTTATGTTGAATTTATTATTGTTTCACTTAACGCGACGATTGTAATGAATATAATTTCCTTCAAATAGAGATTACTGCGCGCTTCCAAACTGCTCGTACGGAGGTTCGACAGCTGCTGCTCCAGTATCTGTTGCCTTGGCTCGTCAACATCGAATTGGTGGACCCCAACGTCCCTCCAGCCAACCCGCTCTCATACATACAGGTATTTCAATATCCACTAGTAATGTATACAGATTAGTTTAGACTCTCATACATGTATATATATATATCATCTTATTAATTCGTAATAATACGCTCTATCGTTTTTACGAAAATTGCGCGGAGTATGAAATTTTGCACACATAATTTATATAGAGATGGAGTGTAAAAATAAATATATATATATTTTTTTTTTAATTATGCGTAATAAATACATTAATGAAATAAAAAATCATTACATATACTACCATGCATTACACATACACACATAGAAGTATAGTCTTCGACAATAAATTTTAATCAGTTTTTAAATTAATTATGATAGAATTCTGACCATTGGGCGATCATTAGTATATATACCGTACTAACTATCTACCAAAGGTAGAATTTGTACATAGTTATCTGGTTATATGTGGTTCATCTGTAAAAAGCGTCAAGGATCTTGTAAGCTGTGTTTTTGTTTTAGGCTGAAGGATGGCAGTAAAATTGCAGGGTTGTAATATCTGTATCTATAAGTATTGGAGCTTGTCGTGACTTGACGCAATTAGCTTCGGGAGTGATACTGAATTCTTGCAAACGTGTAATTTTCAAAAACCATTTCAACAATATTCATTGTGTTTCAAGCATTATTTCATGTAATAAATGCTCTTATATCGAACCCAAAAAATTAACCACTGTACAGGTTGCACAAACCGCATCGCTAAAAGTTTTGCAACTGCATTGTGTTTTGCGTGTAAAAATTTTTAACGAACGAACTTTTTTACAATCGAATTCCAAAATTTCAACACAAATGGAATCCGCTGTAATTAAAAAGTAAAATTGTCTCCTAGACTACACACTTGCATAGCGATTTTAGCGTAACAATATAAAAATAAAGGTTTTTCAAACATTTATAGATATTATGTATTTCAAAGACGCCCATTTTTTTAAAGTGATTAGAATGGCAAACAAGCTTACTGTCCAGCTAATGATCAAAAGAAACCTTCATCATCATCATACGTACAACATATGTACATATACATACAAACAATCATACTCTTGAAAACAAATATTTGTACCATGCGAGGAATCTAACACGCTACCATCGGAAGTAAAGCGGTGTGTAAAACGTCTAGAACATCGAAACTTTTATACAGAGTACCTCTGAGTTCTGTTTTTGTTGCTAAATTATATATATTGTTTCAGTACTACGCGTCCGAAGCCGGTCGTAGTGGGCGGCGTGAGGGTCTGGGCTCCGCAGAAGCTACGGAGATGGTGCTAAATAATCTTTTCTACATCACAGCGAAGGTAATTTAATTAACTGTGGGTAATATATCATATTCTATATGAATATTACCCACTGCCTTTAAACAGCGAAGGTAACTATTACCAGTTCACCACCTTCATCGCTGTTATCTAAATAAGGTTATATGCTGTTCGTCTTGTACCTACACTTGTAATATTTCTGTCAACACTCAGCATCCTTCTATCAACACAGTCTGGTACACTCGTGGAGTATACCGCCTACCGCTTACTGCTTCGACCTGGTCGATCTATTGCATGGGTGACCACGAAGTTTAGTACCGCAGTAGTTATATGTAGTAGTCATACCAATTGTCTGCGTCTTGGTGGTGAACTCAACACTTAATATGTTTCTACATCACTGTCTGCACGATAATCGTTTAAAAAACTAAATTCATGACAGGTGAAGTCACTTTCATGTGAATGTGACCCGATGTATATTGTGTATACAAGGTCGGCCCTTGGTGAAGGGTAACAGGATTGCGGACGCGCCTCTGTTTGCACCCGGTCGTCATCCGTCAACCCCGACCTTGCTATGGTGCACACACTCCCTTCAGTACTGATTTGTGTTTGATATCATGTAATGTATTATGTTATCATCCTAGTCACCGACAGTAACAATCTATATATTAATACGAAATTTGGGCGAACTTAAAGTATAAACAGAGTATGAAATTTAGCACACTACAGAAGACGTGTATAATACCATATTATGTTATCTGTGATAATACTAATATTTTTAATTATTGTTACTGAATGTTAAAACACGATTATATTGATTTTTTTATTCAAATTTCATATAATTTGTTAGAAAGAAATAGGCAAATGAACAGTGTAGCCTTGGCGAACTCTGTCATTATGGAAGTATAGTCTATGACTTATTCAATAGGAAAATGAAAGCACTTATAGAATCTTTCAAATTATATGTCATTGTAAATGCGTGATTATACTGTTTAGCGATGTCCATTTTAATGCAACTTTACTGAGCTGGGCTCATATTGCATTCTTCATAACCTGTAAAATGTCGTGGTTTAAACGCAACCCAATAATATATTCCAATCCTAAAGTCATGAGTTTTGCATTTTTAATGTTTCAACTCGCCTGCACGTGTGGAGTAACCTTCCAACAATGGTGTTTCCGAACCGATACGATATTGTAACCTTCAAGAAAAGAGCTTATTACTTCTAAAAACGCCGCCTACGCACTTGCAATTTCCTGGTATTGCCAGTGCTCATGGGCGGCGGTAATCACTTACTATCAGTTGAGCTGCACGCTCGTTTATCGCTATAAAAAAACGTGTGGTGCACGAAATGTATTAACCTATATCCAGAAGTCTTTGCATGCACATATATTTATTGAAATGCATGGTATAAAGAACGTTACTCTCAGAAAGGACTGCTATCATTTTGCTACTTTGGAATGCGATCGACTTTGAATACAGACATAGGCGGCCGGAAAGATTGCTAACGAGTTAACATTTGTTTATTATGCAGAACAATTATATCATCGACTAACAACAAATTAAAACATGTCTTAATTTTGTAACAAATGAAATCAAAATATCTTTATTCATGCTACTAAAGTCTCTCATTAGTTCAAATGTACCTATATTTTGAAGTGCTTTCGAGCTGAGAAGAACTGACAAGAAACTCAGCTCTTATTCTTTTCAAACGAACTAATACATTATTATATAAATAAACATTCCTTTTTACATTAAATTATGAAGAATATAGTGACTACCACCAGCATAGCACGAATATCTACCCTAATAAATCACACTAATTGTAAGGTCTATAAAAATACGTTACTATAATTGTATTAAAAATTAATTAAAACTCAGGTTTCGGTATTCGGAATATTACAAATTCGTATTCGTATTCGTTCGCAATTATACGAATTTGTAATATTTCGAAAAGAATAGCCCAGTCTACGGTATTCATTGAAGATATAAGTCAATATTTTTTAATTGTCTAAGTATTTTAGGGTTATCCAATACAAGGAAAAAAAGTATTGGCAGTACCGTAATAATATTATCTCTGTAAAATAGTTAGCGGTGGTGACCAGAATATTGTTAATTTTTAAAAACCATAAGTTGATTTTTATACCTGTGGATTTTGTGACAACTTCACTCCAATGCACAGAAAGACGCAGCTAGTGAGCGTGGGTAAGAATTCTCAGAAGTAATTAAAGATACTGGAGAAAAGTTCACACAATGAGACGTCGCGCCACGCAGTTATCGTATAATGGAATATGTGTTCAATTGAAACGTGTTTAATTAGTACTCGAAGGGATGTTTCCTACCATATATGTAAGGGGATGGCAGCTGCGACGCGGCCTGTGGTTACATCTTATTATTATGTTTATTAACGTCGGAACAAAGAAATTCCCTGCAAATTTTCTTTTGTGTATGAATACTTTGTAATAAAAGGACCACAAATAACAGAACAAGCAAACCTTGAAACGATGTATAAAATGTTTTTCCTCAATTGGAGTAGCTCGGCTACTTTGTTCTCACTGTGTGGATCCCATTCGATCGATCCTCTGTGCTATTCAAAGAGAGATGATTGATTGATTAAACAATTTTATTAACTTTCTAATGTTTGTTTTGTTGCTCACAGTTCTCGGACAAGCATCCGAAGGAAATTGAACAGCTGTGGTCGACGCTGTGCTCGTGCTGGCCGAACAACCTCAAGGTCATCATCCGGTACCTGATCATAGTGTCCGGGATGGCACCCAACGAACTACTGCCTTATGTGAGTACCATCGTATATTGTCTCAATATTTTAAAACATAAACAAATATCATTTAAGTACTTAATATGTTATGAATATATTTGTATCTTAATGTTTATATATTTAATAGTCTAGCGGTTTAATACACCGTACTACCGATGAGTACGTATTAGATTCTTTGCACAAACATTTTTACTTACGAGTATGATTATTTGTTTGTCTGGGTCTTTTCTATGTATAATGTGTATTTACATAAAAAATGTATATAATAAGTATTTCATTTGTATATTTGGGATTAGGAGACTTTGTGTGAATTGTTCAGTGTTATTATTGTTATGTGAATAAAAAAATATCTGTTTTTCTGTCCATTGTTCTTAATCAGCCGATTATCTTACAAGATGCAGTCAGTACATACACAACTTGACACCAAGTTGTGTATGCGTTAGTAACCTCAATAAGGCGGCGGTACAGCGGCATGTTAAGAGACGTGTGACCATGCAATATTTTTTTTCTATTGTATTATACTGAATATTCTTTAGTAGGTATACCTTCTATTTTTATCAGAGACCTTGCGTCTTGTTTCGATCAAGTGCGATAGCTATACTTTCAAATGAAATTTTGACGTATATATTGAAATATCCACTCTTCTCTATAGGCTATGGAAGCCATCGTACTATAAAAAAATCATGTCAGATTTTTATACTGACTTGGATTGTTCATGTGAATGCAAATAATAAATGATATGTACTTTTTTATGAAACTTGACTTTTCTAGTTAAAATGAAAAAAACTTGTTTAAAGAAAATCTATCAAGTGTGAAACGTCGATATTAGTTATGTTATCCTATAGACAAATTTCATGGAGTTTAATTACTTATTGTGGATTATTTCATAGTAGGTAGCATATTTTGTACTGAGCGGTCGGGGACATACAGCCTTAAGCTTGGCGGATTGTTCTCCGCGTAAATTAATAAAGCACTATTAATATGTTGGGGCGTCTGGCCCCCGCTGCGGCGTTCACGTAAGTCAGCGTTAGAATACTGCACACCGACGCAAAGACAACATAATTGGTAGTTATTTTTCTTTTAAGTTTATATTCCAAAGACCTTTTATAGTGTCTGAGTATATTAAGCCTATTGTAGCCTGAGCTATTACATAAAGCTAGTTCAGTAAATATATACATACGGGCTGATCCGGCAATTATTATTTTGACATATATATTGAAGTACTAAATCCGTTTACTAAATTAAAAATAGGATTTGATAGTAGGGTGAAAATCTAATATATATATTTTAGGTATGTTATTTTACAAAAAATATATCTTAGTATTAATATCAGTTGTCTCGTACCTAATGCAAACTGTCTTTATCTTCTTATCTTGGGATTAGATGGTGAGGTGTGAATTGTCCAAGGGTAGTAGGTATTATTTGGGGTTTAAATATATATATATATATATATATAATAAAAATATGTTTTGAAACCCAGACGACGAGTGTGCGAGCAAGCAAGATCATAAAGTTGTTGAATAAGGATAAGGTAACTTCTAAAAGTAGTCTCATTTTTATTTACATTATAATCATCACATATTGTGTATGCCGTCTTTGAAACATCAGCGAATCGTTAATAGTTGAATAAAATATTGTGCACTTAATCTTACCACAGGAACTAAGAAAATATTCCAATCATAAAGAGAATAAATACCTTTTGTATCAGCCAGCCCAGTTACAAATGTTAGATGCAGGATCAAGTAAAGAGCATGCGGAACCGAAAACAAGTCGTAACATTCATAAAACGGAACAACTTTCTACAATAAGTAAATTAAAAAGATATATGTTTGTTTATAATAAGCTGTCATATATAATATTAATAATTATTGTTTATTTCATTACGAACATGGAGGGTAACAAATACATGTAGTATTTTGGTTAATATCCTAAAAAAACTTTTACAAACAATTTCTGTGAGAAGTCGGTGTCTGAAATAGGTATAACCTGTAATACAGATCACTGGGCCCCCAACCGTGCGTGTGATATAATGTGATTAAATTACGATGCTTATATTACACCAAATGAACTAAAATCATACAATGTTTAAAGGTACATTCCCGCTCGGCCGTTCGCGTCGTCATTTCTAATACGCACTACCAAAGAGTGGAACACACTTCCAGTTTTCGTGTCCCCGGAAAAAACAAACCCTGACAAGTCTTTGGTGAATAGATTTGTTTTGGATATGCGCGCTACATTCTAGGTCTTGCCATCATTTTCTAGATGAGGCAAGACCAAACGGAAACCCATTTATAATAATAAAATAGTAACAAATTAAGGATTGATAGTGAAAGGAGAATGACAGGATACGTGAGACTGGTGAGGTTGTATGTGTGTGTATGTCATATGTCCTATAAACATTGTGGTAACATGATCAATTTACTATGTAACGATATGATATGATTGCATTTCGTTTCTTGGTAGAAGTGTTTCAATTTAATGACTACTGCCCTTGACTTTCAAGCTGCAATCGATTAAGTGATAGTGCCTTGTTTAGATGTCAAGCACGCGCAAGCAATGTCGGCATAGACTTCATAACAGTCTGATCGATCACCGATATGGAAGGTCAGGGCGCCTCCACTTATGTTGGAAATAAACAACCCTGAATACACCACCACCATCTAATCAACTAGCAGACCTTGTCCTACGGGTACTAGATAACTTATGAACTTACTGAGGTTACACATATGTAATTTACGTAGATAAATACCTAGATCGATACGAACCTATGAATAAAAAAATGTATAGTGCAGTGGAAATGTCAGACAATGTATCAAACCATTAGAACACCAAGGTCGGCATTTATTTTAATGTTATACTTTTAGTTGTTTTTGAATGTGAATGTCGATAATTACAATGGCAGAGGTAATGCGAAAAAATATATGGTTGGATCGTGTAAAATATGATATGGAAAGAAAGATGACAGTGCACAAACAGGAGAAGAAATACATATAACGCTGACCTCAAATGAATTCGACAAAGGAAAATAAGACAAAATATTTAGATGTTTTTTAAATTGCTCTATAAAAATTTTGCCGCTATTCTAAATATACTTAATGCAAACTGCATTAAGCACAATAAGTTTCACTGAGGGAAGCGCGATATTAAAATTTTTGTAATCACAAATGATGGAATTGAACTAAATCGCAAATTTATCGTCTATTAGGTATCGGGATACCGAATACATAGTGTTCGCGCGATAGTAATGAACCATTGTTTGGCACGCTGTCAAAATAATAGTACTGTGATTAATTACACAGAATTAAATTACCTTCACGTCGATGTTAATTGTATGCAGTATTATCATTAGATCAGTGTAAGGTACGCATATATTGTTACATTATACATATAATCATTAGCATGTGTTCCGTAACTGTTAACTTTGTAAGAGATAACAATTATTACATAGATCTTATTGATGTTTTTCGTAAGTGTGATGCTGTAATGGATAGTATTTTTATGTAATTATAATGACAAATAAGCACTCCTAGTAATTATGTGATACATGAGCAGTGCCACGGACATCACGTTATCATGTGATGGAATGTTTCTAATCCTATAATTTCACTGCTTAATGTCAGGCTCAAACCGAAATATAGGTTACAAAATAACTACCTGTTTCAGTCACTTTCTAAAATTGGTAATCGGCGCTCATATAAATGAATAGTTTCAAGAATTCTAAAAACTTTGTGACACTAGCAGCATAAGTGTAACTGAATTGAAAACAAACATCATTGCCTTTCCTTTATTCTGTTATTTGGAGTAGATAAAAACAAAATAATAATTTAAAATTTTTCTTTTTCGTGCTTCGTATGTCATGCTAATTGTAATTATTTAAACGTACTTTCAGTTTATTTGAAAAAAGAAAATTTTTATTTCTCTATAGGAATGTGTTAAATTATACTAATTTTAATTACAAGATATTTCTTATAATAATAACAGTACAGTGTGTGGTACTATGTATAAAATAAACAATTATTAATATATATTCACAATTCGATATCACGTGACACACAAATTTGTTGACCTGCTTTTTGCTTGGAGACGCTTAATCAAAAATTATCCAACGAAAATCCTACAGGATTTAATTATCAAATAGAAATGGCTGTTAGTAGTGCGACGCTTTCAATTAAGCAGTCTCAATACTCCTCTTTACCATAGCATATTAGCCAGTAGCTGAGAGTAAATATAGATTTTCATTAATATTTTAGGTAGCCAATTTAATTTCTATTTTTAAAATTAAGAAGCAAATTAAGCAAACAACAAAAGTGCATTCATCTATCGTACATTTACTCCGTGCCTACAGTTAGGCTTTAATTATTTAATAATTAAGTTATTCATTAAAACTTAAACCTCGTACAAAGAACTTACTATTGTTTACAAATAAAGAAAATAGATCGAAAGAAATGTAGAGACAACTAAAATAAAAGATGGCTGTATAATGAAGCAAACTTTAGATATTTTTACTAAGAGAGTAAACAAAATAACTCTAATTATTATGACTATCCAAATGATACGTTTTAATTATTGAATATAATATATATATATATATAACAATAGCAAAAAAAATTATACATTTTACAGAGTATTGAATAGAAAAAACATATTAATCAAATTGTTGCTAACACTGTTTAACACAAATGATATTAATACGAGTATGTATATATACATATTTATTTTTTATGTTGAAGCAGTAATTTCGCCGTTTCTATTTTGCTCTTATTGTTTGTTAATTATTTTCACGTACTCTAAAAGGGGTTGAAGCAGTGTCTTAGTCAGAAGAGTTATCTGAACAATTTTCCACACTGAGCCTCAGACCTTTTTGTATTGCTGATCACACGTAATGGAACAAACTATTATGTTAGGACGTATTGTCCACAAATACAATTGTAATTGTGAGTGGTTTGTCAAAATCGGAAATAAACTATTTATGTATCTACCTACTAATTAAAGCTAGCAAATACCTCAACGCAGACGAGCCTCTCAGTAAGCAATCTCTTCCAATCCAATTGGAAGGAAATTAAAACAGAAAAATTCCAATTCGTTCGAATGAACCCGATTTGTTCCTGTAATCAGAGATTGTTAATTATTATTCAATTTGTACGGAACCAAATCAGTATACAATATCGGTTTTAAAAAGAATAATTGAAGTCAGTATTTACTTTATTGGAATTAAATGTACAGTACTACGAATATCACTTATACAGTTGACTCCTTTGTTACCTCTAATTCGGTGCCATTCCGGAAAACTATGAGGCTATCCCTTCGTAATAATAATAATAACCTTGAACAATTTTTTTTATGTACACTAGACTAGTAAAACGTTACAAATAATTATACTCATAAATGCTTGCACCGATCGAGGAATCTAACACGTGACTATAGACGTAAGGCGGTGTGATAAACCGCTAGACCACCGACACCGTCAAGTATCTTCGTATCCTGTAATTATAAGTGTAGACGCAGGCGATTTTATACAAAGTCTATCTTGGTAGAGTAATGGTGAGGATATGGCATGTCTCTATGGGAAAAATACAATGCAAATTTCGTGTCGAGATTTCCTTCTACTAACGTAGAGACTAGTTTCCTCTGATTAATAAGACTAATTAGTTTTGTTTAACAAGTAACTATACGTAATATTGTACTGATAGAATAGATTTTATACACAATTTGAAATCTCTAATGTTCAAAAGATTTATTTTAAAAAGCAACAGACAAATTCTTTGATCATTCTTCTTGGGTGAATCTATATTATCATCGGTAGAATAATCAAATATTTATTCAAAGTACTTGAAATATTATGTTTATTTCAATAAATATTATTGCTAATATACTTAGCACACTTCAGTGGAGGATGATAAGATGAACATGAGGTCAGGCCAGTTAGTCCATCGTGATGAATTCACAAATAATTTATCACGATGGTTTCCTGGGAACGAGTGGATGAACTTAACATGATACATAGCTAACAATGGGGTTATTAGTCCCCATTGCTAACAGTGTATTTCAAGGGAGGGTGCTATTTTAAATACATACTATATGTATGTATTTTAAATACGTGAAGCAAATATTTTGTACCCTTTTTACAAAAATTGCGCTGACTGAAGAGTATCAAATTTCGTACACTTATAGTTTCTATAGAGAAGGAGCTAATGAAGAATGCTAATATTTTTATTAATTATGCAAACATAATAATATTAATCAGTAAAAAAATATTATACACTCTACCATGTATTTGACACACACACGTATATACTCTTTTCTTTAATGTTAAAATCTGTGGTCAAATTGAGAATAGATGAATGTTGTTTGTCTTTCATATTTTAAATGTTCAATTAATTATATCCGATTTTTGACAATTGTGTGACCACTAGTATATATAAACACTTGTATATGTACTTCGTGTGTACAGGCAAAGCGCGTGGTGCTATACTTGGCGCGGTCCAGGCCCGAGCGTCTGCTGGACGAGATGATGACGGAGCTGCAAACGGTGGAGACCCTCAACTGCCTTATCGAGCGCACTGAGACCCCGCCCTTCTATAGGCTCACGTCCATGCGGAAGGCGACCTCAGGGCACAGCGACGGCCCCGGCATCGGCTCACAGGTACGCACGGCAATATAAATTCAGATATTCCTTACCGCATGTATGAATTCGATTGTGAACTGTCCTGTGTGTCAATCTAGATCTGACTGTGCCTAAAATTTCATTAATATCTGTTTCTTCATCATCTTTTCAGCCTGTATCTATATACTGTTGGATATATTTGTCTTTCCCAATGTCCAATTCACTATATCCAATCTTCCTCCTTCCCCATCCATCCACTCCCGGACACCTTCACGACACGGACGAACGCGATACTCCATCTACCCGAACTCGGTCTCCACTCCATAACTTTTCTGCCCTATAACACCGTTGACTTGGCCGACATCCCCAACCACTATCGTTTATTTTTTGTTAAAAGAATATCAAACACCAAAACATCTATCCATCGACCCATAGTTATAAAATTACACGTTTATGTTATTGGTAAGAAATGCAACCGGCTTCCACTCCAAAATAATTGTGTAAACCGGGAGGAAATGAGAATCATTGAAATTGGCCGACAATTATAAAGAGGTCTCGTATTATACAAACAAGAAAATGCAGCGTACGTTTAAATTAGTAGCGCTGTGTAAAAGAAATAAAAAGCGCGAGTTAATAGGCAACGAGCGCATTAAGGAAAGAGTAACGACATAGAGTGAAACGGAGAATATTTTTCCCTGTATCCTTCCCCTTTTTACCTTAGTCGCCATATTAAGTAAAAACTGAACCAGATAAACGAATACTGGAAGATTAGAAATGTACAAACGAGGAAACATTGGTAAAAAGAAAAATAAACCATCTACTTGACGGCTCGGTGGTGTAGCGGTTTAGCCACCGCCTCATATTCCGATGATCGCGAGTTCGATTCCTCGTACAGTACAACCATTTGTAGTCATAAGTATGTTTGTTTGTTCAATACATTTTTTTTGTAAATACATACATCATATAAATAAGTTATATGATGTATTTACAAAAAAAATGTAATTAAGTATTTATACCAGTTATATAGTTCCCATAACACACGCTCTGCTTAGTTTGGGTTTAAATTGCACTTGTACATATTGTTTGTATACTTCTACATACACTTGTGCACATTGCAATTGTGTGAATCGTCCAGTGATTATATAATATTAATTGAGCCTACTGTTTTTCTTAACACTAAAACATACTACGTTTTCTAGTAATCATAATAATCATTATTAGAATTAATTATTTGGAGTTTTCTGCGTAGAAAATAATCTATACTCATTTTGCACCCTACCATTGTATTGATAGATTTACAAAGATTGTGAACCCCAGGTTTAGTGACTAATAATATTGCTCAGAGATTTGAATTATTACAAAGGTGTTTCCAGAACATTTAAAATTTTTATATTGACATCGTATAAGGTGCGTAACTGACGGACGCTTCTATTGTTGTGGCCTTAAAATAAAGCCTTGAAATAAGCTCCACGTAGCGTGTTAGACGAAAACATCAGTACTTAAGTCTATATTAGCTTTGCGTTGTATTGTACCTAGCGATTTGGACAGCTTAGATATTCGGTCCAATAACTTTGGACCAACAAATTCACTAATGGCGCAAACAAAATGCAGACATTGTTGTTATCATGAGTTTGTACGTTTCTTTTAGATTAGGTGTTTTCATACTATTGACACCACGCCATTCAGTACCAAGCTAAGCAGAACTTGTGTTATAGGTACTAGACAACTGACTATAAATCTTAATAATATTATAAACGCGAAAGTTGGTGAGTATGGATATTTGTTACTACTACTACTACTACTAAACGGATTTTGATGATACTTTACAGTAATATAGTTTATGCATCAGAATAACACTTAGGCTATGTTTTTATATTGAAACTTAACGCGGGTGAATACGCGGGCACAGCTAGTACATACATAATTTTGTGCCAGTCACAAAGTATTAAATGTGTTTCTTCTGGAACACTTCTCGAGATCAATCTGGAAAATTTCAGAACAAAAGTAAAATAAGTTGTGTTGTCTATATTGACCAACCATCAAAAGTAATAATAAACACGCTTTAATTATATAATAGATTAAATAATAAATATAGTTCTGTGTAATTTTAACACTATATTTTCCAAAGTTATTTTCTTTTTTTCTTAAAAAAGAGCTGGCAACACAAAGCCTAAAGAGTACATTTTCTGCTTAATTTGTGACTAGATAGGGCCGTGTTATTTATACAATGTTATTTATTATCGAGTATCGTGTCGATGTTTTAGTCCGTAAAATGTTAGGGCCAGACCAAAGTTATTTAATTAATCTGAGATTTCCATTTCTACTACATGCCATTATCCCAGATGGATCCCAGATCGTCGCATTTACGTGTACAAAATACATCGATCTCATGAGCCGGCTCGAATTACGTTGGTAGCTAAAGGGTTGAGTTCTCTTGCACATAATCATGGTCGGCCTCCCAACCGCCGCATAACTGACCGTCTACGCCACACGCCAGATTCCTTGCGCGCTTTGATCATTTTCTGGGAAGACGGCGGCAATAACAAGTATTCCAGTCGACTCCAATAATTGAGTTCGACGCCACCAATACGGACATTTGCATGTCTGTTTGTGTTGGAGCATGTTATGCACATTATTTAGGTTTGTTTTTATTTATATAAAAATATTACTGTGTAATAATATGATCCAGTTGTTTACAACAATTGTTGGGATTAGATAGTATTGATTTAGTTCATCGTATGTATAGGAATATTTTTTTATAAATATGGTACCTGTCCATCTATGTCGTAGTTTTAACTAGTTTTATCACTGATGGCAAACAAGCTGACTGACAACCTGATGGTAAGCGGCCATACATGAACTGCACTACGAATATCACGTTATCGTGCCACACCCGACTCATACGTTGCATTGTAGAAGAGTGTCATGCCTCTTGTTCTGCTAATTCACAGCCTAAACTGCACCCTAAATCGGTATACAGCTTTCAAATACAAAGATAGACAAATAAGTTGCATCTTCATGACCCATATAACAAACAAGAATTGTATGTATATAAATTAAGCGCATCACAAAACTCATAAGTAAAATGTAACTGGTATGTTGTTCGTACCTAAATTTATGTGCAATATGTCTTAATTATGTGCTCGTGCAGGACGCTACGGGCCGTGCGGGCGAGCTCGCGCCAGTCGAGAAGGGCACTATACACACTAAGAGGCACAGCGGAGAAGACCCCACCAAGTCCACGTGAGTGTAGCTCTATATATATATATATATACACATCAACAACTGACAACACAGTATTATTATATAAGTATCTACCAAATTGTCTGCAGTCCCCCCATATCAGTGTAACTCAAATACATTACGATCATAAAGAAATTTCGCCACTTAGTAACATTAAATTGTTTCATATAAAGTAAAGTAAAGATACTAAAGCAGTTCATTGATCTCTAATGCTCTTGTCGATGGATGATGTAGATGGGAGTGCTGGTAATTTGGTAATAATCTAAATACTTGTAGACATTGTAATCACACTAAATTTAATTTTAAGTTGTCTTTATTATTGTAACTATTTAGGAATAATTATAATGTATAATAATATTTAACAAGAAATTATAGAATAATTTCCAGTTCAACTATGTAGTCAGTTTGGTCTGCTAAACTACTTTGCAAACTCGATAGATAAGCCGTAATGGATATCGTACATATTATTTAAAAGTATTATCTATAGTTATAAAATTTTAATGGAACAGTTTTAGGTGACATACTAACCTACTACTTAACTAAATACTAAATACTACTTAACCAAAATAGGTTCTCGGTAGGTCTGAGAATAAGTTGTTATAATTTTTTATACCCCTAAGTGATAGGGATGGCCATGCACCAAAATTTTATTTATTGTTCAAAATATTTTTTTTTATGTGACGCAATAAAATATATACACTACTAAATTTTCACCCTTCTACCAACCGTTCTTATTGTTTAATAGCGATATTAATATAAATGGCAAAACAATGTCTGCCGGGTCAGCTAGTAGATTTATACGTTTTTTTAATTCCACTATTATTTGCATGTGTATCCCAAATATTCAATGCGGAAACCTGACCACCGCGCTCCGCAAGGAAGCGTTACACCTGCTCTATTAGTGATTAAATTCTGACCATTACTGGATTTACACACGTGTATTGCCTCAAAAGGACATCATCAAGCAATGAATAGAGCTCGGAAGCCAAGGTTTGATTGTTCGGCCACCAGACTACGACGAAGTGTTTGGTCATTAAAGGACGCCCTAATTGATCGCAAATTGTTAGTGTACCTTAGTCAGCTGAGGTGCTTGACTGTACACATCTGTATAACTCTAGATAGTATTCGTTTATAAATTCCTAGAAAAAGCTTACAAGCATTAATGATGTTGAAATTTATAAATGTATCTAGAATTTTGCTCACTAAGCCAATTAACTGTACTTAGCAATCTATTGAATAAATTAAACCAGTATCGTTTTTACGTTGAAAATATTTCTACGTTCGCTAATTAATGTATTATATATAGATCGATGCCTCTCACCGATTTTATTTATAATTAATGCTCATCTTATAATTATACTTACATCCTCTAGTGAGTATATCGCTAAAGATTCTTCATCGGAATATTAGCGGAGCGGCAATAGGCTGCGGTTAATCTATATAGGGATCATAGTGGATATCGTTTAAGTATTCACTTTACAACGTTCAGACATAATGCTGGCAAAGCATAAATATGCAGTACTCTAATTATTAATCACTTGGTTATTAGTTACATTACTTATATTTATTATTTGATTTTAGTCGTTCCTTCTCAGTAAGGACAGGTACAACGAGATTTGCAATTTTGATAATGTACAGAATATAACAATTCTATTAATATTGATACTATTGTAAAAATAAATATTTTGTGATGTAGTTATATTTAAAACTTTTTTTAGTTATCTCTATCTATTAACATAATACATATATAGCACACTTATTCTGCACTGCGAGGTTTGTTTATTTTTACTTGTGCTGCGCCGCGCCGTGACTTCACATGGGCATGGGCGGACGACTAGTGTGTGCTATGCAAATCATATAGTGAGTAATACAATATATGAAAGTATTTACATACAAATTATCTGGTAAGATTTTTCTAAACGACCTAAAAAACGGCATCAAACTCTGTTTCATGGATAAAGAAGTAGTGAAGACGTAGACAAGTCAAAACGGGGACTTTAATTTATAATATGTATTATATTCGTACATAATATAAAATAAAGGCACCCATCGCGGCTGTATGTATGTTGGTGATAAACTCAAAAACTACTTAACGGATATTCATGCATACATTCATAGTGTTTCTATATATCAAGATTGATTTCTAGGAAAGCTTTTAAGTGTAGAATTCCTTAAGGTATTGTATACATTATTTAAATGGTCATGCTAGCCCGTCGCTTGAATATTATGTCTAAATTATATCAGTAGATGCTACAATCGAGGATTACAGTACGTTACATACGTACTGTAATCCTCGATTGTAGTCCCTGCTAGGACGGTCAAAAAGCAGTAATCCTTTGCAAGTGTACTGCTGATAATGGAATTTTAGTACCCACCGTCAGCCGTCCGCCGGCGGGGCGCACACACACAATGAACTGAATTGTACACATTTTTCATGTCTATCCAAGCGTTTACATTCACAAACATCACCCTTTGCAATCCTAAAGCAATAACGACGGGCATCCTACTTACTTTAGCACTTTATAATAATAATAATACCTCTGAACAATTCACACAGCGTCACCGAGCTAAGCAGAGCTTGTGTTTTCGGTACTAAACAACTGATATAAATACTTAAATACATACATATTATTATACATAAAAAACACCCAGACCAATACGAAACGAACAAAATACATATGAATACACATATATGAATCTCGCGCAAAATCGAACCTGTGACCATCAGAAGTAAAGCGGTGTGCTAAACCGCTAGATCACCGAGCCCGTCAAATTTAAGAGCTTTATTTTAAAACTTCATTCAGATTATGCATTTCAACCGTAGTTTTTAAAAAGCTATTTCAAAGGATTATGCACTAGTGCACCTGAATTTAATTTTATATTTTTGAACTATATGTTAATTTTTATATCAGTTATTAATTCAAAATACAATTTTAAATATTTTGACTTAATTTGTATATAATGTAATTTTAATATACTGTTTTCTTAACTAATACTTATGAAATTAGTTGTATATCTATATGATTCGATTTTAATTATAACTTGTTAAATAATCGAAACGCCGAACCAGAAAATGCACAAAAAATTTACAAAATGAGGGTAATAAGGTTTTCAAAGTAATGCCAATAGAGCAAAATGACAAGGACAAGGACCTTTGTTCAGAAAACAAGTACTGAAGAATACCTACATCGTAATTTTATTACGCACACACACTCCTCTTAACGACTAATATGAATTTACCTAATACGCATTAGATATATTAACTATGTTATTGGAAGTGCAAACAAGCTGACGGCCCACCTGATGGTAAGCGTAACTGTCGCCTATATATAAATAAACAGTTCTAAGACACTAGAGGAATAAGATGTCATGTCTCTTATCATATAATATCACTGTGTAATCTGCATCCTACGCCTTGGGTACCTCAATCTTATAGTCGATCCCCCGTCCAATTCAAACGGGCATCAAAATTACGACTGCCTAAGCCGAGGTTCGAACACCTAGCAGTGCCCACAGACTAAAGTCATACTCGTCAAGCGGAAATTGGCCTTCAACCGCAGCACAAGTCCTTCTGAAGGTTTGGAATGCAATCTGCACTCGCCTTCTATCGTCCAGTGAATCTGTAAAGACAAGCTGCGGCTAACAGTATTAGAGTAGTCCGAAAAAAATCTCATCTTGCTTGTTGTATATTTCTACAATAAGTAAAATAAGATTGACGCGGACATCTTTTTACAGTCTGCATGTAGTATATTAATATTATTCTGGTAACATAATTGTAAGTTTTAGAGTATATTTTTTTTGTTAAGAGAATATCATATTTGGACATTACATATTTTTAATACACTAGACTAAAGCTGACCTACACAATAGTATGATAGATATATGTAATTGTTTGTCTACGTGCAGTCACGTGGCGATTGTATGATGGTGGAGAGAAGTGACAAGGGCAGCCGATACATCACGCACTGGTAGGCTTAATGGGTGCGCCTAAGTGATTGCCGAGTCACCCTCGCCTCGCGCAAACATCCCAGCTCGTGTCCTCCATCTTGGATCGGACACCCAACTACACGTATTACCGTTACCTGTTTGTTAGGCGTTAACATTTTTACACTTCATCTCATTGTATATTTCGATTATGCGCCTTTCAGCACCTATTGATGACCTATATTTTTATATATTTGGCATCAAGATTTGTACGGAGTATCACTTTGTATATAGCTCTTAGCATTTTCTATTTGAAGACCTATTGGTTAATTATAATTATCAGTGTCAGTAGTGACAGTATACATTTATTTATTACTAGCTTTTACCGGTCGCATCTCGTTTTTTAAATAAAAAATATCCTATGTTCATTTCGTGAATACCTCCAAGAACACACTTTCATATTGATCGGTTCAGTAGTTTTGAGTGAATGCGTAACAAATATCATTACTTTCACATTTATAATATTATTAAGGATTGTTATTTGTTGTAATTGCTTTTAATATGCATATGAGATCATATATTTGAAATTGACTAAAAACAATTTCTTTAATAAAGCAAAAGTAATCATAAAAAAATATGACTTATTTAAACACTAGAAACTTTATACAAAACCCCAATATGTAAAATAAATAATTTAATAAAGACATACTTCGAATGAAATCTTGTGACAAGAAACTAATTAGAAATCTGCAGATTACTAATCTAGTATTGATTATTTAATTGAATATTGCAAGACAGTATGCTTAATTGCACCATCGTGCTATAAAAAACATTAAATTGAACTGTAGAAAAAGTTTTCACGTAATACATTCACATCAGGCATGTTAGGGAGCTCCGTAACCGAATTCGAAATAAAAGTTTCGGATAATATCGGACAGGGACGGAGCCTAATTGAGGTTTGTTATGTAACCATTTTATTTGATATTTGTATTTTACTTATGAAATTGTTTAAAATATCCGTAACCGAAATTATCCGAAAATAACGGATAAGCCGAAATAATTTAATATCTGCATCTGTATCCGGTATAATAATCATTCCTATATCCGAAACCTATCCGTATCCGATATTTCATATCCATAACATCCTAATTTGTGAATTAATTCTGTTTCGTTAAACATTTATGAAAAAAATCTATAAAATCAGCATGGATATGAAAATATCGTCAAATACAGAACCATGTACTCGGTTTAATTCAGAATATATTTTTCGACAGGTTAATACATGATAATAAGACATTCATATTTTAAGTAAATTATAACCAGCTTACTATTCGTGTTTCTCTATAATCCAAAGTAGCAACAAATTCAACCACACCGTTATAATACGAACCTAAATAAATAAGCGGTATGTAATCATTTTCCACACGATCCAGGAGACGAATAAGCATCCCTCGCACACAGCTTCTAGTCGCCATGGGAACGAATACCTATCTCAGATCTCCGATCAAAGCCCGTCTCGCTTTGGTGAATACAGATTTTACTAGCAAAAGGAAAACGTTGTAACTCAACAATCAGTTTACAGTCACTAATCCCATTAATCGATATCTATACTTCATACTCGTATTGTAAATGCAAATATTCTCTATCTGTTTTTATCAAATATCTATATAATTTAAGACTTGGTGCAAATTTCAATAAATACCTTTTCTTGCTTAATCTCATTGAAATTTGATATGTTCATTATATCATGATCTGCCTATGTAGTGATACAATCAATATATCAACAGTATGGGCTATCTTTTATCTCGAAAAACAATCTGAAATGGGAGAAATAGGAGATGTAAGTTTATACGCAATATATATAACGATGGAAATATTTTGTATCCATTTCAACTATGTACTAGAGATGTATAGGGGAGATGCAAACTGATCGAATGTCTCGTGCATTGTTTGACATAGGTATTACTCGGGCGCGGTGAATATTGCATGGTGCAGAAGTTCGGTCGATGATTGATTGACACTTGGATATTCGGTTTTGACTTGTTTTGTATTATTGATCTGTTACATATACCATACACCCTTACAAAAGTAAAGGCTTTTTTTAATACAAAACTAAACTATGAACCACTAATTTGAGAAATTCTAATTGAAGGAATTTTATTTTTCCAGAGTATCGTAGGTTATATATTGTTTTAGTACATGTAAACAAAAATCACAAAGTTATGAGCACCCAAGCAAGCATAACAAGACGAATCAAAGCAAATGCAAAGTTTATTCCCACAACCATCATTTTTATTACTATTTTTAGTTTGCCGTCCATTTCAGCTGAATGCTTCAGTTGAAAGGAACTGCGAAGAAACTCAACTAGTTTATTTTTTATTAATCAGTTTCTAGACTTTATATTTACAGAGGGTAAATACCTATATGCCCTCTGTAACCTGCCCTAAATAAATAATATATATAAATATACATACGTATTTTTATATATATATATATATATATATATACATACAACTCATTTGAAAAGAATAAGAGCTATTCTTCTTAACTCGGAAGCATTCCGAACTGATGGTAGATTTGACATATCATGAGAGTTTGTAATGAATAAAGATATTTTGATCTGTATACTATGTATGTAATGTATGTTCTATGGACATTGTCTTTTATAATGTAATACGGTTTACTATTTAAGTATGACTTCCTTATTTAATTATATATAATTTTTTATTTGTTGATACTTGGAATCCGAATGTCGATTTATATTATAAATATTCTACAAAGTTTAATGATAGAAAGGCAGTAAGTTTTATAGTACTCGATTCTCGCTGCCTCTCGCAAAAGGCCTAGCGTTTAAACAAATATTTACGGCCTCTCAATGAGTAGTCACTTTAGTTAATTAATTGATTTTACTTAAATTGTGTTGACATTTTATAGACACAGTTTTCCTCTTATAAATATTATAAATCAAAATGGATCTGTGCTGAAAAAGTTTACATAAAAAACCAATACGCGAGGGCGTATAAGAGTTAAGGGTTTAGGGAGCGTGTTGATGACACTACTTGTTTATTTATCCAGGCTCGGGTCGGATCTCGTTTAAAGAATAATAAAGATAAAGTTTTATCCCCCAGTTGTAAAATGTTTTACGCGTAGCGTCTAATAACAGGATCGTTTCCGCGAAAAATCTTATCATCCGGTGCTTATACCGCAAGTCATACTGTTTATGTCCAACCCCTCTAGTGATTTCTTTAATATCAGGACTATTCACATGATGCCATCTTCTTCCAAGCTAAGCAGAACTTGTGTTATGCGTACTAGACAACTGATATAACTACACAGATACATTTTTTGTAAGAATACTACAATAATACATACATATTATATGTATATTACACCCAGACAATACAAACATTCGTACTCATTAATGCAAATGTCTGTACTGTGCGAAATCGAACCTGCAACTATTGGAAGTAAAGCGGTGAACCTGTAGACCTCCGAAGCCGTCTTTTGTCTACGATTGTTATCTATATAAATGAAATTGCTGTTTTGCTAAAGTATAGAAACTAGGTATCGTTTATATACTTTAGTGACTCTTTTATTTCATGAAAAATATAATAGGTAGAGACTGCTAAAGATATATGTATCCGAACGTACACGACGAAATTTTAGGCTGCCCCGAATATTACCAAAATTCGGAGTATTTCAGTGTATTCGATGTTCTAGCGGTTTACCACACGGCCTCACTTCCGATGGCGCGTCCACCGGAAATAAAGAGGAAGATTCGAAGGTTCGATTCCTCGCACGGTACTAACATTTGTATACATAACCTGCATTAACCATACACCAGAACCAGCAATAATGAATATATATATATATATATATTACAATAAGCAAAGCAAAATACGTGTGTATTTCAAATATATGGTAGTTCGTGTAATGTTTTCTTTATTGATTTAATGAATAAATTATGCGAAATTTCAAATATTAGTCGTGCACTCCCTTTCTATATGAACTATAATTGTGCGATATATCATACTTTGTCGGTGCAATTTTCGTAAAAAGGGCTACAAGATTTTTGCTTTATGTATTAATATATAGATTCTGTTACAGCAGTACGAAAGCACCGGAGACCCCAGGCTCGAGGTCGCAGTACAAGCGCACTTCCGCATTGCCTTGCAGTACTCCGCCTGCCGACGATGAGTCCACGGCGCCCTCGGACGGCGACGCCACTCCCGTATGTGCACAGTCGCCCACACATACACAACGAAAACGCCATCCTCTCTTATAATAATGTCTTATGAGAATTACAAACAATCTGATAGCACATATGGATAAGCAAAAACAATCGCCTCTATAATCCCCTATATATAATACATGAACAGACCTGTATATCACGCTATCATGTGACACCCGTGATATATACAGCTCGCACGTTTCCATTACATAGGACTATGATATCAGGCCTCATCTGCTGTAATTTAATTCCCTAATATGACTCGAAACTTAATATGTATATACAAAAGAAGAAAATTATATTCGTTAATTGGTTGGAAACACTACTTCATAATAAAACCCATTCCTGCATTAGAGTTAATGTGGAAGACACAATATTCTAGTATATTGAACCTTTCTCGTTTACAATACTATACCTGAAAAAGTACCTGTGTTGTACTATGTAATTATGTATAATATTATCAGTTGTAAAGCAATAAATAAACAAAAGTACCGCCAGTCACCGAAAACCTGTTAAAATTTATATCGAATCAACATAAGCTGACTGCAGACTCTCTCGATATCACTTATATTAAAAATATATATAAGTCTAATAAAAATATCGCTGTTAGATATTGAATCGTGTCTATTATGTCTTGATTTCGCAGAAATTGGGATTATATTTTGATGGCTGCTTATTTATGATGTGGGTTTGAAGTATTTATTGTGAAGACCTGGTCCTGTCTGAAGGGTACGGGTTTAATCTGAAGGCCTCGCTAAGGGTGCAAATCTCGGGCTAAGGCCGTTGCTGTATATTTCAATCCGAGGAGCCTGCTATAGTCTCACGATTTTTATTTTTGTTTGTTATCGATACTTACATCACTGTAGTCTGTTTGTAATAACAATTGACGTACAAAGTTTTTTAATGCCATCTCACGACCTTTTAGTCTAAATTGGGATAAAAAATCATAGGACACGACGCTCTCGTAGATAACAGGTGACTTTGGTTATCATCAGACGGGTTTGTGCCCGGAGTCGGTGACCCCCACGGGTGGTAGCGCGCCAACCACCCCGCTGGAAGCCCGGGTGGACATGCCGCAGCCGAGGCCGCTCCCCATGCCGGAGTATGGCGGGTTCTTCGCGAGACTCACCGAGTACTTACCTGATAGCAACCAGCCCATCTCAGGCTTTCATAGGTACATACAAACCGTTCGGGAACATTCCATAATATTTAAAAAATATATTTTGTATTATTGTTTTATCGATGGATTAATACTTTTAATTATAAATTTCACAAGTATTTATGACAAGTAAAATCTCTGACGAATTTAAACAATAGATGCCTTTATGCGACACGTTCTTTCACGCGATTTAGCGCGGGAAAACCAGCACGTGCAATTGTGATTGATTACATTTTACTCTTTTTGTGTTCATTCTTTCGTGCGTGATTGCACGAATATTTCATGTCATTTCATTTTTAAAAGAAATATTTTTATTCTACTATAAATTAACAATAACTGTATAATTATGTGTTTGCCCCATTGTTAGATATTCACCATTTTGCTGTAATAATTAATTATTATAATAGGCGTTAAAACACGCACGATAGAAGGATGCAGGAATACCCGATCTTTGCGCGTGAAAAAGAGTACGTGTAAAGGCAGCTCTTTTTACTTAATTTAAAATGAATTTAATACCCTTTAAGTATTATGTGCATTAGCATGTGTAAAATAATTGACGTTTTGAGGAATGAGGTATGAGGACAGGTACTATACATCGTATATAGATTAATCATAACCGGTTAATTTGCCTACGTCTACATAAAATATGTGCCAGGTGTAACGTGGCGGTAATGCTGCTATGCGACGTGGTGCTGGACGGCGTGGAGATTGACTGGTCCATACACGTGCCGTTGATGCTGCACATCGTCTTTTTAGGAATGGACCACACCAGGTAAACTTAACAGCAAACGTTTAGACAAACAATGACAAAATGTTTTATTATTCTTGAAATCATCCGTAGTAGTTGTGATCAGATGCTGAGAGGACTACTGAAACTAAGATTATATGCATAAAACAACAGCAAATCTAGTACCAAGCTAAGCAGAAATGATATTATATAAATTATTTATTTATTATTTTGTTTGTAAATACATACGACATATACATAGAAAACACCCGGACCGATACAAATAATCATACTCATGAATACAAATACATATTTGCGAGTAGACAACCTCGACCATCGGCTATACTGCTTGATCATCGACGCCGTCTATGACATAAAATAAACATTATTGCCATATATGTATGAAAGGCAATGAAACATTAAAATATTGTCACCTTATATTATAACGTCGTCCGTTAACAATGGTTGGCATCATGCTTCTTAGATGGATAGTGCACCAGCACTGTCGCCAGCTGCTGTTGAACCTATTAGTGGCGGTGGCCGCCCACCACGACCATCTGACGGTGGCGCGAGTACTGCTCGCCAGCAGGTCCGCGCTGCTCGGACTGGGAATACCACCACCACACCTGCCTCTGGTGCAGCACAACTTCACAGGTATGTACCTACATCTATTGCTACACATCTAGAGGCTACGGTACATTGCAATGTCTTCAGTCTATGTCCATGTATGATTGGTTAAGTTGATGAAATGAAACGTTGCTTGAAAGATAATATGTGTATAGTATGCGATAGATAGAAAGGAAGTGGCAAAACAAAAGAAAGCAGATCGATAAATAAATGGAAGATTGCAGACATAAGTCAAAGCTAAAATGGTCTAATTATGATTTTTTATTTTTATTAGATATAGTACTGTGAAATTGTTTATCATGTTTAACGTGAATATTTAAATGATGACGCCTGTATATGTAAAAAGAAATTGGGATAAATCTTCGAAATTAGTTTAGTAATGAAAATTAGAAATGGCCTTTATTCTTTTAAAGGTAATTGTGAATTTGTTTTGACTATTTTTATTCATTCAAAATTTAAAAACCACGCTCTTGTTGGTGGAGATCGTGACATACACACGATCTTCACTCATCCTCTTTATATATTGATACACTACTCCAATTCTAATATACATTGAACCAATTAAAAATAATAGAATCATTATGGAATCAAGTTTTCACCTTTCCGCGTTTCAACAACGTACAGCAATGTTTGCTTAAATAACTTTGTTGTTGCTTCTGAACATCGTAAGTTCTAAGAATTCTTTTTAAAATTTTTATATACCAATGTTTAGGATACTTGTCTAATGAAGATATTTTTTATATAAACAGTAAATATTTATCTGTATAATTAGGATTCCTACCTATTTGTTACTGGAGTAGTAACAAATAGGTAGGTTACGATTTTTTATACTTGTTTGTTCTCAGAAATATGATGTTCTGTTGGATTATAATGCTACTTTACCGGCTCATGTACGCTCGAGCGTTCTATTCATTTCGAGGAAGTTCTTTTAATAGTAAACGTAGAACTCAAAGCAAAGAAATATATCGATAGGAAAAACTAGTTACAAGAAATGTGCTCAATAATGTCTAATTCCGGAAAATGTTACATTTGTATTTGAGTACAAAAATTTAGCAAATTATTCATAATACTATGCTGTTGAGTGAACACGTATATCATTAATATATTTTAATATAATATTTACGAATAATATAATGGAATTACATAGTGTTATTTTTTCTATTTAATTAATAATGTTTATGTAATATGACTTAATTTAATGGTAATAATAATTCTATAAGTATGTAGGTTTTATTTTAGTTTCACTATTATTATACCTAGTATATTTTATGGTCTGGCCGGATTATTATAACAAATAGTTTATACAAAAAGTTTACTTTATACAAGTAACTTCAAATATTTATTCTGTCTTCATTGTTATCGATATAATTGCAATACATAAGAGAATTGTACGTCACATGATGTGATGTACACATGCTTACGCACTTCAACGTACACCAGCACGCAATTGTGTTCGCACGCACACGCATTCACATGCACTCAAACGCACTCACACACGTTACTGATACTAACTGTACCACTACTATATTGCTTTTTATATATATGTATGAGACTACAGAATAGGATATTTGCTCTAACGAAAAATTACTGAACAGTCTGAGTCTTTCCATGTGTCACCAAGTAACTTGTTTCTAAGAAGTGCTTTGGTTGAACTCTGAATTAAGGTAGTGAAATTACAGAATAAGAGGCATGATATTTTAGTCCTCTGAAAAGGTATTACGAGTATCATATGTCACAACAATGTATATAGTGCTATTCATGTACGTAATTACAAATAAAATAAAAAAGACAGTGACTGAATAAATGTAAAGGCAATTGTAATAATAATATATATAGTATAGAATTACTATTGAAAAAATATAGTGTGATTGTTTTAATAGTAATTCATGTTATTTAAAATAAAATATTATTATTACATATCCAAGTTCTTTTCACTACATAAACCTGACTGACATCTACACGAGATCAATTTTCTATTCCAATTACATAAAAAAACTGTAATAGATTAGTAGACAATACATGCTCTTGTAATGAATAAATAAAATTTCTTTTTTCTTTAAGATTAAATATGCAACAGCAATGTGAGCAATAAATAGATTCAAAATGAAAATTTATAAATAAAAGTAAATCATCATCAACAACTAGACTTAAAATTAGAATATATGTAATGTATATATTTTTTTTATTATTAAATTAGGAACTTTGTCTATTTTTGGTCCGTGTACATAAATTCTATTATAACTGAAAACATATAAGGTGGACAATAAAAAAGTGCCATTAAAACCTAGTAATGATATCATACACCAACCTCGTAGTTACAGACATGGTTTCCGCTAGCACAGTGTGCAACATACTCACATAATTCTTACAAAGTTGTGTAGTTGGACGACAATACTGTTTTCATGAGGTGTCCGACGGTCCGACGTATACATAGGTATACTTATAAATAGAAATCCGAATTATAATCAAACAACGGTTAGTGTTGAACGCCAGACTGGTTCGAAGATTAAAGCAGTGCGATATGATAATTGAACAAAAAGATAAACATTAAACAAAGTAATATACAATCTAAAAGAAATAATGTTCTGCATGCTCCTTCTTGTGCTTTTAAAGGAAATGTTCAGTATGTAGTAAAATCATTTATAATAGGATAATTATTTTAATGGTAACAATCAAGACATTAAGGCATCTCGCCTTACATAGAATTTAGCTTTTTATATTGATTACAGAAAAAAAAATATTTAAAGAGTATCTCAACATAGCTTCCGTAATTAAAATATATATAGCAAAAATATGACATATACAAATAACAGTACCTAAATTACAAAGTAGTAAGCCTATCCATTACCTATACTCGAAATACAAGTTTGATGCTTTACGTGTCCTAAATGTTTTGTCAAAACTTATAGTTTGGTTTCTCAACTGTTAGAAGTGGTAGGTCCCAAGGACTGAAAGCAATGTTTGTAAACACACAGAGCCGGACGCGGCATTCGACAGCCCTCCGACGTGCGGGCACGCGCAGCGTTCGCACGCTCGCTCGCTTAGCTCTGACCCGCAGGTCACGCCTGAAGGTAAACATTAGGCGGCTAGTCTGCTCTGATGACTGCCTAGCTACACTCGCGTATGCCTGTTAACTCAACTCTTATATATGACTAACTATTCTACGCAATGCAATCCACTCACAAATTGAATTGAACACCGCTTGTATGATTTTAATATACGGTTAGGCGCTTTTTGTGCACTATAGTATTTTGTTCTTCTATAGTTCGACCGTAAACTATTATATATGTACAGAGTATAAGCTTGAGCACTAGCTCGATCTGTGTATCAAACAAGAATTGAGCATTGTTTTTCATATTTATTATGCAATGGTTATAGTTTTCTAGAATGATCACTGTCTGAAAAATTTATGCTCCGTATGTATTAATAACTTGGTTGTTATATTGTTATGGGTTTGCCAACCTTAAAACATTTCACCTCTTACAAAGAAGTCAAAATATTACAAAATCTTATCTCAATTTGGAACTTTGTAGATCTATTTTGATAATGATAAGGGCCGAGTACAAAGTTAATTTGTTATACCAGTAAAAAATAGTGCAAAAACTAAAACTTAATGAAATACTAAAATTATAACTAATTTTAGTGTTTTTAAAAACATTATCCATAATTTTTCTTAGGTAAAATCTTGTACAAGTATATTGCGGAAATTTCGTACTAGTATCAGGGTACTACTGTTCGGTTGGCATACCTGTAGCCCTTCTATCTTGTCGTTCATGTCTTCATGCTACTTCTTCTGCTTTTATGTATTTAAGATAATAGTCGAAATTGGTATTGAGATGTAGGGACCTTTTTTTAACAACAGAGCATTTAGTTACTTCTAATTAAACGTCCTAGCGAGCTTTGAAATGTATACTAATTATTATCGAGGGTCTGGAGTGCTTGATTTGATTCTCTGCTTTTTATTGACCTTGAGAGATGAAAGTAAATATTGGAATAGTGTTTCGTCAATGTAATGGTTTTTGTAGGCGAGACAGACAATTATCCATCGCTGCCGGTGATCGTGACCGGCGAAGCAGAAGCCAACGGTGCCCAGGAATCGGAACCAGAGCCGGCGGACTTGCCCGTCGCTGACGTCATTAAGTCTCTAGTACACTTCCTAGCCAACAGACCAACACACATGCCGCTCTGGCAGTACGAAGATATCACCGCTAAAGGTAGGCATGTAGTACTGTAATGATGTACCTTGCCATATCTTATTTTTATAATTATAATATTTAGTTTGGAAAAGCTTAACATTCATCCTACTAAAGCATATTTGTTACAAAAAGCCACAATCCAGAACTCTCCCACACTTGGCTAAGGTCTGGGTATATTACCTTGTTTAATAAGAATAAAAGAAAACAAAAGAGTAGTAGTAGTAAGTTGGGTAAACGAAGGAAGTACCGAGTGGATCATAGATTTATTTTAGTAATGATAATACTACAAACTTTATATTTACAACATTTTAAATGTGTATCAAAATATTATTCATTTTGGATAATATTTACCTTATGACTAAATAAATATGTTACCTAAAGTTTTGTGTGCAAGCCTCCAGGCAAAGCTTCAAATAAGCGAATGCTAACAAAGCCTGGATGTATATTAAGAGTATACTAATTTAAACTGTATATTCAAAGTTAATACAAATATTTGCATTTTACCGTTTAAATAGCACAATTCTCATGCAGAAAGTGTAGTACTGTGAGTGGACATGTTTATACAACATCTCAGGCAGATACAAATTTGTATGTAATGATGCAGTTATATATGTGCTTTGTAAGAGGAAATTCACGAGTAACGCAATAATGATGCTGAAATTTTGTTTACCTTACTGGCATAGGGTTTTTTTATTTATTTAGCGGCTCAACTGATGGTAATTAATTGCCGCCGCCTATGACAACCTACAACACCTGAGGAACGGCAACTGTGGTCTTTTAATAGAGTATAACCTCGTTTCTTGAAGGTTTCAATATCGTGTCGGTTTCGAAATTTCGTCGAGAGGTTTCCTGGAATATCGCTAATCTGCTCCGGAATGAAATATTTTTATAATTATAACAAGAATGGCAAACAAAGTATGTTTGCCATTCTTATTATAGCTATATACATCGATACTAATAGTAACAGGCAACTGTCGCCTAAATACATATATAATGTATATTATTCTTACCTTATACGCAAAAATATACAATTATACATACAATTATATGTATTCATATTGGGTTTAAATTAGTGGTTTTTCATTAAACTGGTAGTACATTGAATTTATTTACCCATGTGTGATTCTAAGGACATGATTTATCTGTATGCCTATTCACATACATGCCCAAGACGTCTTTTATGCATTGTCATTATTAAAATGTTCGATTTCCCAGCTTATTTTAATAATATTTCTCTGTAGTACAAGTTGTTCGAAAAATAAAATAAATGTATGAAATACAAAAAAAGCAGCAGTTAATTTATTTAATTCGAAAGCTTGAGGTTCTGACAGTTTGTCATCGGGGCAGAGTACCTACTATCTCTCACCTGCTTCTCCGCCTACATGTGATACTATGTGTTGACATAGATTAAGAAAAAGCTCGTTTTTCATTTTTTACAGAATTTATTACTATTTAAAAATTCCAGAAACGTCTCGACTTATACGTCAATGTCTAATTTCGCTGTCTTCGGCGACTCGAGAAATCTCGAGCCTACCTAAGCATACCCTAATTGCCATTCCGTAGGGCTATGGTGTAATCCCTTCGTACTCTCCTGTCCGCCGGGTGCCAGATTATGGTGTCTCTTACTAGGTGTTATGTACCCACAGTGTGGACTCTACGCAGCTGCCAGCAGATGTCGACGCTGGTGCGTCACGTGTTACGCGTTTTCCGCGAGTCACTCCCACAGGCCCTCATCTCAGAGCGGTGGGCGCAAACTGCGCTACAGCTGGGCCTCTCGTGCCCTTCCAGGCACTACGCAGGACGATCCCTCCAGGTACACGTCTCGACTACATAGGAATGTAGGCAGCAGACAACTTTAACATGTAGTATACATAACGTTCCTGGGTTCCTCATAGGGTCCTGAAACAATAATAGAAAAGTAACATATAATACTAATAAAACAGCCAGTGGTCAATCATACATTTAGAGTAAATGTATGATTGACCACTGGCATTATTATGGCAGTATTAGTAAAATAGTTACTATGCTAAGAAATATGAAAATATATAAATGACTATTCAAACGTGCTTATATTAAGTTTATTTGAATAATGATTATTTCTATTACTAGACAACTGATAGAAATGTTCTTAAATCATTATTATTAGTCAATACTAATCCTTATCAATTAATACAAAAATGTAACAGCTGATTAACTGTGTGGGCAGGTGTTCAGGTTCATCGGTGTGGCTATGACCGGTCGCATGGTGTCCGACATACTGTCGCGGCTGGTGGAGACTGTCGCCGAACAAGGCGAGGACATGCAGGGCTATGTCACCGAACTGCTCCTCACCCTCGAGGCGGCCGTGGACTCGCTCGAATCCAACTTCAGGCCCCTGGACTACATGCGGGACATATTCAAGTCAACGCCCAACTTAAACAATAAAGATGGCGGGCCGCAGGTCAACAGCGGCGGATTCGCGGCCGGTCAGTGACTTTTTCATTCTCAATTTCCCTGAAATTGTCTTTTATCTGTCATGCAAGTTTGAATCTTAATGTATTGACAATAATTTTGAAATTTTATAGATTTGAATTCTTATCGACGAAACTCATAAAGCTACGTACTCGACGATATGATATGACATTACACATTCAGACGATATTGCTGAATTGCAATATAGTCAGTAGTATGTTATGAGAATTTCAATATATTTCAATATAGGTACATTTCTGCATTGTCATTTCAATTCGACATGAGATACCTAATATTTTCAAATATTAAAATATTGTTTTATTATTTTTTTTAGCTTTTTTACTTAAGTTCTTGTCTACACAACAAAATATACAATAATATACAAATGTTATAATCCCGGACGTGCGTGGGGACTGCAACACTCAGATATATTTCATAGTATTTCAGTATTGATTTATTCTTTCTTTCTTTTTTCGTAATTTTTTTTTATTTTGTATAATAGAAACATGTATTTTTGTTAAATACCTATAATTACTGTCAGCAACGTAATAAATTGTCGTTGATAGTGTTCAGCAGTACACTTGGATTGTTATATATTTATTTATAATATAATAATTTATTATTGATATATCTTTAAATTTATATATGTACTTGTTTTCGTACAGCGTAAAAAAATATCAATAAAAAACAAAAAAGGCTTTACATATGTATCTTGTCTATTTCAGTTCACACCAAAATATTGCAAATAAACTATATTTGCATCTCTATCGAAACTGAAAAATTTGTATATCTGTACATGTACGCTGACTGTGGTTTGCAATCCTACATTCCGCTTTAAAATACCGCGTTCCAACTATTTCCCGCATGTCGATGCGACCTGTGGAATGTCTGCATTTGTGCGGCATATCCATCCCGTCCAGGAATTTTATCTGATCTAAATGCGGTCTGCTCTGCAATGTATTTGAGCAGGCATTTAATGTTTGTTTCATACTAGTCTGATCACAAACAGACATGTAAATTCTCTAATTATATATTCGTCTATTTTGTTACTATGAGTACGATGCAGCTAATCTATATATATGCTTAATGTTACTATTGATACTCTCTGTACATGTAAATTCATTATATTATTAAATATTATACGAGCATTAGCGTCATTATTTTTGTATATAAATATATGACTATTTCAACTTTATCCCATCTTAATTGGGGTCAGCTTTCCTAATCATCATTTGGTTTACATTTACAACTGAAAAATGTTTTTTGAGGTGGCTATCCACGATTCTTTTGTTCAAGATTGATGTTTAGCACTTATAATTTGTATATATATAATACATAAATATATATTATACTAGCTGTGCCCGCTGTTTCGTTCGCGTTAAATTCCAATATATAAATTTCAATAAGAAATAGAGCCTATGTGTTATTCTAATACCTAAGCTATATTACTGTAAATTTTCATCAAAATCCATTCAGTAGTTTTTGCGGGAAAGAGTAACATACATCCATACTTACAAACTTTCGTGTTTTTAATATTTACTTTTGTCTTTTTGTTTGATTGTTTAATATTACATATGTATTTTTTTAATAATACATATATAAATGGTGTGTATATACACCTGTAGGCAAGCGGTCTCCGGGCGTTTGCGGCGGCTGCGTGAGCAACCACACACGCAGCACCAGCTACTCTGTGACGTACTGCATGCGGAAAACCAACGTGACCTCCTCAGCAGACAAGCACCAGCACCAACACGGTCGGTACACACACATCTGTCGTACACACCTACATAGACTAGACTAGTTGTTATGACTCAAACATGTTGCAAATATTGTATAGCAATCTAATATATAATTTTAATAGATATATACATATATATATATTATTATTTTATTATGAAATGAAATTTCAATGTCATACATGCAGACGACCCAAGTGATAGTGATGTATACTAGCTGATCCGGCTAAAGTTATTTGGCCATATAAATCAATATCGCTATTAAAAAAATAGGCGTTGATAATAAGTAGTAATAGTTGAAAGAGTGAAAAATTACTGTTTATCCTAAAACAAAACGTTTTGGGGTGAGCCATCCTTGTTCATTTAGGGGAACAAAAATAGAGGACAACCTATTCTAGGACCTATCGAGTATACATATAAAATTTCACAAGATTTTTTTATATTAGAAGTATTTCGTAAATTTTGTCGCCAGGCAGCTTTGTTTGTAGGTTGCATTTGAAGTTTGTCATACGTGAATAGAATTACAGAGTATAGAGACTGCACAAAAATATATTATAGATAATATAAATACTATTTGTGTGTAAGCAGTAGTGTTAATGTTATAGATCGACGAGCGGGTAGTGAAGCGGCTAAAGGCATCTGCTCTAACTTGTGCCGATCGCGATCCGCACAGTCACTGAAGTTGCTTGGTGATACTGCCTCACAGGTACCAATTACAATACAATATTAAAGATTATATTAAACTAAAAGAAAAGTCTTTTATTTTATTCATACCATATTTTAAAGTAAGTGTTGTATATATGCATGTGGATGGACTATGGTAAAGATGATACAGTAAGAAATTGAAGTAACGAGATGACAGCGAACAGGGATGAATGAAAAAGAAAACATTATGCTGATCCCGAATGAATGGGATAAAGAATAAGCAGATGATGACATAATTGAATTTAATTTGTCTACTTTTTCTCATCAATATAATGTTATGAAGATTATTATAATAAATCGCACCTACTAAACCGACACAATTTTTTTGTGACTCACTTGTTGTCGGCGTCTTGTACAAACATGCGATACGAACGTTTGCATTAAAATTCTTACCTTTAGGAAATGTTTACCTTTTTATAATTTTCTATTTTTTATTGTAATCTTTATTATAAATAATATGTAAGTATATTAAAAATATTCATATGTGTGCCAAAAAATTGTCCTGTTGATAAAAAAGGCTGCTGTGCTCACACTAGGTGTATATCGTCAGAACCTCAGTGTTATGGTGTAATCGGCAGGACGACAAGCTGACGATATTGGCGACGTTGTTCTGGGTGGGCGCGTCACTGCTGGAGTCGGACTACGAGCACGAGTTCCTGTTGGGGGTGCGTCTGCTGGCCCGGGTGGCGACCCGGTTGCCGCTCGACCGGCTCGACCGGGCGCAGGCGCACGCAGCGCACTCGCATCCGTCGCATGCGGCTCACAACACGCACACATCGCATGCATCGCTACACGCGCTGTTACTCAAGGTACGACACTTCGTGTAACCTCTCTGTAGCCTCTAACTATCTCATACTATATATTATGTCAGTCTCGGATAAAAATTACATCTATCAATATGTAATGTTATTTAACATAATAATCTGTACATAATTGGATCAGTTAAACATACATTTACATATTTTAATTACACATAAATTTACATATTTGATGATATAAACTAATAATTTAGATAATGCAAACTGTTATGAAATCCGATCGTCCCGCCTTCAATTCAAACAGGGGCCGAAATTACGACGGTCTGAGGTGAGCTTCGAACTCCTAGCGGTGCCCTCATATTAAAATTTATCAGTCATCATAGATCAGGTAGAAATTGGCCTTTAGCCGCTCATGAGTGGAGTGCATTTGCATTTACTCCCTATATTCTAAACACCAGCTGCAATCAACAGCATTTGAAATGCTCAAATGAAAATTAAAATATTTAAATAATACACAGGGTTGCACGCACCCAAACACGTACGAACCAGTGGTGGGCGTGCTGGCGGATATGATCCCACTGTTGGAATTGCCCGTCATCGACCCCACGCAGTCACTCGCCTTCCCCATGACCGTAGTGGCACTGTTGCCCTACATGCTGCTACACTACGAGGACGCAAATGAACTATGCGTACGTGCTGCATGCCACATCGCCCAGGTAACAAACTAAATAATTATTACAATTAAGGTTTATGTTGTTCTCTGACAAAAATCTTTATACTGAAGTTATGTATACAAAAAATATTATAAAATTCTTAATAATATAAAGACATTATCACATAACTATAAAAGAATGTGATTAGTACGTCGTAACGTAGTAACAGTTTTAATGTATGATTTATAAAACTTCGTAACTATGAGAATTAGGTAGGTTAGGAAAGTAAAGAAAGAAACTGACGTTAATAAGCGGCTAATTTGTCAAAAATACATAAATAAATGTTTTTTGATTTCTTGACGGTGACGCAATAATTATATTCTATGATGCTTTAAATTTCTCAATAAAAAAATCATCTAAATATAATATTAAAAATATGGTATTTTTTGTTTGAGTTATTATACTTAATAACAAGTGCTGATACGATTTTCACTCTAAAGACATAATAGATATCTGTAGTGTCCTATATGAATAGATATATTTCGATTAAAAATTTATGTATTACATTTTTTTTATTGATGTATTACATAAAATGAAGATTATATGAAAATATTAAGTATGTATAGACGTTAGGATCTTATTTATTTACGTACATTTATGCTAATGAATCCTGATATTATTGAATCCTGTTCTCGATGACAGTTCACCGCGGAGAAGAGCAAGAAGCTGGAGAACCTGGGCACGGTGATGACACTGTACTCGCGCCGCACGTTCAGCAAGGAAAGTTTCCAGTGGACCAAGTGCGTGGTCAAGTACCTGTGGGACACATACTCGCACCTTTCGCTACAGATGATCGCCTTCCTCGTCGAAGTGCTCGAGAAGGTAACTATGAACACGCTTTATTCTACACACCGACACACATATACATTGGTGAGCCTTCAGTGAATAATAATGGGCTGAGGATGAATAGTAATTTACTATTAACTTGCGGTTGCAGAGAGATCGAGGTGGACATGAGAAGAATATTCATTGCTTCCAATCGAGCAACTTTAGTTGTTACACTGTTTATTTTATTTTTTTAAGTATTTATTACGCAAAATGGCTTCTATTTGATACACCCTGATGTATAATCTCAAATGTTTTAAGAAAAGTGAGATAATAAATATATACATATATAATCGAAAATATCCCAGAGCAATCTTACAGAGCGACATTATCTCTTCACCACTGTAGCGTTATATATGATGTAAAGAGGTGTCACTACTTAGTAATGAGTGTACGTCTGTAATAATTGAACTAAATTAGTAAGTTTGATAGTAATTGACTACATAAGTCACGCGTAAACTCAACGTGAAGTCGTAACGGGAACTGACTTACACTAGAGTTAATGAATATATGGAGATCTAAACAAAATGAAAGGGTCCACAATCTTAACGCTGTCTTATATGTCCAGATCTGTATATGATCCATGTATTTGATTGTCCTGCAGGGATCTGTGAGCCTTCAGCTACCGGTGCTGTCGATCCTACACTGCATGCTGTACCACGTGGAGCTGAATGCGCCCGCTGCCCAGCCAGTCAACGCGGACCTACTGCGGGCCGTCGCCAAGTTCATAGACGTGAGTTTTTTTTATTAGGTCATTTAGCCCATCCTGTAAAATTCAAGAAGATATTGTCAGGATAGTTTCCGAGGCGACTTGCGAGAAAATCAACCAGACAGTTTGGAATATTTAAAAAATGGCCGCCTTTATAAAATCCATAACATTTTGTTCATTTCTAACTTCGCGTACTAATTTCACATTAATAAACAAAGGTATGGAGTTTTCGACCCTATTTTTTAATGATCTCTTAAATTCTAACAAAAGTTAAATTATTTTTATTCTGTGTGAATTGTCCTGGGTTATTATTATTATAGCTTTTTTTTTTCTTTTTGGCAGGATGGTAACAACTACAAGGAGGCGATGAAGATCCTGAAGCTGGTGGTGACGAGGTGTTCCACGCTGGTCGTGCCGCCGTATTGGGACTCGCATGCATCCTCCATACTAGACACGGAGCTACACGGCAAGAAGGTATGACAACATATGTTATTGTAGGTCATTAAGTCAAAAGAATAACGACCACACATTGCACTTGTCTCGCTAAAGGTTTACACAGACTTTTTCTTCTTTTTAAATTTACAAATATAAAACAACTGATTATTCATAAAATCCGGCACTAGACGAACGGGAATCCATAAAAGAATTACCAAATATTATTGACTAGCTGTGGCTGTGGTTTCACCTGCGTGAAATTTAAAGTCTGTTATTGTAAAGTATTATTAAAATTCATTCAGTAGTGAAAAGGAGTAACATACATCTATCCACCCACCCATACTCACAAAGTTACGCGAAAAAATATTAGTAATAGATCAGTGAGTAGAATAAATTTGTAAAAACATTGGAGTTTAATTCTATATTACATATGTATAAATAAAGCAAGACGTTTACGGTTCCTTTTTCATCATTTCAATTCATAAGTTTTGTAGGCGTTGTAGAATTTAAATATACAGACCATGACTAACGTGTCTTTACTAAACAGACTCACTATCATAATAATAATTATTATTGTATATATTTATTGCCCATAGAATACATTAATTAGGCATGATCATTAGAAATAAGATTAACAAAGGACGAATTATCTCGAAAATAGATCTCTTGCAGTCAACACAATACAACGTGGAATAGGAAGTGTTATGTGTGTGTCAAAATCTGCAAATCATTGGAGTTGCTAGAGTCCTGACGGTAAGTGGTAACCGCTTATCGCCTATAAACATAAACAGTTCTACATAGATCACGCTAACACGTAACTCCGTTCCATAGAATAAGATGTTATGCCTCTTATGCTGTTATTTCTCTTATTTCCTTTAATGCCTACAATCTAAATACAAAACTGTACCCATCCAGACGTTTTTACAAACTCTACCTCGAATATATTTAATATACACTGTAACATTGAATGTTACTCTCGTTAACCAAAAATACAAACGAGTTTTTTTGATGAGCTTGTTTATACAAACTCATCATTTAATTTAATTTTATTTATTTATTATTTTCATTATATATATGTATCCTGCAAAACGTTGTTTTGTTTATTTATTATTAAAACATAGAATCTCTATGTTTTAATAGTAGAAGGCTAAAAATTTACTTTAGGGTACTTATAGGAAACCGGTTAAGCCAGTAATAATACCGCTATACAAATCAATACATTAGTAATGAAAGTTTTTTATATGAATGTAGATAGATGGTTATAAGAAAATAGGAAAGCCAAAAAAAGATAGATAGACTATGTGAAAGATAATATGCCAGAAAAGGGACTAAGTAACAAGATAACTGCGATCGTGAATAAATGGAAGTGAAATACATGTTACGCCGATCCCAAATTAATGGGATAAGAAAGAAACAAATAACGATGATAATAATATTCTAAGTATGATTATATATTTGTTTGTGTTCATATTTGCAGGAGCTCCCGGGTCGTACGATGGACTTCACGTTCGATCTATCGCAAACGCCAGTAATAGGCCGCAAGTATCTGCCAAAGGCGAACAGTCAGCCAGCCACTGGACCTAGCTCGCTGTCGAATGCATCCACAGTTACACCAGACAAAGGTAAACTTAACATATCTATTTTATTTTAATATCCCTGAATAATTTAAAAGGAGTCTCTAACCTCAAGCATTCCCACATTCTTCAATCGTGAGGGCTTTAGCGCCTTTTTATAATAATAACTAACTATAGAGCAAAGAAGCAGTTGTAAAGTTATTGAAAGTTTATAAATTTTAAACAAGTCTTTGTAAAAAAAAATCTGTGTAAACAAAATCGATTTAAAATGATATTACATTCTTTTAAAATTTCAAACATTCACGAAAGAGTGATTACATATAATAATAAAATGGATATAATCGCGGGCGAAAGAATGTGTCGAGTAAAGGCACCAATTGTAAAAATTTTGAAATTGCAGTATTTATTGTAGAAGTTACATTACATAGATGAGAAGATCTAATAAAAAAGGATATTTCAAAAATTTATAATACAGTTTTAGAAAAGAAATAAATTCATATTCCTTTAGTTTATTGTTTTCTCATTTCGTCTTAATTGCTGAACTGAATGGTAGCAATAGTGATAAAATATTTTGTCCAGTGGATCGGTTAAGTACAAAAATTAGCAATGTACTAAGTCAACTTGACCTCCACGCGTTTCCTCCTAAAAACCATCGCGATAATTTTGTACCTGACACCATTCTATAATCACTGATGCACAATTCCATATTCATTAATTAAAAAGAACTACAAAAAGAGGGACTACAAACTGCAGGGATAAATGATTTTAACTTTTTCTATATTTATTTGTTTATTCTATTAACACAATATAAACTTACAGCTAATTGCCAACGCGTTTATATTTTAAAACTATTATACTTAACTATATAATGACAAAAACATTCTTATATTATTTATTACTAGCTGTTCCCGCGACTTCGTCCGCGTGGAATTTAACTTTACTTTTCTAAAATAAAAGTAGTTTATGTTACTCCTTATTACATCAGCTACCTGCCAAAAAATGTTTCCGTACCGTTACATTCATATGCACGTAGTAAAATACGGTTATTTTAATATTACAAACAGACATTCCAATTTTATTTATGTGTATAGATGGAAGTCAAAGCTTCTGTATATACGTCAGCATCTTAGACCTTACCTAAAAATAAATTTAATAGATGGGATAGCTCGCATAGTGGGATAATTATTAGCGTAGCTTATGCGTACCATCTGACTTTGCCTATGATATGTATATTGTTATGTATATTTATTTATATGGCGTCTTAAAATAATAATATTTACGTACCGTAAAATTAAGTAAAATCACAGCATCTTACTACGTTTCATTTATGGGTATTAATTTTCGTATTTATAACGTTACGTAGTGATGCTCACGTGTTGGTGTGTGTTGTAGGAGCTGCGGCTGGTGCTCCAGCAACATCGGGTGGGGCCGCTGGTGCTGGTGCGTCTCCGCGACGTTCGCTGTCCCTGTCGCCAGTGGACGCGCTCGCTTCGGGCTGGAGACGACCCTGGATGTCACAGGTGATATACACGACTGTTTACCATCATCTGTCCTACTCTTTTACTATCGTTAACACATAAAGTAATGTACATGATGAACTAAATGACCCGTGAACTTTCTATCACCTACAATTATATATTTATATACATTGACTGACCTAGCAAATGATTTTCGATATTTTTAATGTTTTGATAGTGTTATTTTTTTTAAATTTAGTTTATAAATAATAATATAAAAAATGTTCTAGTTGAGGTTCTTGTCAGTTATTCTCAATTGAAGTAAATGGGCGAATTGTACTATAGCGATAATGATATTATGTATACTTACACTAACTGGCCCGGCAAACATTGTTATGCCATATAAATAAATTTATCGACTACCGAAAGTAAAAAGTTATTAAAGTAATAATATCGCTATTTTAAAATATGGGTTGATGGCAAAGGAGTGAAAATTTACGGTTGTTGTATTTTTAATGCTAAATTAAAGAAATTTATTAAAAAATTTATTACACACCACTCAGTGTCATAACAATAGTGTATTCTCAGACCTACAAAATATACACACAAAATTACATAAGAATCGGTCAAGCCGTTTTGGGGGAGTTTTGTTACGAACACTGTGATACGTGAATTTTATATATCTTTACATAGTACAAAGGCGCCGCCGCTGTATGTTCACTTATAAATTTTAAATTACTCAATGGATTCTATTATAGATTTCAGCAATAGACAGAGTAATTCATGAGGAAGGGTTATATGTATAATATGTCTGTTTATTAGTATATAACAAGCAGATAAATTAAAGGATTTGGAATGCATCTGTACGAAGCCAGATCGCTGGTTAGAGATAAAACAATAAATATGAAAACTGTCTGATTGTGTAGATAAATGATTATATATTAAGGTGCATGAAATTTTATAAAATGTATATATCAACTTTTTATAAATATGGATCAACATATAGGGAAAAGGATTTTTATCGAATTTTTAATACACAATGTTCCATTTTACTAAAGAAGTTATAAAAAAAATAGATGATATCTATATTATTTCACACGCACGAAATCGCGATCACGAATAGTGTTTTGCCCCATTCCATTTATATTATAAGAACACATTGTATGAAATGATAAAATTGTTAGCTAAGAACAGTTTGTATACGGTACTGTAAATAAACGTGAGAGTCTTAAGTTACTGACCATATCTCACCAGTTTTCTCCTGTCGTTTGATTTATTTCTGGTACGTGTTTGAGACATTTGGAATTGTGGAAAAGCGCGTTACGTTTGTTATTAAATATGCGTATAGAAATAAACGCTGACAATTTTTGTAGGATACTTATTAACTCATGACGTTTTAATCCTTTGGAATGATAATATATGAGTGGTTAAAGCCGGTATATAATGAAGTGATGTCCGTGGCATGCTGTCCAGTATTATTACTCCTTACATTATTTCATTTGAAATGTATGAAAACATCCTATGGAAAAAAATTAAAAATGTGGAATGTTTAAAAAATTTATATTGAAAAAGAATTATTTACTCAAAAATAACTTTTTTTCTCAAAAGTCGCCATCGTACCTCAAACTTCCAGCTTGCAAGAATGCTAAGTAACCTTCAACACAAGTTCTTATGTTTTATATTTCTGATTCATATTTTCTTGTGTGAAATATATAATATACACAATAATCATACTTACATAGTATATATCGTTTAGGCAATGTGTGCAATAGGTAAAATCATAAATTGATCTAGAACACTACGAAAGTGTGCTATACGTGGACATGTTCGAACATGTTTCAGAGTCGCGTCCGGGAGTGCCTGGTGAACCTGCTGACCACGTGCGGCCAGAGAGTGGGGCTGCCCAAGAGTCCATCTGTAAGTAGCGACGGCCACGTCCACGTGTACGCTGTGCCAACCGTGCCATACAGTGATCAGACAGTAATAACGATAATTTCTATCCATCGCTGCGTATAGGACGATTTAATAACCACTTTATGTTCTAAGGTAACTCGCATACATAATGTATTGTGTCGCATAAGCTTTCATGCACACCCACACACGCTACGTGCTGAGCTCGCCGCGTCGCCGTGTATGACGCGAACTTTCAAACACGACACCCGGTCGCATCGCCACAATCATTCGACATTAATTTCGCAAATGCTTCTCATTGTTTATTTTTAAAGCATAAACGAATCATTAGCTGCCTTTACACGTACGCTCTTTCATCGGTTAGGAATCTGTTTTCACGCAGAAAATAATGTATATATAGACAAAGAGAACGAATAATACCGAGCTCCGCTAACTGACGAAATTTCGTTCTTCATTCATGAGTAGTTTAGCGCCTTTTTATAATAATTAATTAATATGCATCTGACTATAGAACATAGTCATAATTATAGAGTTATTTATAAATTATAAATCCTAAATATCTTAAGAAAATAAAATCTTCAGAATAAAAATAAAAGAGTGATCACAAAAAATAGTATAATGCAATCACACACTTTCCCGCGCTATATCTCGGTTGCTCATGATCACGCGTATCGATATAAAGAATGTATCGAGTAAAGGCAGCAATTGTTTTGCTAACACCGCCTCATTTACGCTTGTTATAAATTATTTCGTCATTTATAATTATACATCACAAAAAATATTTGTCCAGACACACGCAAAATATAACTATTGACTTGTATGACACATATGCAAATATTTATATTGAATATTATGCATGCACCACGTAGCACTTGTGGTTATAAATTACAATTGAATGCATATAATCCCGTTATTACGTAATATAATTTTTGTTAGTATTTATTTCAAATTTATACAAATAATATGTTTCTATATAACGTTTTAATAGAACTTACGTATTAGTTATACAAATGGGTCTAGTGATGCCCAAAATCAGAATAAAAAAAAATGAAATGTACTTAATATTTCGATTAATGTATGTTTTAAAAATACTCATATATCATTATCAAAGTTTGATTGAAGTATTATTGAAGGAATACTATTTTAATTTATTTATTAATAATTACGGTATTTTTCGAAGCGTAATTAATTTATTATTTATTAGTTGAAAAATATCTGCAGTATTTTTAATTTTGTTACTTATAATGTATACTGAATACAGTGCGGTTCTATATATTCGATTCTTATATTATTTTAATATGTAATTTAAATTAAATTAAATGCTTTTATCGTACGTCCCTACGTAACCATAGATAAATGTAGTTTTAGAAAAATGTACTCATTTTTTTCTCCCAATTTATGAAGGAATTATTTTGAAATAGAATTTAAGTATTTAAAACAATTAAACACTTACTAAAAGAGGTATTGTTAAAACCGTCAAAAGTCTGAAAAATGTTACTATTTTCATTTAGTAAGTGCTTGCATTTTAGACAATGAAATATTTGTTTACCTTTTCTGTAAGTACTATTAGAACGGAGTATAGTCTAGCGCGTCTAATTTACGACCGTCTGACTTTCTGTAGTCTACTACTAATACCATTCGTAATGGTAAAACTAATGGACCCAAAGGTAAACACATGTACATTGATTAATATCTGTCGAGCCGCACTGGAAAACAATTTACCACCGACACTGGAATGCGATTGTCTCGCGTTTTCGTACTCGAATTGTATACTAGCAAAGTAATTGTATCAAATGTTGTATCAAATGCCGTGTTCATTGTATGTCCTATTTTTCTAATTATTTTTTAATATGGTTTATTTAATTATAATAAAATCAATGCAAATAGAATAAATCTAAAAGTGTACCAACATAATATTACTTGCAATAAATGGGAAAATCTATAATTAACTCTTAAAAAGTAGATGTCGGTTTAATAAATATACCTACGAAATAACAATTCATATGAATTACCCTTAAATTGCATGATAATATAATACGATACGCTAATATTTGAGGAATTCCATTATTATATCATTATCATTTCACGATTGAAATCGTGATTAACTTACGCGTGCTTACTGAAAATTTTATTCTTGGACTTTTATTCTTTTCTGTTTAAATTTAGTGTCACTGAGAAAATGTTATCAATAATATACTGATTGTATTCTTAAACTTTCGATCACTAACTATTGACACGGTGTTGATATAATTACAATTAGTTTTTACAGTGTCATATCCACAGTTACACACATATTTTCTCACATTCATAATTCATTGTGCTCATTTTTCATTTCCATTGTTTTTTATATTATATCTAATAATAATAATACACGATAGTATATGTTGTGTACGATGTATATGATCGTATATTCTACGGGGATGTAGGAATAAATAACTCAATGTTTGTAGTTTCTGAATATTCTCTAAACTTTTTCTTTCTTCTTACCGCATATAATTTATTAATAATGAATTGCTATAAAAAATTATGCAATAAAAAACTATTTTATGTGTCAATTCAATATTTCTGGCTAACTTTCCGGTGATATAAACACCGTTAACAAGCCAAATTAATCCTAGAGACGGACGTGAGCTTGCCCGATGCTGTGCTAAATTCAAATAGACTACCGACATTCTGAAATGCCTCTGATTACCCCCTCTAAGATAACAGTCGTGAAGGTAGTATTGATTATTATTTATTTCCAATCAAATTAAAATAAGTATACGGTATAAATTGATGATTTAAACTAACTTTCAACTAAACGTCTAATAAACTATAAACCGCGTTATTCTCACTACCAAAAGCTTTCAGTTATTTACATGCTATGTGCATGTAAATAACTCAAAGCTAGAGGCACTATATCGGGCATATAACATAATTTATTAACGCCCCTAACACTACTCAATACGTGACTTTAATCCATCTGACATGAGTACGTAAAAGCAAGGTCAATTTAAAGCCTTTACAAAATAATGGCAAATAAATAAATGAATGGATACTAATTAGATGAAAAATTATAAGGGTATTTATTCAGTAATCAGAAATTCATTCTAAGAAAATTGTGTGGCAAATTAATTATGAGTTTGTGAAAAAATTGTGAGGGTATTTAGTAATGATTTTATGACAAAAATATAAGTGTATTTAATAATGATTTTGTGTGTGTGTCTGTGTGGTGTGGTTTACAGGTGATATTCAGTCAGAGCTCGGAGCTGCTGGAGCGCGAGTCCTCGATGGCGTCCTCGTTGGAGGAGGTGTCAGGTACACCTGGTAACGAACCGTCTGCTGCCGCGCCCCCTACTGACCACTTCGGAGTCTTCAAGGACTTCGACTTTCTGGAATACGAGAGCGAGAGTATCGAGGTACATACCATTTTTATATACGTCAAAATATGTTTATTCATATAGGTCTATTACAAATGTTCGTAAATTAATTGAAATATGAGAAATTATGAAGTATATAAATTTTATTATGATTTGTGTAAATGTATTATTAAAGTTTCAAATCATTTAAATTTGTTAAATAAATTGAGTTACAACTGTGATGGTTGGTTTGTAGGGCGAAAGCTCGGACAACTTCAACTGGGGCGTCCGGCGGCGTCCGCTCAGCGAGGAACAGGACGAAGGCGGGTGTCCCGAGCGAAGTCCGCCGCCCATGTCGGCACGCGCTCCCCCGGACACGCCGCATGCCAAGCCGGTAATCGAACCTCTATACTATGTACACATACGTACACACACACACACATCAAACACGTCACGGCAGGGGATGGGGAGGGGAGAGATGACCAGTTCATCTCACTTGAAGTAAACTGGAACACCTAACCAAACTGGATGGTAACGATAGTGATAAAATATTTTGAAACATACGGCCCTTCTGATGGTAAACGGTTACAGTAGTCAATGGTTTCCTGAAACACCAAGAGTGTTGTGCGTTGCCGACCATTAAGAAACCTTAATATACCTTCTTAAATTAACCCCATGTCTCTCAAGAAAAAATCGTGCTAAATTTATGGTGAAGTTACCACAATGGGCCAACTGACCTAACATTATGCTCATATATCCTTACCTATCATCCACTCATATCTTACTAGCGTAAACTCCAGGCGGATGAACCATTCGGTATTCATCCATTAAAAAAAACACATATGTCACTTAGTTACAACATTGTCTCCTAAACTACAATCATATTATATTGAACAAGTATTTGATTGGAATGGAAATATTCAAATTGAATTGACGATTTTTAAATTTTCGACTTTTTTAAAGTGATACAAGCTACGAGTGTATAACTTATTAATACACAAAACACATAAATAATGGGGCCGGCTCTGTGTTGATGACAGGGCCGGGCAGGCCACTACTATCATTTAATTGAGTTGCCGTGTTTTAGCTGGTTATTTTTAAACTTTCGCGTTTAATACGGTTTATTGATAACGTTATCAAATAATATCGTTATGTCAACAATATGTCAATAAAGCATGTGTGAATGTATATAAATTAAATACAAAATATATAAATACAATTAAATAACCTAACACGATTTCATTTTAATTGTAGGACCGTTTACAACTTGAGACTTGAACACATGAAACTTGATATATATTCTTTTTTATTTATTTACTTACATATTTTTACTAAAAAACAAAAACAAAATATAATCATCAAGGCGCATATTACTACATAACGACGTATGTAGTAATAGAATGGTGAAAACCAGGCAATAACAGCAGTATCTATACTTACATAAACAAAGAGAATGTAACTGTTACGACTCTAGGTAATGTCGTTTTATTTTAACATATGGTCATATTGCACTAATTTAGTTGGACGAATTTGTTCGATTATCTATACAAATAATCAAATTTGTGTCTGTTTGCAATTTTAAATTAACAGCTTTTCACTAAATGCATATGAAATTGTATACTGTTCTCTGTTCTAAAAAGTTATTACACGTGGATGAAGTTTCGGGGAACAGCTAGTTTTGATATATATATATATATATATAATTGTAACCGATATGTTTTAAGGCGAACTCATTTTGCATGCACAAAGCGGTGATGCAGATGCGCTGTGTATAATGCAGATGCGCAGTAAATGCGGATCCTTACGTAACATAATCAATATCCAGGACACGCACACACATGAAGACTCGTCCGATGAAGAGGGTGGTTGGGATGAAAATGTGGCAGGTGGGAGTTCAGGAGGCGCGGGTGCCAACCCAGGCCCCCTACGGGGCGGCGAGGGGGATGCACCCCCCGCGCCCGATCCAGCCCACCGACCCAGGACCCACTCCTACTCCAGCGCCTCCAGTGGGGAGCCTGATGGTTTGTCCTAGTTCTATTTATATTTCTAGCCCCGTTATGCATTATGCAGAATCCACGTTTAATAAATAAAATCATTACATAACTATTTCCTAAATTTCGTACTCGATCAAATGATTAATGTATGGAAATTTGCTGTAACGCTATTTTAATAGTATTTTTCATTCGACCCTGTCGATGCGCAAAATTTCGTAATAAAAAAATGTTTATAAACGACTGTTACCATAGCTTGAATACCTATCGGGAAATAAATATTTGAATGTCGACTAACTGCATTTAGTCATATATAAATATAGTAAATATACAAATACATTGGTCAGTTAACAATATATACGTACAAAAATCGTATGAATGACGTAGTGTTGTGTGGATAATAATAATAATAATCTCAGAACAATTCACACAGGGCAATCTACCAGGGCCATCTACCACCCAAGTTAAGCTAGCTACAGCTTGTGTTGTGGTTACTAGATAAATGATACAAATACATAGATATATATTTTTCACAAATACATAGAAAACATCCAGACCGATATAAACAATCATACTAATGAATAAGGTAGGTACAAATGTTTGTGCCGTGCGAGGAATCGAACCCACGACCATCGGAAGTAAGGCGGCGTGCTAAACCGTGTCAAAATGCAGCACCTCTGCTAGAGTGCTGCACCTTCATAGAGTTTCATATTTTTCTCAGGAACAAATAGATATATATAACTGTACTGGCGAGCAATCCCACAAGCTCACCTATTTGTAAGTTACAACAGTTGCCTATAAACATGAACAGCATAACGCACATCACGTTATTATATGAAGGATGTGGTCATTGGCGTTGCCATACCTCACAGTACATACCAATACACAGTTTACAAAGCAAGCTGAATCATGGCTGAAATAAATAAAACAGAGTTACCCACGCAGTTAACTTTGTACAAAGATTTATAAATGTCGTGCCGGACGACCCGCTAAATAAAGTGGCGTTATGTAGATACGTAAAGTAGGAAAATGTTCGTAATATAATTCGCAACATCTTATTAATATTATAAACGCGAAAGTTTGTGAGTACGGATGGATGTTTGTTATTCTTTCACGCAAAAACTACTGAACGGATTTGATGAAACTACAAAGCTGATACATCAGAATAACATATAGACTATAAATTTCACGCGGGTGAAACCGCGGGCACAGCTAGTATACAGTAATATAGATTATATATGTAATCTAAATACAAATATATTCCTTTATTTTCAATTCAAAGCAACGTCATGTTCCATCCAATATGCTCTATTCAATTCAGGATTCTATTCATATCTATTTAATAAGTACGTCGTCCTTAAGCCTTCCATTTCGAAAATCGCTTCAACGAGAACGCTTTGTGCAATAATCTGTGCCGGGAACACAATAGATATGTTGTCATAGTAACGGGTGTAGTTTGCGTGTATACAGGCACAAGCATTGTAAATCCGCATTGCATGCATCTCTGAGTCGCTTACATCTCTCGCTATATGCTCCGCTTAGTACGTAACATAAACTGTATTACGTATTTAGCGAACCATAAAGCGCCGTCATTGATATGCACCAGGGGTTTGTTATTTATGTAGGTACATACTAACTGCACTTACGGTTTCAACCGCGTTAAATTACAATATAAAATGTAGCCTATGTGATATTCTGATGCATAAGCCACATAACTGCCAAACATTCATACTCACAAAATATCGTTTTTATAATATTATTAATATAATAATAATGTTGACACTATTTTCCATAAATAGTTTTAATTCTTCGAGATCTGGAAAGTAATTACCAACAAAATATAAATGAAACGCATAATATATACCTAAAGAATGTAATCATATATTACATTACAAAAACATATAAATAAATATTATACGTACATACAATACGTATATTTGCCACCACCGTAGGCGTTATAAAGGTCTTTCATGACTGTTTGTACCATGCGAGGAATCGAACCCGCAACCATGGAGTAGAAGACGGTGTGCTAGACCGTTAGACCACCGGGGTCGTCAAAACCATATGATTATGTAAAATACATGTAAATGATGTACATCATCTGTTCGAACGATTATGACTACATCATTACTAGTTCCCACAGCGAGAAATATATCATATCACATCGTTCTCTATGCGGCACCACCTGAAAACAATACAAATGCAATGATCAGCCACGAAAAGTATATTAAAAGAAAAGATACTTAACATTGGTGTGTGCTGGTGTGCAGGTGACCGTGGTGACGTCACGCCAGTGCCCGGCAGCGGCAGCGTGGCGCTGCGGGACTCGTGGAGGTCGTCCGTGTCGGCACTGCTGCGTCACGCGGCCCATATGCAGCCCCTGGCGCTCCTACACCGGCTTCACACCGTACTCAAGGTCACAATCTCATACTATCATACATCTTGTTTTTCTGCATGGTTCGTGGCTATCATACATACCCGCCTATTATAGAATACTAGGTGTCCTGGCAAACATTCCCATATAAATTAAGATCGCTATTAAAAAATAAGGGTTAATGGTAGAAGCGTGAAAATTTAAGAGTGTGTGAATATTTTAATGCCACATCGTAAAAAGAAAAATGCGTTACGCTTCACGCTTATCATCTAGTGGTATATATACATATACAATTTCATCAAAATCAGTTAACTATTTCGGACAACTATTTCAACTAACACATGACACGAGTTTTATGTATGTGATGATAATAATAATAAGGCTAGACAACACCCTGGGCCAAATGATCACAAATTAAACTAAATTAATTGTTGTAATTAGATATATAGTAAAGATACAAGTTAAATACTAAATAAGTTGGTTTGATATAATATTTAACTAAGTCATTGTATATAAATAATGTTAGCCTCCTAACACACCTCAATTTATTTATTCTTTTGCACACAAAATTGTATACATGGTAGACTTAATCCCTAATAGCATTCTATAGCTATCAACCATTGTGCTGTTCAGGGATAATAAGGCAGTGCAATTTAAAATATTAAGATGTATAAATAAATAAATATTTAATATTCCCATATAAAACATATATTTACATAGAAATATATAAACTCATAGATCATATTTACAAATTAAATATAATGAAACTTATAATAAATACCCATATAGTATCATTGAGTATATCTAATTTAATGTTTAGTAGTAATTTGAATTTTCTCTGAAAATAAAATACAAAGTTCACCCTCGCTCGCATATACATACAAAGTGTCTTTGTTGTCGCAATTGAAACGAATATGGCTTAAAAACGTAGGAGAATTAATATTCTTTAGTTCAAATCATATATGTAGTTAAATTTTTACATAGGTCAATTCTAAAAACTATTATAACATTATGTAAATGATATAACGTTCAACTAAATAGATAAAGTACCAAAATATAATTTTGATATTTTATTGTCTTCATGTAACTATTATGCTATATTTTCTGCATGGTAAATAAAATCATTGGGTATACTGAATCATTTTATGAATGACTAGCTGAACGCACCAGTTTACTACAAGTATATTTAAATAAAATTTCCAAAATGTTAGTTTTTAACACACAAAGTCACAAACACACTTTGATATTGTTATTCTCTATGAAACTGTAGTACACCACTGGTCTTCTATTAATAATTTCTACAATTTATGCTATATAAAGATTTTTTCACACATTATCAAAGTTTCCATAAGGATCACTAACTTTTTTAATATTGCATTGCCTTTGTTCGTCAGAATTTCGGTCCACTGCTTCGGATTATACGTATTCAATGCAAATAAAGAAACAATGAAGTCTTTGTTCTTGATATTATAATAATATTTGGATATATTCGAAATTTCGTATAATCTTCTTATTTAATTACTTCTTATTGTTTTTAAAATTATAGTTATTCAGTTATCGTGAGTGAGTTATATAATTTTAGTATTTAATATTTAAATACTATTCGACACTAGAGAGAAAATTTTCAAATATTACGAGCATAAAATATAATGTATATTACTAGGAACAGCGTTTATTCATTTAAAGGCTAAGACTGTACATCAATAATTATTTCTAGTTACTGTATGATTTACACAACACATTTTTTTTATTCATTACGAAAAAATCAATTTTGGAAAATGTCCGTAATCACAAACCACTCAATGTAGCGTCCTTTCACTGTAATATTAGGAAGCGGAGTTGAACCTTACGACTAATTGACAGATCAATGTAATTGGAAATTAAAACTAGGGATGTCCATATTCGTCGATGTCAAACGAACTTCGACGAGAAATTTCGTAGAATGTGATATTTTGTCATTGTCATGTTAATTAAGTACTCGATGACATCGACACATCTTGCAATCTTAAAAACCATAAAAATCCAAGACACTAATAAGTCCTATACTTACTACTAATACTTTTATGTACTAAGTTTTTATGTACATACCAATAAATTCTTTATAATAAATAATATTATTGATTTTGTTGCCTACAATATCGTTCCTTTTTGACAGTAATAATATTTTTCATGTGACATTTGTCACACGTCCATCATAGAAATCATTTATGACATCTGTCATCTCTGACCAAAACACATGCAATAAAATGGAAACGTGAATGACAGAATTAAGATACTGAAGTTTAGAGATATTTCACTGATGTCATATCTGAAACTGATGACGCAATGCCAATCACAGCCAAATGTCAATCTTCATCATGAAATGTATTGAGACTGTATTATCCAAATAAAATAAAAAAAACTATTTTTAATTTGAAATTCATGAAATTGACAGCTTGTCACTAAATACGAAAACATACTTAGATAAAAAAATAATTTAAGAAATGTCGTCTATATGTATGTCTGTATGTTTGCTCATCTCTGAAGCGGCTGGACCGATTTTGATGGGACTTTTACACGCAGTCATAATATTATAAGGAGTAACTTAAGCTACTTTGAATATTTATCTATCTTAATATATCTTTAATGTACTATAGTACATTAATAAACATATATATAGTATACTATATATATGTTCAATGTTTATATATTATGTATATGTTGTGCAATGATATTTAATGTTTCGAGATTGTTACGTTTAAATCATAAAATAAAACATATAAAGTTAATGTATATATGAAATTTACATGTCACAGTGTATGTAACAATACTCCTTCGAAACGGCTTGACCGTTTCTTATAAAATTTTTGTCTATATATTCTGCAGGTCTGAGAATAAGATGTTCTACTGACTATTTTTCAGAGTCCTTAGTTGTAAGGGTGATCCAAACTAAAGATTTTTTTTTAATGATTTATCATTAAAAATACAATCCTTTGTCCCGTCAACTCTCAATTTTTTTTTATATTATTTCATTTGCCATACCTTATCTTACTGATATTATTAACGTAAAAGTTTGTGAGTATGGATGGATGAATGGATATTCTTTCACGCAAAAACTACTGAACGGATTTTGATGAAACTTTACAGTAATATTACTTATACATCAGAATAACTCAGAGGCTATAATTTAAAAAATATTACGAAATATAATGATAAATGTAAATTAAGTGTGATATAGAGGAAGTAGCGCAGTCAGCTAGTATATAATATAATACGATTATATAACGAAGAGTGGGTGGTTTGCAGGAGGTGACCTATAAGACGGTGTCGCTGTGTGCAGCAACGGGCACCGTAGTTGGGTCGGCAGAGCTGTGTGGCGTAATAGAGCGGGTGGGGGCGGACGACCCCCCATTGCTGTGGGTGGGTCCGCTGGCTGCGGACTGCGCACGGGTGCGGGATGCGGTTCGATTCGCAGCGCTCGAGATCAACGAACACCTTGAAACGTACTTCGATAGACGCGAGCATGCGCTCGAGGTACTTTACAAGAACAAAGAAAATGTTTTACACGCTAATTATAAGAATTTTCATATATATATATTAGTACACTCATAATTACAAATCAAATCAAATCATCATATCAATACAAAAATCATAAAAATCATTATTAGTGTCAAAAATTTTTCCCTACCGTCCAGTCATATCAAATTAAAAGTCATTTTTTCATGACAAGTTATCTGTATTATCTTTTTCCTTACTGTGCAGAAAGTCAAATTTACTTTCCATTACTAATATGTACATATATTTCATTAGGCATGGAAAATTTAAAAATATTTATAAATTAAGTCATTATCTAGAACATGTAACGACAAGTAGTACATACCATGATGACCACGACGACCCTACAAATAGTACATTAAAGAATTTTATAACAAACCTTCATGTGTGGACAATAGTAATAAAAAAATATTATGTAACAATGACTATTGTTACATATACCTATATATACATCTATTTAAAACGTAATATTATATTTCTGGGTAGAAGCGATTTGTTAAGTAACATGGACTCCATTGCTAGCAAAGTACTACTCCATTACCTCTGGAAACCATCGTTATAAATTCCTGATGAATTTGTCAGAATCGACTAACTGACCTGACCTCATGCTCATCCTATCATCCTATACTAGTGCCCCTAGTATCATTCCATTATGATTTTTTTTACATATGTCACAACGACTATTTTACATATATACATGTATATAACGTGGACATCATTGCTAGCAATGTCAAGACCTCCACATGGTCACCCCTGGAACCCCTGGGAATCATTGTTATAAATTCCTGAATCATAATGGAATTTTGTGACGTTTATCAATATATATTACGTGAATATTACTTTACTTTCAAGGTTTCATGTAAAATAGTGTATATTGAAAGCATAGATATATAATCCTACAAACGTAACTGTATGTACATACAGTACTGTAGCCTAGTTGCAACGATCGATACAGCGCAGCGGCGCAGCCTCTAAAATCAGCCGGCCCGAGCTAAGTAACGTTCCGCTGAACGTTATCGATGATAGAAACTGGATATTGTATGGCATTGATATAAAGTATCGTAACATTACATTTTTTATCGGTATCGATAAAAAATATAAATACGTAATTAATTAAACTTCGTTAATCACTATTTACATATCCTAATATATTTATATATGAAAACGGTCTCGACGGTATAGCGGTTTAATAGACCGCCATAATACTTCCGATGATAGCGGATTCGATTCCTCGCACTGCACAAACGTTTGTATTAATAAGTATGATTGTTTGTGTCGGTCTGAGTGTTTTCTATGTATAATATGTATGTATTTGAAAAAAATATATGTTTATATATTTACGTCAGTTATTTAGTACCCATATAATATATACTATAGTTTACATACTTATATATATATATATATATATATACGTTTGTATATATTTAATAGTATACACGTATGAATCTAATGTTGAACGGTGACCAACGCCTATATATATGAACAGCACAACTGTCGTCATGTTATAATGTAACACCCGCAATGCCACTCACGGGTTGCCATTCCAGAGGTTTAACTTAGCATGGCTCATATTTCTACTGACTACTGCGTACAATACGTACACTAGTGTCTTATTTTGACAATGCATATAATAACGACATCGCTATTATTTATATCGATTCGGCTTGTCGCAACACTAGCGATCGTCAATAATTTCGGAGAAATCGTCGAATATTTCGCCAATTATGGTTTTATGTTATTATTTTATTTTATCGTGTTAGGTACATTATACGTATAAAACAGTAATTGCCGAAATTAATATTACATACTTATTTTTATGAAAATGGGATGAAGAAAAATGTTTTATAAATTTACTGCATTAAACTAATTAGGATTAAATTACTCTGATCTATATATATAACTAATAATTAACATTTAAATATACCTATATATATATATTATACATTACATATCTTTTTACTTTTTTTATATTATACGTATATAACTATATATGTATAATACAAACGAACCGTTACGCATTAAATAGCTACTTATAGACGTACTTATGTAATTTTATTTTGTTTTATTTATCCTTATAGGAAAGACAAAGAAAGAATCTGACCCCATACATTTTAATTCTTTTTACTTTCTTCAGATATCTTCTAGAGCAGAGATTATATATCGTAAATTTCTTTTCTTGTTATCACGTAATAAAGAGATTGTCATAATTTGCTTTTGACATGGAGAACCCATAGACTATTTTGATGGTAATAAACAAACTAGCTATGTTTTAACAAATGCAACGTTTTTTACCATCTTAATTTCGACGTCATAAAAGTAATAGTAATTTATAGGTGAAATTGCATAGCAACAATTGTAACTTGGCCGGGCCGTGAGGCAGCTTGCTGCGCAGATTGCACGCAGATCGATCATTGCAACCAGGTCATACCACTCACCACCCATGTCCCTACCACCCAATACCCCACCACCCAATACCCCACCACCCAAAACCCCATCACCCAATACCACCTTCTCCCACTAGTTACACCGAACCACTAGTCACCCGCCCTACCCAGAGCTGGAACGCAACACATACACATATCATCTCGTTTGGTGCAGCGACTGCAATCAATGCAGGCAATGACGTCAATTGCGTGCGCATTGCAACGGAAATAAGTCCCTCTCTGTTGCACACGACGACGTATATTATTAGTGTATGACAGAGATGGCTATTGATTGCACTACGAATACGAAATATCCGCAATACGACATTCGATGCAGATATTTCACACATACACACTTCTAGATATTTTAATCCTGTAAACTTGCTATAGTGTATGTATTTTGTATAACACAACTGTGCAATCAATGCAGGCAATGACGTCAATTGCGTGCGCATTGCAACAAAAATGTACCTCTATCGCTCGCGACGTATATCATTAGTGTATGACAGAGATGGCTATTGTTTGCACTACCAGTACGAAATATCCGCAATGCGACATTTGATGCAGATATTTCACACACACACTTCTAGATATTTTGATCCTGAAAAATTGCAGTAGTGTATGTACAACAACTACTTTATATAACACAACTATGCATTCAATGCAGGCAATGACGTCAATTGCGTGCGCATTGCAACGAAAATGTCCCTCTGTCGCACACGACGTATATTATTAGTGTATGACAGAGATGGCTATTGTTTGCACTACTAGTACAAAATATACCGCAATGCGACATTTGATGCAGATATTTCACACATATACACTTCTAGATGTTTTAATTCTGTAAAATTACAGTAGTGTATGTACAACGAATACTCTATGTAACACAACTGCACTGGTATTATATTGAATATCTGCATAGAACATACGTAATATCTGCATTGCGGAAATATGTATAGCTATATATATATATAAATAACTTCTATATACTTATTTGAAATTGAAGCAGTCATTATTTATACGTCAATTTAGGAAAAAAATAACAGGATATAGAATTGGCAGAATATCCCGTGATTTTTCCTAATTTTACGTATAAGTAACTAGTAAAGTTTTATGATTTCTAGTCAGTTGGTTTTTATAATATAAATTATTTCACAAAGTATTATGGCAAATATATTTCTCTCTGATAAATAATTGCAATTAAAAAGAGTATGCGTACGAGTATGTTGCTGTCATAATAAATAAAATTGTCGTAATAAGTAAATGTAATCGACAAGTCTTGTTATGTATTTCATCCCTTGTATCTATGATATATCTATAGCTTCAATCCTACCTAAAGACCTAAGCAGTCTAGTGGTTTGGCACACTGCATTGCCTGCTATGGTGCGGGTTCGAATCCCGTCCACATTTGTATTTGTAAGACTATTTGTATAGATCTAAGTGGTTTTGCTATGTATATGAAGGATATATTTATTAATATTATGTATGTATGTAAGTGTGTATATACATTGTATTATAATCCAGACGCTAGAGTGGCGCGGCAGCATGGACGCCCGCGGTTCCAACGAGGACACCGGTCGCTGCCTGTACAAGCTGATATTCCAGCTGCTGTTGTTACTGGAGACCAACAACAAGATGGTGGTAGCGGTGTACCACGCCGCCCTCGACAACAGGGTACGTCACGAATATATATAGATAGATAGAAAGAAGAAACAATATATATTTTTCTCACTGTTATAAGCCTATATTTATGTATGTATTTGTATATTATTATTTATAATATATACTTATATGTATAAAGGTATTCGTAAAATAACAGTGTCGTGATACCCCGTCACGGCATATTATGCTGGGCGGAGACCTATTTGGTACCATAAGAATCCAAATTGTAATTTGAAATTATTTTGTTGTAATATTTTAAGTGTAATGAAACGTATTTTCTTTCTTTCCATACATATATATGCATGTTGGTATGTATATATATATCTCACACCTCACAACGGCTTGACCGATTCTGATGAAATATATATATGTACTCAGTAGGTCTAAGAATAGGTTATCTATTTTCTTAATGAATATCTGACCATTAGAGGTATAGTTATATATACATCTATACATATAAAAAAATTTGGTCTGTCTGTTTGTAACATTGAAATAACCGTTTTTTACTACATGCATGTGAATCTATATACGGTACATATACCAAAATAATATTTTTTATAATTTTTGTCTGTTTGTCTGTCGGATTGTTCCGGCTAATCTCTGAAATGGCTGGACCGATTGTGACGGGACTTTTTTTGGCAGGTGGCTGATGTAATAAGGAGTAACTTAGGCTACTTTTATTTTAGAAAAATAAAGTTAAATTCCACGCGGTGGGCGTCGGGGGCGTCAGCTAGTTTTGAATAATTTAAAACAGACTAAAATTTATTACGACACGAATGTAGTAGGTATTTCGTGTACTGGATACAGTATTGATTTAATTATTTGTACTACATGTTGATATGCGAGTTTCAGACTGTAAACGTAAGTGGTTTATTTGTTCAACGTTACATGAAATCATTATTAGAATTAATTATATTCAACTCTATTGAGCGTTATATGAAAGTTTCTATGGATTAATATTATAAATGATGCGTAAGTAGAAATGACTTTTGGGAAAGATATACGGGTGTGTATTTTGGGAATATAAATGCACATATACATAATAGTACGTATATATAGAATACTGTTATTACGCCTTATGTCAGATATGCTTAGGCTTAACATACAATACTATACTATGTTACAGGGTAAAGAGATGAGCGGTACAGTATGCGGGGTCCGCAATGCCCTGATCGCCAGCACCGCCGAGAACTGGGGCGAGGTGTCGCCCACACCGCACGACGACGCGCGGCTACTGCAGCTGCTGCAACGACAGAGGTACCACCACCCTCACCACCGTCACCACCATCACCACACTCACCACACTCGTCACACGACTCATATGTGAATTCACATAGTACTCTGCTTTCTATATCATCAATTTTGGTACTTTTATACCCTAGCCATCCAGTTCAGCCGGCTGGTTCATAGGACTAGAACCGCGAGCTCAAATGGTATATAGATAATAATAATAACTCACCACAATTCACATAGCGCCATCTAGTCTAAGCAGAGCTTAAGTTAAGGTACTGGGCAAATTATACAAATACTTAAAACATGTTTTTTGTAAATGCATACATAATGTACATAGAAAATACCCGGATCGCTACAAACACTCATATTAATTAATACAAATGTTTGTACCGTGGCAAGTAAAGCGGTATGCTAAACCGCTAGACCACCGAGCCATCAACAATATAGTTGTAACCAAGGATGTTATGTATCAGATGGGGTGCCGCGTTGGCGATGGTACGTGAGCGGAACGCAGAACAGATCCTCGAACGAGGCGAGCTGCCCGAAGATGACGTCACCAGTCTGCTACACGTCTACTGTAAAGGGCTGGCGCAGGCTAATCCTGGTGTGTATTTTTTTTTTAACAATAACACGAATACCGATCTGCTCATCTAATAACAGAGAGACTAACTTTTTCTTGTTCTCTTAAGTAATTCAGCTAGCTTTTTTGTTACTACATGGCCCGTTCACACTAACTATTATCGTATAGTATTTATAATATAACAATAACTTCGTTATCACATGTTAAAATTTTTTTTTTAATTGCATGATAATTTGATCCTAGCTGATGAAGCTATCAGTAGTCTTTGCGTGGAAGAGTAACAAACATCCATCTATACTCACAGACTTTCGCGTTTATAAAATTAGTAAGATAAACTGTTACTAATTATAAAGAAATATACTTGTTACGCTATTGTATTAGGTTAAGACCTGCGAAAATAGCAAAAGTAGAAAATAAATACATAAATAAAGTTATAGTACTTTACAGTGAAATATTTTCACAAACGGCGGTCGGAACTGTGTACTTGTTGAACGGGTTATAAATTTTTATTTTTTCTCGGTACTCATGAGTACGATGATACGTTATTTCTAATACACAAACTCTGTTTTTTTTACAGATATGGTGGCAATAACCCGCCCCGTGAACGAGCTCTCTCAGAACCTGTCCTTCATGATGGAAAGCCTGTATAAGGTTTCTGTGGCGCTGCAGCGACAGGAGTATGGCTGATCGGCAACCAAGGCTGTTAAACCCACTGTCCCTACAAAACCCTCCCCCCGTCTCCTAATCGCCCGGCGGCTACGTCACGCTCGCACCAAAGCATTCCCCACCAATCACCATACACCTTCCTCATGTAAAGTGATCAAGCGCCCGATCTAATTGACCGGTTGTTATATTTACAGACCACGTACCTACCACCCACATGCATAACAGTAGCAGTGCGCCAACCGTTGTTTACTGCACCCTCGCATAATTATATAAGAACTAAAATACATCGCAAATGTTTATTTAGTGTATATTTTGAAACGAAAATTTTTAATATTAGTTTTTCTTAACGAAAAAGCATAATACCGGGCGCCGCGTCCTTCGGTAGGTTTAGTTCCCGAACTAACGATACTGATCGCCCGAAATCTTCCACTATTATTAGCTTACATATAATTTAATTTTCATTGCAGCTCGCCGCTCGCCATTCAATTAAAATACATCGGTATTTTATATCTTTTTTTTTTTACATATAATTATTTTGTTCGGTTGTCTTTCTCGAAATGTGTAAAAATCTAGTTCAATTATTTTTCCATCCTCAGTTACATATTAGAAAATCAGGCTGTGCACCTACCACCGACGATTGTTCCCTTTACCCAGTTAGATGCAGGGGCAACGGCGGCGGCGTAGCGAAATTAGTATTTAATATAATTTAGTTAATCCCATTTACTAATAAACTTACTCACTTTAGTTTTCAAATAACTGATCTCAGATAGAGGATATTGTACCAAGCGTCCGATGCTGTCCCGCGACAACAGGAGCGAAGGAACAAATTACGAGAGCGCCCTACTCTGAACCAAATACTTGATACATAATTAAATAATTGTACAGTACATTGTGAAGGACACAATGCGCGGAGGTCATTTCGTGTCGGCAAGGCACGCCGGGCGCGTAGCGACAGCTTACAACTTGAGCTTATAATTGTTATTTCGAAATATATTCACAGTTTACCATTAGTACTAGTACATTAACCAACGCTATCAAATAAAACTATAATCGTAAAACATAATTTTATAATACAGTTAATAATTATATAAGTAGCACTAGCAGTATAACTAAACATTATTGAAATAAGTGATACCGTATGTTCGTAATTGATAATGTAATAAATGTACACCATTCCTTTGTTTATTTCGCTTCCAATAATTGGAGCACTGGTGCACTTGCATAACATAACCAGTGCCCTAGTAACGACACCGCAAATCAATATGTGGAGTTGCGTCATGACCTGCGCGCATTCAACGATTATTTATTAGGGAAGTGTGTCACTTGCAGGACTGAACCATTGACCTTTTGTCGTGTTAGCGAAGTTGACTCAACTATTGTTTGTGATATTATGCCCTTGTAGTAGTGGTTATGACAATATTTATTATCTAGTTTAATTTTTTGTCTTATGCAAAACATACTCTCGCGTTCACAGCGCGGCGCGTCCTAGGCGGCCGATTAAACTTTTTTACGTAAAGTATATACGTAGTATAATTATACCTATATAAAGTACACATACATGAACACATTACTAGTATACGTGTGCCGGCCTAGAGAACGCAGCGCTCGTGATCAGCCCCCTAGTGAAATACTAATGTTTATAACAACTATTTAATTATAGAATAAATAAATACATCCTAATATCAATTTGTTTTACTATTTCCTTCATTTTGTATAATAGATTAAATTCGATTCTTGTTTTATTTGCTTTTTGTTGCGAATTATATATATATATATATAATATAAATTAATAACGCTATAAAAAATAGAAGTTGGTGATTGTATGTTGTTGTATGTATGATGTATTTTAATGACGCAATAAATAAATATAAATAAAAAAAATTGCCCAAAATATAAAAAAATAATGTTAAGGGTGGACAACCCTTATCACTTAGGGTTATGGAAAATAGATAGTAGCTGATTCTCAGACCTACTGAATATGCATATAAATTTCATAAAAATCGGTCAAGCCGTTTCAGAGGAGTATGGTAACTAACATTGTGGCATGAGAATTTTATTTATAAGATGGGCCTCTCTCAAGACACGCCACTGAGCACGATGTATGTATGTAGGTATTATAAATCGCAGGTGACATGAAGTTCAGCGGGTCATCTAGTATCTATATTTTACATTTACCTAAAATATATTTTATTGTAAAATTTAATTCAGTACACGACCCATGTCATTTCGTCTTGTTTTAATGATCAGTACAAAATTAGGTCACCCGATTTTACTCAGGAATTTTTAAAACTTTCAATCTCTGTTTATCTTCCGTACTATTCTACGCCATTTTATCGAGTTTTACACTGTTAAACCCATTCTACTGGTAGGTGACGGATATGTGGGTTAACAATAATAGACCCATTTCCAGCAGCTTACCATATCAGTGCGACCTCCACGCGGAGGTTACACTATCTTAATTAATTCATACTGAATACGTCACGATTAGCCAGTTCATTTGACATGCTTATACTATCATCAGGTGTACCATACCATATTTCTTCCACCAAAAAGATACCATTTCACTGTATTCTTCTATTAAATGTTTGCACTGACAGATAGAAAAAGAGATAAGGATTTCCTTTTAGAATATTTTACAGATATTATCCTTTGGATCCGAAGTTTACTTTCGAATTTCAAGGAATACAAATTTTAATAGTTATTGCGTTACTTTTGTACTTAGCAACACATTTCTCGATAAATTTTTATTAATTAGTAATTGTTTCTTGTTTTCGGTTGTTTTTACTGACTACTACTTTTTACTAGAGGGTACTCGTAGTAATGATTTTGACATGACAAATGTTAAATTATGCACATTTTTTTGTAAATATTTCTGTGTACCGTTATAATTCCTAAACTATACTTACAAAGTGAAATTTGTTTAATCGTCCTCTGGCACGATGTGACTAAAGAACATTTTTCGTTTTCATGACATAAAGGAAAATTTCGGTTACATAGGATTACATTATTATAGGGAGCTCTAATTTTTTATACAAAATGAGAACCATGTTTCTCGCCAATAAAGTAGATTCCCATAGATGTAAGAATTTTTAAATTTATCTCATGTTATGTTACCAACAAATAAATAAAACCTCCTTTTTATTCATTTAGAGAGCTACGGCAGTCCTCCCATTGTACTTGCGTATGGGTAACAGGAATTTCATCACAATTGCAGTATTATATATTGCTGAGTCTAATCAAATAATAAAATGAATGGATCAACACTGGTATTGTAGGTTTCACAATTAAATGAAACTGTTTTAATCGAATATTTTATTAGTTTTCATTGTTTATGTTAGTATTTGCTAAAATCAATTGTAACATGACAAACGTTCAGTGGACACGTGGCGTATTGAATAAGAACACCATATACAACTAGGTCGGCCTGTTGCTTACAGAAACCACTCCATTTGGTAATCACATGGCTCCACGTGGCATCTCTACACACCTAGCCACTAAATCATAGCCTGTAATCTCATCCTCGCCACACACGATCGGTATACATGACAATGTTTTATATACAACAATATTACGGCCATTACATATAATTATAAATTGATATTCATATAGTATCATCGATATTTGGGCAGTAATAAAAGGGCAAATTGCCGAAAACCTCGTGAAATCAGGACATGGTCCCGTTTTTTAATGATACACGAGAATAATGAACGTTTTCTATATATAGAAATACAAGTCATCCAACTCGTCCCCGTCACATTCGATGAACGCTCGAAAGTATCGGCGTGCGACAAGTAACAAGTGAATGAGGACTAAACTCCATAAGGCGCCTATTACATGACTTCGAGGTTTCGCATCAGTTACTGCCATTTATTAACAATATCAATAAAATTGTCAATTATATCATAGATTTCATGAACGTAGAGGAAGCAACAAGAGAGACATGTAAATCCGTGAATTTGACGTACAATTGTCTCTGTCGAGAAAGGCATCACGATATGTATGTGTTCATTTAAATTTAATATTTTCCATTAATTAGTTAAATATAATTGCTGTTTTGATATGATTTAAACAATACTTCTGAGTATATATTCGACTCTGTGAATATAGAACGTGAGGCAAGTGATCATGTAATCGGCGCCTGGACGCATACATACGCGCTGGATGGAATGGACACCCCGCACACCTGACAGTGTAATACAATAATGTAAAATATGTTACAAAAGACGCCACCGGTGGAGCGACAGCGCCCCACGCTGCGTGAAGATAATTGTATATTTACATACATTGTACTAATTACAATTTTAAATTGTCAGTCCATTCTTATAGACATACATAGGCATCATAGTACAAGAATCCATCCGTAATACCAATTAATAATAGTGTCAGACCGTGACGGAAATAAGATTCAATATGTTATATGACCCAAAACATTCACGACCGCTACATTGTGTCATATCGATGACCTACATGAGTGGTGCAGTGGCACAAAATAAAAACCAAATGGCCAATGTTTCGCTATTTGATTCATACTTTAGTTACATTCTGTTGATGTGGACTTAAGTTTTACAATCGTTACGCTATTGTTAGTCTTTACATGGAAGTCGATAAAATACTGGGTATATATTTTTACTAATGCTCGATAATCTTAACTTGTGTAAACACACGATACATTGACACTAGTAGCTGTGTTACAATATAGACACACACCATACAATTATACATGTTTCGTGATACAGCAATTTTGGTACCAAAGCTGGTACAATACATTACAAAGTGCAGTTCACTGCTTTACTATCATTCTAAATACATTACTCCTTACTGTTGACCCTGAGCAAAGTACAACGACTCATCATTTTACAATTATAAAACGAAACAGTCTACCGATGCACACAAAATCCTGCCAACGACAGTTCAAATTGGGCATACATCTAATTTTTAAATATATCCTATATAAAATCTCTCTGATTATAACAAGATCGATATAGATTGAAAAAAAAACGTCATCACAATGCAGCTTTATTCACCACAGAAGAGAAACAGATACATTATATAAAATTCATTGAACTATCTAGATTATTATTCGCCAGATTAAATACACGCATACGGCGCGTATATACGTAGTATATAATAGTTAATTTGATACATGGACTTGTCCCTACATTTTTACTATATACAAATTGTACGTTCGGGTGCTGCGCGACTCGATGTCCGAGACTACTATTGTACATAACTATACCTTCCCTCCATTACATCCATTACTAAATTATATTAAAAATATAGTTATTGTGGTCATTGTAAATAGACTCGATTCATTAGAAAATAAATATCATAAAAATTGGATTTCTCTACATTTCAAAGTCTATAGTTGATGATATAATATTTAAATATTAAATGAAATGTACTCATTTTATAGCATTAACTATAGACATTAACAAGTAATATGGTCAATATAAATTAAAATATACAGTACACAACAGGCGGCCGTTGTAGGCGGTCCACATACGTGGCGGTCGGCGGGAGCCGCTCCAATAATAAATAAGTTAATATTATTATATATTTGTATCACAATCGTTATTTACAATATATACATGTCACATTTCAACAACTGATTAAACACAATATATCCCCTACAGGAATGCATGCATACAGATTGAAAACGTTCAGCCAATGCTCATCTTAGAACCTTATATACACACATTACATATAACACTATATGTGCCACCATTCAAGTCAATGGAGTGATGATAATACGCCTAAAATTCGTTCCCACATAGAGTTTATAGTCAAGTTTACGCTCTGTACATGTGCAGTGCTGTGTGCTATAATCAAAAGACATTGCTTACCGAGCTAAGTGCCGGCCCATCCGCCGTCCGCCGCTTATTATGTCCCATACAATAATATTGCAAATTATTATGCCTCAATTGCACAAATACGTGGGCGAGCACGCACTTACCCACGTACGTGTTTAAAATAAAACTGGTAAATATATTCAAATTGTTAGATCTACAATAAAATAAACATAGAAAGGAGACAAATACAAGTTACAATCACTAAATTCTACGGAAAATGAGATATCAATATATAAAATAATTATGAACCATAGAACTAATCTTATATACACTTCATCTCCGAGTCTAATTTATATATGTATATATATATATATACTTAATTATTTAAACCTCGATCAATATGATTTCTTATACACATGTAGTAATAATGTAAATATATTGTAAAATTGAAATACATCTTTGTTCTAAATTATGTAAAAGAATAATAACATCTTCAGCTTAGAAGCATATAAAACTCAATATGAAATGAATATTACAAAGTATAATTGATTCATAAAATGGTTAAATAATAAAATTACATGATTGATTGGGTGTTACGCCCGCGTGTACCTACCACTATATGCCACACGAGTGAACATTCACATATATACAATAATTATTCACTACAAGGCTGCGCGCTCGTATATCCGCAATAAATAACATTAATTGGCGCGTTACAATATGACAATTATACTATGGCCGACGCGTACGACACCCTAAACATACACACACCGCCGTACGCGCTGCGTGCTGCGTGTAGAGGGCTGCGTTGTCGGCCCCAATATTATTAGTAATTTACGCTATAAAATAATACCATGTACGTAATATCTGTCCATGTTCTTAAAACGAATGAAGTGGCGCGTATTGGCGCGTGGGAGCCGCTCACGGCATGCTGCTATATCAATTGAAGAGCACGGAACTGGGGTCCTCGTTGTCCATTTGTTTCACGTGCCGCAACACGTCCTTCTTGGTGATGACGCCCAGCAGCCGCCTGTGGTCACGTACCAAAGACCGAGTGTCAGTTATATCATTCAGTAATATTATATATAATATACTGTGGCCAATCTTACCTACATAGAATTTGTAATAGTATATATAAATACTTCCTCGACCTCGGTGGTCTAGTTTAGAACACCGCCGTAATACCGATTTTCGTATGTTCGATTTCTCGCATGGTACAAACATTTGTTCACATTCATGATTGTATGTTATATTTCTATTATTTGAGAATAGAACTTAGAAGCAAGACAATATGAAAGTTAATGTAGGCTTTGACATTTTATATATAAATATTTTTACTTGAATATTAGCAGCTTTTACACAACCTGTTTTCTCAAGCTCGAAAAAAATGTGAGAAAGCCAGTGCGCGCATTATTATGATTATGATTTTAAAATTTGTACGTGTAAAAGCAGCAATTAACTAATAAAAATACAAATCGAAAAAACTTCAAAATAAAAACGATTAATAAATTAATATTAATAATTGCGGGATTAACAATTACTATGACATGTACTGACCCGTTGTGGGTAACGAGCGTCTGCCGTAGTCCGAGTTTGCGGAACATATCGACCACCGTCTCCATGGGGGTCTGGTCAGTGACTGTGATTGGCGCCATATCCAGTATGCGGTTGAGTGGGAGGTAAGGGGGCGGACCGGGGGGCGGGTTGCCAGTTCCTGCGAACACCACCACCGACTGCCCAGTGATGCCCTCTATCGTGCGCCGCGCGTTTGCTGTAAACATTTATTTATTTGAGCAACCAACAATAATTATTTTCTATTCTTTTAATTTACCTTATTTATTTTATTTAGTTAATTGTAAATATTATTTACTCTTTTAAGTACCTAGCATAAGTTTGATCTCTCGTAACCCGTTCTAAGAAGCTTTTGACCCCATTACCTAGAGGTCATTGTCCCCCAAGGCTATGCCAGAGCAAAGGGGTTCGCCAGGAAGAATTCATTCCAACCATCACCTCTCTGGGGGGTGGGGATAACCATGTCGCTCAAATATTTTGTTATATTTTACAAAACACAACACAGAATAAATCTGCACTCCACTCCAGCATCTATTAATTATCCAACACACAAACACCAAAAAATGCAATATATGATACCTATAGCCAAGTTGAGGTCCCGCCGCAGCACGAACCCGACCAGGTATTGCGATTCCTTGGAGACCACCACCGGGTACCCATTATGCTCCGTTTCCTTCAGCAGCGTTTCCACGTCGTCCACAGTCATCGAGTCCTGCATTATCACAGCCAGCGTCTCGTTTCGTCTACGCGTACAACAAATAGAAATAAATTTTATTTAAGCATAAGTTACTCATTCCAGTATCTTGAATAGTTTTCAATTCTACTGCCACATTCCAAATGCAAAATCAACCTCACAATAATTAATTTAATACATTAATATAATAACACTATCCCGTAATAAATCTTAATGGATACTATTCAGTTAGTAAACGTAAGTTCACTGTAACTTCAAAATTTAATATTGCTCTATAATCCGGCGAAATTGTTGTCTTTGCACACGTATTTTCACGCGCGGTTTAGTATGGGGATGCAAGCGCGCACGATCAGAAGCGACTGTATGTACATTAGTGATATCGCGTCATTTCACTTCCTTTTAAAATTGAATTGTATATTCCACAGATTTTGTATTTCAAACACAGGTTTAAAATTTATAAATTATAAATAACTCTATCATTGTCCTTGATCAATAGTCAGCGAGAGCGGCCTATCTCGTTATCTTTATTTACATTTACATGTACATACTTTCCTGAGTGTAAAGTCAGAAAATGTGACATCCCATGTTAAGTCAACATGCGCACAGCCAGTTTAATTATTAACTTGATTTTTAATTATTTAACTGGTAACAATACCCTCAAATTCGTACACGCACAGCGATCTAAGAGTGTGGCAATATGCGGAAAATAGAGCCCAACATACTATAATATGCAACCCTACTAGAGAATTTATTCCGTAATACGTGTGCCAACACAGAAGTCCCAAATCAGATTTTGCTCTAACGCAAGTGTAAAGCAATGGATAATTTGATATTAATGTAATAAATTGAATTAGTATTACGTATTTTATAGTAAACATCCATAATAAAGCCAATGAATACATAATAAAGCATAACTAAAAAACGATTTTAAACATAAAATAATAGCAAAACAATATGGCCAAATCGTGATTAAGTAATTTGTGGACAATAGTAATAAAAGTTATTCTTGTAACTATAAATCCCACATATAAAAAAAAAATATAGCACACTGCGCAGGTGACTGGCTTGGTACAGCGTTTTTTTCTATTGTAGTCTATTACGGGCAATTCATTCACATATGCAGTGCACAGCCGTTTTGTACATATAATCAAAAGTGCTGAAGAGTAGAAGTCACACGCGCTGGGGAATGACTGTGGCTGCAAAGCCACTATTTCAATATTGTAATAGTTAATTGTATTGTATTAAGCAATTAAAAGTTTTAATTAGAATATTGTAAAACGCTATGTTCTTGTTGCAAATGTGATTTGCGTTACAACTTCTGAGGTACATTCGTTCAAGCATCGAACGGTGTCACTCAAAATGTATTTCAATAGTATTTTATTAATAAATTAAATTTAAATTTAAATTATTTGGTTTTATTTATGTCCGCTGAATGCGACTATCGTAATTGGGTTCTCATGTTTTCCTTTGGTATAGTATGTACTAAAAAAAATATGTACTCTGTATATTCACACACCCAATCATTTTTGGAACAGAATGTTTAGAAAGAACGCACAGCAGGTATAACAGGAATAAATATAAACGTTATACATTTTACACTTTAGTATTATTGGCGTTTGCAAATATGTAACTGTAATGTGATTTAACTCGTAGTACATTTTAATTAATAGCTAGATTCTATTTGCTTGTCAACATTTAAAAATTTTATTTTTACATAATTACGCACAGCATTATTATCATATCATTTAGTAATCTCTAAAAGGAACAAAATTAAACATGCTGTTTTTGTCTGTTTCCCACATTATTTATTCTAAAGTAAGTATTCTTCCAAGTAAAGAATTTTTATTCAGTTTCCACTATAATTGGCAGAATTTAGTAGCCAGTTTGACCGCCTCGGTTGTCTACCGGTTTAGCACACCCCGTTACTTCCGATGTCACGGGTTTGATAACTTGCACGGTACAAACGTTTCAATCATGAGTACAATTGTTTGTATTGGGCACGTATTTAAGTATTTATATCGGTTGTCTAGTTCCCATAACAAGCTCAGCTCAGCTTGAGACTAGATGACGCTGTGTGGATTATCCAGGGTTATTATTTTTAAAGAGATAAAAAGCAGATATTCCTTAATAAATTACATTAACTTGTATACGTATAAACGTACGCCTTCAGCGCTGTGCTACGCTACATTATCAGATAAGGCTGTGTTTACACAAGAAGCCGACCAAGCAAGACACCTCGCTGCCAATTTATATTCTTTTCAGCATTTCAAATTACCAATATAAATTTTTATATTGTACTTTTTAATAGAGAACAATCGTATATTATTAATATATGACCCTAATATTGTCCACGTATAGTTGCATCTAGTAACTATTATTATTATAGCAAAAGTTTTGGAAATATTGAACGACATCAGCATATATAAATATTGCAAAAATCGCTACAAACATAATAATAAGATTTCTTCAGTACCTTTTTACCGAGGTAGATTTTGAAAAAAGTCTGCTTCAGTACCTCTGTCTATCTTTATCTATTTAGCTGTTGCGTTATAAGCTGTGTTTCAATGGAAGGGTGAGATAAGGCAGTGAGTATACAGGATCGGTAATCCATGAGTGATAGTCACGGATGTCACATGATAATGTGATGTCGTAGTGCTATTCATGTTTAAAGGGCGACGGTTACCACTCACCATCAGGCGGACCGACATTTTCTTTGCCGTTTCAATGAAAATGGTAAAGTTCATTATGCGTATTGAAGCCATGCGTGATATCACGCACGTCACATAATAATGTGATGTCGTAGTGCTGTTCATGTTTATAGACGACGGTTACCAGTCACCATCAGGCGGACCGACAGTTTCTTTACCGTTCCAATAATAATGGTAAAGTTGATTATGTGTATTGAAGCCATGCGTGATATCACGCACGTCACATAATAATGTGATGTCGTAGTGCTGTTCATGTTTATAGGCGACGGTTACCACTCACCATCAGGCGGACCGACAGTTTCTTTACCGTTCCAATAATAATGATAAAGATGATTATGTGTTTTGATTACAGTGCATTTATTTTATTTCTCACTTTCCTTAGGAAACGTCGGAACTATATTATTATATTATTACGAATAAGCATACTTACTTGGGTTGCATGACATCTGCTGCAAGCGATGTGTGCTGGAACTCATCCTTGCTATCCAGAAATGGGTACCCGTTGAGCGCTATATGCGCGTCGTAGATACCCTGCCGTCCGAGAGCGTCACCCACCCATTTGGAAGCCATCGCGGCTGCCATCAGAGGCACGATGTACCGCACGCCGCCCGTTAGCTCGAACATTATCACCACCAGGGACACTGCGGGAAATAAAATCATTACAAACGTGCACTGATAGTTATAGTTAACCGTTTCAGTACCACGAGTGTTTATTCATGCTTAAAAATGTTAAGAAAAATCGTTAATTTTGATGTCATATACCCTTTTATGCAAAAAATCTGTACCTCTTAAAAAATGTCCAGTTCTAATTATGCCTTCTCTGGTAAGTGCAAACCTACTACAAACAATTTAGTTTTTACTCTAACAAGTATTGACAATCAGTTGTGAAAATGACCATAATTCTGGTATTTTTGGTGCATTCGCTTCTTGTCCACTTGATTGCAGCCTCACTTGTATATCACAATACAGTTTTGCTCTTACACATTTTTCTTAGTCTACAACTAATATAACGTGTAACGTACTACTACACATTTACTATACTACACAAATTTATATTAATAATATCTCAGGACAATTCACCGAGCTTGAATTATGAGTACCAGACAACTGTTATAAATACATAGATACACTTTTTTTGTAAATATAAATTAAACATCAAAACACCCAGATCGATACAAATAATAATATTAAATGTATTAAATGTTTGTGCCATGCGAGGAATCGAACTCATGACCATCAGAAGTGAGAGCTGGTAGCATTATGGATACATTTATCTGTTAATATAGCAGTTTAACTTCATCCAAGCACAGAGCACAAGTCGTTAACGTACACGTTAATCTCGAATACTTCAAATCAATAGTGTTAGTATATAAAAAAAAGGTAAATATTATCTCACCAGTCATCCTGGTGACGCCGCCGAGTACCGCCGCAGCTCCTACCATAGCGTACAGACCGGGCGTGATGCAGTCATCGCCCGTCGAACACTCCCCGGAGAATAACCAGATCTTAGGGTAGTGATATGCGAGCTGCTCCACACCTGAACATCAGCATTACAAATCACATCATCAGTATTTAGACCAAGACAATAAATAGCAGATATTCTATTTTAAATACAAAAGAACTGATAAACTCTTTTTCGGCCTTCCTTTTTCCTTATAACCACACATATTCATACGTAATACTTTCTTTAAAATTATTTTAATTCCAATGCATTACATACATGCCCACATCATGAGAGCCGATTACAAAATCGGAAGCCGTTGTAAGGTAAAATAGAGTATATTCACCAATGCCGACAATCCTGCCGGCGATGGCGCCGAGAGCGAGGCTGGGTATGAACAGTCCGCAGGGCACCTTGATGCCGAACGTAAACACGGTCATCACCAGCTTGACTATCAGCGCGAGCATTAGCAGCCAGATGGCGTGGTAGACACCTTCTTCCGCGGCCGCCTTCTCGATAGCGGTATTCACATCCGTGAAGTTACGGTCGTAGTCGCTGCATAGTTATTATTATTTAGTAATATATAATACCACTCGGTATTGCGTTGTGTCTACACTTTAATACAAGTACAATTATTGCACCGCATTTACCCACTAGATACTACAAGAAACAAATAAATTAAGTAGCGACACTGCAGTGGTGAGCTGATAACTATCACGCAAGAGCTTATTTCTTCTTAAAAGACCAACAACTCCCCTGCAATTCCCCTTGTGTTGCGGGTGCGGTACACCAGTAATCACTAGTATTATAACAGTAATCACTTACCATTATATATAAAATACAGACAACCCTAAAATTACACCCTTCACCTTCTATCTACCCATATTTTTAATAACATAATTTATATTACAAAACATCATTTATTGGGTCAGCTAGTATATACCTAATGATATATTATATTTGTTATACAGAAACAAGTTGTCAGTGATATAAATCCTGTTAATGTTAACATTCACTTGTCTGTCTACAATGTAAAGCCCAACTCATTATCACTGTATTTGTCTGTGTAATCCATTTTACTTTGCTTCTTTTTGTAAGTAATAGAGTACATGAGTAGAAAATAAATCCAAAAATCAGCAACGAGTTTATATAACTATAAACAGTACACTCTTGGCATGAGGGCCATTAATTTTCGTAAAAGTGGAACATAGTTTTTGCCGTATGTATTACTTGTTTACTCGTAATGTTATGATAATGTTCGGTGAATGTTTTAATTTTCAACTCACCACAGAGGGTCCGAGTTGGAAATGCTGCACTGGTTGAACAGCAGGTAGATGAGCTGGCTGGTGTTCATGCGCGTATACGGGTTGGGGTACGCGATCACCGCCGTGATCAACGTCACTACCAGCACCTCCGTCACCGGGTACTGGCCCAGTTTAGAGTATTTACGGTAGCGGCACCAATAGATGTTCGCCTTTATAAATATAGTCGCTATGCAGCCCTGTCATAATTAATTAAATACATCAGACACCCAGTAAGATCAACGGAAGCCACTCTGCATGTTATGTTATTACGACTACTGCTCAATAGTCAATCGGGCGTGTATATATTTTTTAATAAATTACAGGACAGTGTGTATTGTAGTTTCATAAACTCTATATAATTTTCACATGAAATCCTTTCATAATATGTTTTTTCATGTAGGTCTACTACAGACTCTTATGACATGTCAAAATTTACCTCAGTCTTTTCAAATGAACTTGTACAATTACAAGTGGCAGTATATACTTATCCGATTCATCCGTTACAAAGAAAACAAATTAATCTAATAATTTTAGCGCTTTATGATATTGGTTTAGAAAACTATTAATATATTCTAATTACAGTGTTGACTCACCCCGATAATGCCGAGGCCGACGAAAGGTATAAGCTCGAAGAATATCCAGGGCTTGTTGTATTCAACAAAGAATAGCACAGAATGCTCGTTGCCAAATGGATTGATGGAGCGCAGGATGAAGGCGGCGATCAGTGCGCAGAAGAACGACCGCCACAGAGTCTTCAGAGGGAAGTAATACGATACCTGTCGACCAGTCGTTGAATAAATACTTCTGAGCACCCACGCTTCCGCTGATGGATGTCCCATTCAATTCAAACGGGGATCGAAATTACAAAGGTCTGAGCCGAGGATCGAACCCTAGCGATGCCCTTAGACTACAGTATTATCCATCAGATAGAATTGTTGCCCATAAATCCTAACGCAGGTATAGTGTCATCTGCACTCGGCCCCTATCGTTTCATGAGGCTGTAAAGGCCACTTTAAAGGCCACCTGCGGCCCACAGCATTAGAATAATTCGAAAAAGAGTCCTGTAGGATTGTATATAAATATAATTAAATAAGAGTGATTCACTGATCATTTGTGTGAACCATAGGTTTGTTATACGTACCTCCTCCAAGCTGAACAGTACACCACCGATGGGAGCACCGAACGCTACGGACACGCCGGCGGCAGCCGCGGCTGACAATATTTCACGCTTTTTGGCCTCGTTGCGACCGTACTTGGGAAACAGGTATGACAGGATATTCCCTATGCATTACATAAAATATTACCAAATGTATAAGGCAATCGTCATTCATGATGAGAAGGGAATTGTTAGTAATGTGGACTAAAAAAACTCATTGCTGACAAAGTAGTTAGGTTGACCTCTACGCGATTCGCCCTGGGAACCATCGCGATAAATTCATAGTGAATTACCACTATGGGCTAACTGACCTGACCTCAAGCTCATCCTACCATACACCACTGGTGTACCGCTAATGTAAACCGTTAGCGAAGGTGTGTGCCCTATTCTATTATCATCAATTAAAAAAAATAGTCATTATTCAATTATCAAAATTACTATAAATTTCACTACTATTCATTACAATTGCAAAAGATTGAGTAATATTTAATATGTATTTAAATTATATCTATAATTAAAAAATCTAGAAAACTGTTTCATTGGTTCGCGGAGTAGTTTATCTGTAAAATTGTATTAGAAAAAAACCGTATCTGCCTGTACAAAATTTCAAATGGAATAATTAACATATGCAACTTACCCAAACAACTGGCAATATGGACCATTGGGCCCTCCTTCCCCAGCGACAGACCGGACGACACGGACAGTATGAGACCTACCACTTTGATGATCAATGTCCATTTGCCCAGATATCCTCGGATAATGAACCCACTAAGGATCGTTTTTATCTCAGGAATACCTATAGAAGGAAGAGTATTTGAAGTACATGTTCATTGGGTATGAAATCACAGAATGTGTGAAATCTGTACCTAGCCTATGTTACGCCAACTTTATAAAAGAAAATAATAAATAAGATTAAAATAAAATAAATAAATAAGAACTAAAAAGTTTATAATACTTTCCATGAGGACTAACTAAAATTAAAATAAAAAATATTAAGTTTGCGTACTCACCAGAGCCGCATGCATAGGGCGCGAACATTCTGACGAGTGACGCGGACAGTGCCGCGAACAGGAGCGCCCAGCCAATGTAAAAAATGTAACTGATGATGTATGCACCAGCGCCCTCGCGCGACTCGCCGAACATTTGCGGCCATGTCAACCACTGAGCAAAGGGCGGAAGGGGATTATTAGTACTATATTAGTTTGACCTCCACGCAGTTTCCTTTGGAAACTATTGTGATCAATTCCTGGTGATTTTACCATGATAGGCTGACTAACCTGGCCTCATATAAATCTTATCATCCTCCGCTGCTGCCTCTCGTCAGCGTAAAACCTTAGCGGGTCACCATTCTATTATCATTAAACTTTTTACCGTTTTTATACATACAATAAAATCATAACAGAAGTTCACAGAGTATAAATATACAGAGAATATACAAAGTGCTAAACCGCTAGACCACCAATACCGTCAACCAGTTAAATAATTTAGTAAACAAATGACCTCATGATGGCCTAATAAAGATGGCCTACTCATTGTCTTATTGATTATTATCAATAGATACCAGTCTACAAACACACACATACCAAGTCGTTAATAAATTAATGCACAGTACTGGAGAGGTTTTCTAACATTTCTACGATTTGTTATTGCATTATGAATAAACATTTGAATTTAATTTTCACACAGGATACCGCACACAGGAACCTTGACCATGGCACTGTACTGTACTCAGGGATCATTTACAAACAAACTCTGTTTCAACAACGATGCATATAACAATTGTCAAAAATAACCCAGGAACATATACACTGCAATTGGTGTTGTTGCATAGAGGTGACGTTTTATAAAAAAAACTAGCCATCCGCCTTAAACTTCTTATTGCAGGGATCATTATTTATTTTCCAAATAAAATAAAGCCCATATCCTAGCTGATAATGTAGTGAAATTTACGTATACAATTTTTATAATTACTTAAGTAGTGTTTAAATGTATTACAAATCGAATCAAATCTAAATATTTTTATTTCTTATAATAGTATCAAATCCACTGTAAGTTCGGAGTGCTTTCGAGCTAACGAGAACTAAAAAAAGGTTTTACTCTTTTCAAATAAACTGGTACATGATTACATAAATACATAATACATTTATAAATAAACATACATTGAATGAATTGGATGTATTTTCAAATTGATTGTATGAATAAATTGCACTCTTCAATCTCTGCCCCTTCCTTGCATCAATGAAGCTTTATGAGTAAAATGAAATAAGTGGTGAGATGTGTCGCATTTTGAACACTAAGGGCCATTATCCAATCTAGTACTCTTATCAGGTCAATACATCCGGCCTATTCAGACACTTGTTCAGCTATAACGACGCATTTGCAACAAATTGCAAGCATGAAAAGGAAATCTTCATACTAGACGTAACACCAGGTTAGATTGTCTTCCGAGCGGTCCCCCTGGAATATTGGCATAATGGGCTAACTGACCCAATTTAACTTTTTCTAATCATCTTCCACTGTATAGTGACTATTGTAGCACAGACGTGTGAGCCATTTTATCAGCATATATAAAAATAATAATAATATCCTCGGACAATTCACACGACGCAATTTAGTCCCAAGCGAGGCAGAGCTTATGATATGTGTACTAGACTGATATAAATACTTAAACACATTTTTTTTCTAAATACATAATATATATAGAAAACACCCAGACCGATCACAAACAATCATACTCATGAATACAAAAAGGCCGACAGAAAAAAACACTAATAAATACCATATAAAAAAAAACTCACCTGTGAACAATTTCCGTGATCAAATGTGGTCTCGTTACTGGACCAGCAGCATTGTTCCCTGTTGAACCAGAACGCCTGGCGGCATATGCCGAACTTGAGGTCGGTCATCCACGAGGCGCCGATGTCGATCACACCTGCCACCACTCCTGTGCACACGCCTACCAACAGTACGCACACCCATCCTGACCACGCATCGTGTGCACCCTATATATACCATTAATATCAACTATTATTGTCAAATTACGTTTCAGAGGTTTTTAATTTAATTGTATCTATTATTACTTACTTTGATAAGATCCCATAATGAGTCTTGTCTCTTCTTTACAATATACCTATGTCTCATGCGGTCACGGGCAATATCCCTCTGCCAATCAATTGTATGAAAGTCATCATATTGCCCAATACCAGGGATGTCATCATCTGCTGCAGAAAACAATGTCACATTAGCATGACTAGAGTAACTAAAGAAATAACTTGTAGCCTTAATATTAACCCTAGATACTTCAGTTATATATTACAACACATGTTTAATCCATATATATATATATGAATTAAACAACATGTGTTCATGTTTTACCAACATAATATTGCAGAGAAATTAAGATTAATCAATATCAATACTAATATTATTAATAAAAATTAGGTAGATGGACATAGGCCATCTTAAAGTCTAAGTCTATAAACATACCACTGTGTCTATCTAACCACAACATTGTCGAATTCATAGACCCCATTTTGTAAAAGTTGTCATAGTAAAAGTATGAAAAGTGAATGAATGACCAAACAGACTATGATACCAGTAAATAGCTAGTAATAAGTAATATCTAAGAGATATCATTATTATATAAATAATAAGCTATTCATCACCTAAACTTCTAGATAATCACTGAAATGTTCCTCTGATCTAGAAAGAGGGCATAGCACATGGCCATATATCATATATACATTGGATTAATAGCTACACACTGATTCATACTACAAATGCCAATGACAAATAGTCCATAATTCTTCATGTTCATCATTTTCACATGTACCTATATTATATAATGCTTTCAATATATTTTCACTAGCACTGAATTTTGTTGTAGATATTATTATACATATTATCTAAAGCCATACATTATATAACTAGCTTCAACCCTTGTGTTTTTCTGCTTGACCTGAATGTACTTATTGATCGACAAGAGTAAAAGTCATATATGTTACATGTTTGTACCAAATAGTTTTTATGTAAAAGACAAACTTACACATTAATTTAATAGCAATATGATACTTTATATTTAAGAAAATATAATGGATTAATATGTAGTAACATACTTTTTACATAGGTTCTATTGGACATACTTTGTATAACTTTAAATTTATAAAAATGCCTTGAATTACCTTTGAAATAATCAAAGTAGCAGAACCTATGTAAAAAGTATGTTACTACATATTAATCCATTATATTTTCTTACACTATTTCTGTTTAATATTTTATTCCAATTTGTTCCAACATTAGCGAAGTTAATATGTGGACCAATTTTATAATTAAATTACAACAGCCAGTCAAGACTAATTTTAATACAAACTGATTTATAAAAAATCATAGCTATTAATTATTCTATCACTAAATCAAATTGATATCATTTGGTGATCAATTATATTAATAAGTAAAAAATCAAGGAAGAATTTCATTAAACAAAATGTATGAAATTTATTTAATGATAAAAATAAAACATATGCTAACTGTCAAGTAAAATATTTGGAAGAACGTATAGCTATATAAAAAAAATAACATTGTGTCACTCACCCTGCATACCGGAGAAGATAATTGCGTCCCCTGTAACAATTTTAAATCACTTATTATCTAGAAAACACTCAATCCTGGCACCATAGATTTTATGTGCCGCGCAACACCTGGATACCGACTCACACTGTACTTTCAGCTAATTATTAACACATCATTTTATAATAACATTGTCCTCATGGAATCGAAATATAAATTAAAAATCGCCACGTTACTGTTCTATAAATAATAAAAACAAAAGAAAATCATGACCAACCAACTAAACGAGCAGGTGACGCAAAGCGAAACGTCAAAAAATAGGGTTGCCAGGTAGGGTACGTGTAATATTTTTGGGGAAAAGTGGACGGTCGCGTGTGTGATGATATTCGTATATATTAAATATAATTATTTCATTAAATCCGTAATATTTAATTAAAAAATATTATTAATAATACTTTTATTTATCATAACATTATAATTTAATAATTTATTACTTAAACTAAAATTTCAGAAAAAAATTACTATATTATTTAATAAACCATATAAAATTTTATATACTTCAAGCAATATGTGCCCAAAACAAATTAATCTGACGTGCACAAGTATTCGTAATATTTTAGTTTTAAAAATATTTATTATAATAATTGCTTCTAAAGTTCTAACACATGTGGCCTCTTCTACTGGGGGAACGAACTAATACTTGTTTGTGTAATAATGGGATTTTAACGTTATAGTTACAATGTCGATTATTGGGACATTATTCCTAAATTTAAAATTACCATACCTGGTTATAAGAAACGGGAGGTAAACTACAACCGGGAAATATTGTTCTAAATAACAAAACATTGGACGCTACGAACGTAGTGATCACGTGCTAGGGACAGTCTCAGTCTCACTCGCTTACGTTACGGGCGGCGGGCGTAGTGGCGGATCGTTCGTCGTGGCGCACGTGTTGAATTTACGACTCCGGGGCTTACCATTCCATTCAACCTCCAGACAGATAACATACTTAATGTAAAACAAACTTCGTATATTGTCCATATTTAAATATGGAAATGAAATATAGTATTCAAATAATTGTTCCGTTTTTTAATTATTATATAAATTCCTTAACCGCATTAATAATGCGGTTACATTCCTTGTTGTTCAATAAGGTCAATTAAATTAATTACCTCCTATTATTTTACTATCTATTATTCCTAATAAATTTATTATTACGAAAAACTATGACAACATGTTAACTATTAACATGTCATCGTTTTTCCTAATTATAATTACCTATATATAGAAATTTATTTTGAATATATTATATATTAATTATAAAGATAACTTCTTTATTAGCTAGATAATTGTTTAGTTATGTATGCGTTTGTAATGAAAAGTGAAAGGTGTCACTCGCTTAGGGGGGGTCGTTATAAAAGCAGTAATTACTTAACATTATAGCAAACACATAATTTTCTGACGGTAAGCAGTGGACGCTGAAGGTGTCGTGGCAATTATATTTTAGTAATTCCAGGCTTACGTTGGGAGAAATTATAGTAGGTCCTTATTGTACGTAAAGCACCATCCGCAAATCGATAAATCTAGGCACCATTCATAAATCAATTCAGCCCCTTGGCTCCGGGCATCAGAGGCTCGGCAACGGCCGGGCCGCTGCTTGCATCTGTCTGCATAGATACGTAAATGTACCGAAACTAATTGTTGTCATGATAACCAGCTCAAGTAATTCTTAGGAACACAACTCTACTTCATAAGTTGTATCTCGATTGTGATGGGTCTGATCTTTGTGCTTTTGAATTGAATTTTGCAATTTGTCGGGGGTCATGATAACGTGATACCAGTAGTACTGTTCATATATATATATAGCCGACGTTTACTGCTTACATTCATCAAGTGGAAAGCCAGTTTATTTACCATTCCAATTACACAAGAAAATCCATTTAATAAAATGATAAATGAGGCAAACAATACGAACAATATTTTTATTTAACAAAAGGAATTAGTACCCGTTACACTAAAGTCGACGAACTTAAATAAAATAATTATTAGCAAACTATCGTCAGAAATGCGTTAATTTATGAAACGTAAGTAATGACACATTTTAATTAATTATTATTGTTAGTTATAAATTGGCATTTTTCTGTTTGATATTTTATAGTATTTATTTTAAAAATTATATCATTTAAATAGTCATTTGAACTGTATTTTGAACTGTATGCAATGATAACACAATGTATAATTAAATAAACCCCCCCCCCCCCCCTATCGCCCAATTCTTTAAAATTTTTTGTTATTGTTTATACCAAATAATTCGCGAACAAAAAAATGGAGTTAACATATAATGATTCCGAACATCACGAGCATGACTTGCACTTGACTAAGATTGTTAGTAATGAGGACCAGTTACACCCCTGCTAGCAGTATTACGTCGACTACCCGGTTCTCCCTGGAAACCATCATGATAAATTCTTAATAAATTTGCTACGTTGTGCTAACTGAATTGACCTTATGCTAATCCTATCATCCTCCACTGGTGTCCCGTCAGCGTAAACCGTTAGCGCAGGCGAGTATACCATTCCATTAAAAAAAATCAATATGTTTATAACTACTTACATAGCGTCTTAGTTTCTGCGCAACTGGAATATACATGCTCACGGGTACGATTCCTCGCACTATACAAAGATTTGTATTCTATATAGTATTCTGTATAGTAGTATTCTATATACTTGTAAAGAGTATAATTGTTTGTATTGGTCCAGAAGATTTGTATGTATATTATATATATATATTTACAAAAAAAATTGTTTGTATCCATAACACTTGTTGTGCTTAGGTAGGAACTAGATAGCGCTGTATGAATTGTCCTAAGTTATTATTATACAATAAAAATGTAACTATTGTTATTTAGTCAACACAGCTCCTTTCAACGTCCACATCCATCCATCCCTTTCACAAGATCAAGGGACCGAAGAAAAAAAATTAATACAAGGCAGTAAAAGTGGTGACATCTTAGCCTACAAATTCAACACCACTCAAAACATTAGCTTATAGTCTTGCGATTGGTCGCGGATTAACAAGGAAATGATTACTTTATCAACGTAACTGAATCCAAAACAATAAATAATTGTTAGGTTTTTTGTCTTATTGTCTGTACGTTTGCTTGTAATTTTAGATACGCTTTTCACTTGCAGTAAGTTTCGCTTAACTACTTTAGTACCAATCCGTTTACAAACAAAAATAGTTTACGGGTACGAAGACGCGAAATAAGCTAGTCTAAAATTATAATTATTGTCAATTGTATTTTATATAAAAAAACTGTATAAAAATATAAATACAAAGCACATGCTGTGAGATAAATCAATCATGATGAAATCAGAAAGGAAGATATACTTAAAAGAACTCAGCAAAAGTAGATAGGCCTGGCCACGTATTCAAAAAAAAAAGAAACAATGGGGAACATTATTTTTCAAGTAACATGTCGATATATTACCTGGTATCAAACTGATGTAGTTAATACTATATTGTAATAACAATTAGTAATATTATTTTACCTACATAGTCGACAAGCGGCAGAGTGTCGCTGGCCGGGACCTCCTCCGATTGCATCATGCTGGCACAAACTACTAGCGAACGCAACCCACAAACGACCACTGAAGCTTATCGTGCAACGGGAATTGTTAATCTAATCGAAGCTGGATATACTAGATAAATATAATACGTATCGCAGATTAGTTTTCGTGTTATTACGTGGGGTTCTGCCAAATTTATGGTAAATATAAAATATTTTTATATATTATAACTCATATTCTATTCTGTTGGGAACTATTTTATACATATTATATTTTGTCTATGTTTTTATATTAGTCAGTAAATAATTTGTGACTATACATGAGAATAAAATAAGGCGCCAGGCCTTATTTTACTCTTATCTCATTACATACGTCCTGATCTCCCTCCTCGACGATTGCAATAAACTGTTTACTGTGCGCCACATTACTCGTACATATTTTAGTTAAATAGTGATTACATATCCGATAACGTTTCCATTGCCAGATTAAATTATTAATGTATATAATATACCTATATTTAATTCCATGACTAATATATTACATTGAAGCTCGAATTGGCGATAAATGATAGCTTACAATAATAACAAAAAAATTGCCCTAAATTTCTGAAAGTAGAATTTATTGGGCGAAAAAAACAAAAATGGACAGTAAGTAATAGAAAACAAATATATATATATATATATGAAATGTGTTTTTGATAAGACAACAGCATACATAATAGGCGAAGTGTGAGTGTAACATTTAAATATTCTGTTCTTGCATATCATCCGTACTAAAATACAATAGATTTATGTAAAATTTTAACTAACTAAAAACCAGTGTTTTCTACGAGTTAGGAATTACGAACGTACTTAGCCCAAAATGTATCAAGGATTACAATACATTTATTATTATATAGCATACATGTGCCATAATATATGAAAATATAATCTTACCGGTCGACGAGCTGAAGTACTGAGCTATGTAAGCTAAAACAAAAAAGAGATAGTCGCTTTACTGAATAATGTTGTCATCTAAAAGGATTTTAAATCTGATGTAATGTATTTATTTATATCAGGGGGAGAGTAGAGTATATTGACACGAAAAATACCTAACACTCGTTTCCCACATTTTTCGATATCTCAATATTAATGTTCGAAAGCAAAGCCCGCAACTTTGCCCGTACGAACTTTTTGATCAATGAACATGTCACGATTAATCCTAGATATTGATAGTACGGAAGTTTCTGGTTTATAAAGTTAAAACGTATAATACAGAAAGAAATAGCTTTTATTATGGATTCACAGCTCGAAGAATAAAACACTATAATCAAACTCACATCCACTATGACAATTCACAACATATAAAAAAATCTCGTTGAGGCAAACCAAGCATTTGAGGACGGTAGGTCGGTGGAGTCCCATCTAGCCCTTCGTGACAGATTCATCACGGCTATTTGATAGCTGAGAGTACGTTGGTATCCATAGGGCCAGGCCAGGCCATTTACTGATAATTCCTTCACCCACTCTTTCTAGATTAATTGTTTAGTTGAATACTTACAGTTTGGGCTAGCGGTGGAGTTCCTGCCGCTGTGTTCGTAAAGCTGAAAGGTGCCGTGGTTTGTGGGCGTCGTGTCAGCCGCCTGCTGTAGACCAGCCGCGCCGCAGCCAGGCGTGATATCTACCATGTCATCCTCGCTCGGAGAGTGCCCGCTGCGTCCATTCGTAGTGCTCGAACCCTGCGATGAATACAAACTTTATTTATGCGTTTCAAATGAGAAACTAGCTAACTGCCACACCACCAAAGACATCAAAAAATACAATATTACACGGGCGTAACATTGTACTGCTTGTTTGCCGAAAGACGATACTAAGGTGAATTCTGTATCCTGTACTTTAAAACCTTCACATTCCACAGCTTTCAGAGCGAGCGACTATTGCTGGCGCTCGTGACTGTAATGCCTGCACTGCTTGTAATGATCAGCAGGCGACTTTATACAAACATTCCCTCTGTGTACACCTATCAAAGCTGCTGTGCATTATGTATTACATTAAGTTTTCTTATCGTCTCATATTAGTACCTACGTAAACTATTAACAACCCATTAAAAAGCTCTATATGTTGCATCAAACATGCAAACTCATTTACATACTAACGATATATATTTTCTATAATAAGAAAATCCTAGTGAACCACCCGTGCCTTATTTGCAGAATCTGAGCATTGTGGTTCCTTTGTACAGCACTATATTCAATGTGTAGCGTAGATGAATGCAAAACTGTCCACAATGCACGCTTTTGTGCTCAAAGATCACAAACGTGAACATAAAAGTGTTTGTGAACATCGACACGGCCCTACTAGGTCTCGTAAGGCATTTTGAACGTAAATGTTAAAATGTTCTCAGTAACAGGAATACATACAGTTCTTGGTAAAATAGAAGCTTAAGTGAAGACTTAGAAACCTACATTCAGAAAAGAGACTCGCCTTGAATGTGATATTAATAGTGCTATTTATGTCTGTTACATCTTTGTGCACTTTTGTTTTATCTAAAGATGGTGATCTATCTATAGTGTATCTAAAGAAATAGTGCAAATTTTGACAGTTTATGTGGTGATAATTACTGCAACCTTCTGCACTTGTTCGATTAGATAAAACGATTATATTAACATTCACTTTAGAAGACTAGTTTCAATGGCAGTAACTGTTCGTTTAATATTTTTCCATAATAGGTAAAATGTAATTAAAATTAACTTAGTAAATGCTAAACAAATTAAATATTTACCACTGCTTGCAGTTCCGGAAACAGTTCCGCCGTTTACAGTCAAATTACAGTGCTGTGTACATTTAATATTGTACCTACCTATTTTTTTATATAAATTTCTGTTAACAAAATCTATACAAAATTATTCGTAGTATATAAGTATTACGTAGTTGTATATTATTTCCTAATTACTGCACTTTTTATTGTCTAACCTTATCTGGCATACATTGCATGGATCTATATATTTTAGCTTCTAGGCATACATAGTGTTTGATCACAATCTAGTTTTGTACTAATTACATGCTAAACAAATGCTTGTACTGACGGCAATCTGTTTTGTGTACTAGTATATAAATAAATTTAAAATTAACATTTTCCCTTATCTAAATGTCCACATTACTTCATTGCTGCAACCGTGTGGAACACTTCTGGTAATCACTTAAGTAGAAAAACTCAATAGGCTTTTCAAATTTGGGATACTATTGCAGCGGTACGTATCGTAGCTGAACGCGGGATTAGACAGTTTTACTAAATTGGAACCGCGAGATTAGTGTACTATAGTGATTTTCACAACGTAATGATGTATGGAATTTTAACCTGGGATAAAGCAGCAGAAATACAGAGCGGTTTTGTTTTATAAAAACGTAATATACGTTTATTTTATTGCACTTAAAGTGAAATCGTGACTCATTAGAGTAGATATGCACACTTAACTCCTCTTAAAATAAATACGAAAATGTTATGTATTATATATACGCAAGAACTTTTATTTATTTCTCAAAAATATTAATCTCAATAACCGTAACTATACAGAAACAGATATTCAAATTCAAAATATCAAATACTTGCAATCTTCAAATTTCGTTTATATGAAGTTATAGGTCTTTAATGGGAATGGCAAATTCAAATTTTTTTACTTATTGAATAAAGTCACTCATTATCAATTTTTAGACTACCTTGTTGGACAGTAGAGAGAGTGATAAGAAGATACGACTTGCGTAAGTGTCATGTGAGTAAAATATTTTGTCTTTGATTATATTAATTAAAACTGGAAAAAAATATGTTCGTATGCTAAAATAAAACATAATATTACACATACACATTCACCGAACGACCTATCTTTTGGTGAATCATCGGCAAGTGTAAACTTTAAACCTGCGGAAGGACTTACGGAGCGGACGAAGACAAACTCCTGCCTGACGGATACTTTAATCTGAGGACACTGTTGTGGTTCCAAACCTCGACAAAATATAGATTTCTTGTTTAAAGATAAGTTACGGCCTATAACACTATAATATAAACCCATTATATATATTGATTATAAAGTATAACATCCTTACATGTTTTAATTTTTTCCAAAATACAATATAACAAGTTTTACATAACTTGTACATACAAATATATCTATATACATTACATATCCATAAGTTATATAAATAACCGGTAATCAGAATTACAGTTGAATTTTGTGTTAATGATTATATAAATTCTAATAGATATAAAACAAATTATTTGTTGATTTTCATCGAGTATGTACGTAGGTCCCAATAACCTTCATTAGTGTTGAACAAACTATCTAAAATACAATGTTAGACAACTTATGTATTCACCTATTCATTATTTGCGTTAAAAATAAAACTATTATCCTAATAGTGAATAATATACTTTTGTACCAATTACCATTTCACTTACATCAACTCAAATTTCAACATTATAAAACTTTTATAGTTCACACCGTATCCACACACTACAACGGTTCATTCACTAAAAAAATAATTAACGATTACAAATTTTGGAGATACATGAGTTGCATCAGGGCACCCGACCGTCATCCGCGAGTTCTGTTTGCAGACCGGCCGACGTTGTGGGTCGTGGCGTCGCTACAACGACGGCGCGGACGGGGCGGACGGGGCGGGCTGATGCCTGGATAGGCGGACGAACCGTACGACGGCGAAAATCAATAATACTCTTAGGTTGCAGCACGGATGGAAAACGCCACGTGTACCTAGGTCCGTCCTTCTCCGTAGACGGCCTAGCAACTGGATGTTTTCTTCATGCGCGAAACGAGCGACTATTACGTCTGCGTTCCTTTATTTGAATGCCAACGCTAAAGCAAATAGCATATCTCATAAAATAACCAAGGATGCAGTTTTATTTTTATAGAATTCTAAATCAGCTCTAGATTCTCATTAAAAATATATACAATTTATAATATAAATCTATACACATGACTACACTACTATTAATTTTAATTCTATCAGTATTAGAATTAAATTTACAGATAGCAAAATTAAAATCAATGTATCTTGATGCTTGATATATTATCTCGACGAGTGCACCTAGCGGTATGTGAAGCACTTTTGCAAACGACCGACAATTCGCAGAGGCTGATTCAATTGGTTTGATTATCCTACACAGCTCCAGACGACCCACATCCTTAAAATGTCAGCATATAAATGCATCCTGCACGGCTGCACGCGTACGGGTAGTCAGTTAACGTGCAGATGACGCACGAGACGCACGTCTACTTAATGTGAATGATGACAATAATATCTCAGAACAATTCATACAGCGTTATCTAATCTCAAGCTATGGGTGCCATACAACTGACATAGATACATTTTTTTTAAAAATACATAACAATATATATAGAAAACACGCAGACCGATACGAATAGTCATACTCATGGATACAAATTTTTGTATCGTTTGAGCAATCGAACCCGCAACTATCGGAAATAAGGTGGTGTAAGCACACCGCCTTACTTCCGATAGTCGCGGGTTCGTACCGCTAGACCATCGAAGCCAAATAATAAGAGCCAACAATTTTTAGGTAGGTATTTAATACATTCTCGATGTAAACGTTATTTTAGACGAATTATTTTATAAGAGAGGGCAATTTTGACAAAGCGTATGGTAGCGGAAACCATATGAATGAAGATTATACTTATTAATATATTTTATCGAATCAGGTGTTATTTTACAGAAGTCGGATTCATTACTTCATGTCCGGCCGCTCAGAGTTTGCGTTTCTAACAGGTCGGGATCGACCAATCAACAGTTTGCTTTTGACGTGATTTGATTTTTAAAAACTATTGTTTTAATATTTGTTAAGCAGTTAATAGTTAATAATTTTGGGCAAAATTTATACGTTTAATATAAGTTGGAATAATTATTAAATATTTTAATGTTATCACTCGTTAAAATTTCAAATAAAAGATATTTAAAATTTTACTGTAAATTCTACACCAGTTCTAAGTTATATCGCCTATTCGATCCCGACCTGTCAGAAACGCAAACTCTGAGAGGCTTGACTTTGGACTTGTATTGTATTATTCTGCTACTACTAGCATTTGTGAGACAACAAATATATAGTGTGGAAAGGGAGTTTATTCGGAGTTCGATCGCTGATCAGTGAATACTTTGCTTCCAAGCTACATTCCATGACCTGATGATGACTCATTCAGAGGCTAAACAGCGCGCAATATTAGTGTAGACTCAATAATGGAATTTGATCAGTAATATAGAAGATCGTAGCGCTTCCAATAGCAGTGGCCAGGTAAATAAAAAATAATATAAACAGTAAGTAACTATTTAATATTTATATATACTATTAATAAACAAAAGCTCATCAATAGTCAAATTAATCCAATCATCATGACAACAAATAATTATAGTATACTTATTGAACCTGAGTTGTACGGATTCGCTATTATCCAGATTGTTAACCGTGGTCATATGTATGCACGTAGGTACATTACTAAGTCTTTAACATTAGTTTAGTTTGGTAATTTAAATTAGTTATGTTATAACAAACACGTGTATGGTATGTACACTAGAGTTGTACGTATTTACCAAAAATGCTTTCCTTCATAATGCAAATATTCAGATTCTGTACTATTTCAATGCCATATGCCGTGCTATGCATTTGGTTCGGTTAGTCGTATTTTCACTGTATTGAATAACAACGCATGAAGCCAGACGAAACCTCGTGCATTACGTATCACAGTCGACCGATCTTAATACTGTATACAATGCACTAACAATATTAATCCGAGAATATCAATGTTCCCGTTCTATAATATAAACTATTTCATTAATGTACAATTCCTAGGATATTATCAGCGTGGGTACATCTGACAGAAATAGGTATTGCTTTAGTTCTTGATTTCGTAACAGTTTACTGTTACGAAATCAAATCACTTCACTTACAAAATAGCGAATAAAATTCGAATTAGAATAAGGAGCTCTGAAAAAGAAAACAATAAAAAGCAGATACAACTGATACGCGAGCTTGGTTACATTTTTAATAGAAAAGACACAAGACGTACGTAATTATTATGCGTATCTTACATCATACTACACCAAAATCAATCATCATACTACAACCGGAAAATAGACCCACCTCAACACTCTTTGTAATATCTGCCATGATCTAATAACAAATTTGTCAATACATTAAAGGAAAGCTATTGAACAATGACAATGCTGCCAACAGTATCGACATTGAAAGAACTACCGCATGATACCTTTGACCATGACTTGACCTGCAACAAAACTTTTACCAAATCTCATAGCTTTTGACTGATATCTGACACAATAACAATTAATGAGTAGTATTATATTAAGAGTTCTTTAACGGCGACAATTGAAAGATTACTTAACTTAACTATGACCACTAATCATCTATTTATGGAACTAAATTACACTGACTGCAGTATTAGATTTTGGTAGACATTGCTAATATAGCCCAGAAAGGGGATATCAATAAATAGCTCTTCTAAAGTCAAGGAAAACTGAGATTTTACTTAAATATTTGCGTCATCAATCCCAATCAAAACCACAGGGACGAATATAAATACTTGACCCACCTGCCCTACTTCACGTGCCTATTTTAGTTTGTCTACTTATTTGGGTATAAATAATTAAATAATCCAGATGGTAGGTAGGCATTCTGTCATTCAGAGTATTTAAAACAAATGTGGGAGTTGGTGAACACACTGGTGAGAGTCACTTACTGTGCTATAAGTGGGATCTATCTGTATTCTGGAAAAGTACTCATAGTGGAAATGTGATTCCAATAAATTTGTGCACATGTAACAGAATTGACAGTTTTTTAAATGATTTCAACGAAATAACAAACTTTTGTTGACAGTTGGATATACAACATATAACCATTATTTGTGTTTGGGAAAATGGAATAGGAATGCTGTTTGTTTCCCTTCCTTTTTGTCTAAAAAGGTCATCCTGATTGACAACACATTGGATTATAAAAAACCAGAACTGTACAATATGGACGAAAAAATTGAGCCACAATCAATGTGGACTAATCTAATAACATCATATTAACAGACATAGGTAAGTTATATACAGATATATATATATATATATATAAAGGATGGAGAAGTATACTTCTATTATTAATAGCTATAAACTTACCTTTTTATAAACAGACTGATATGTAGATCCCATTTTAGGCAGTGATAACTTAAGTGGAAACCGTTCCATAGCAGTTCTAACTGAAACAAATAACAAAATATATAATATCTCCATATATGGATTTATATATCTTAATATTTACAACATTTATACTAATGCAATCAAGTAAACTAGACAGATGTAATACCTATAAGGGCCACTATATGCATCTGAATTATAGTTGCATGTTTGCTTAGTTACAAAGAGTTAAAAGAGATTGTTTTAAGTGATAAGACAGCCTTTGTTTAGCACATTCATGTATAGTTTTTGTTTGTAAAAAAAAATTATGTGTCAATTATGCAAATTAGCTGCATATAAGTAAATAGATCATGATAACATCCCAGCAGAATACAAGGTTAGTTGTTTAAATCATTACTACATAATCTGTACAAATAGATAAAATTGAAGAGTCTGTTTGTAATTTCAAATAGCTTTGACTAAATGCATATGAAAGTATATACAGACAGAGTAATTATGTATCTAATAGTTATTGAGTTATTTAAAAAAAAAATCTGCTTGTCTGCTTGTTCTTCCTAATATCTGAAATGGCTGACCCGATTTGGACCAGACTTGTATTTGCAGATAGGTAATGTTATAAGCAATAACTTAAATTGCTTCGATTTTAGAAATTTTATTTTATTATTTAATAAAAATAAAAGTCACCACTAAGTAAATTTAATATCACTAAAATTAAATAATAGCTATAGGCCTAAAATCACATTATATATATACACGCAATTTCGCCCGCATGGAATTCAACTTTATTTATCAACAATAACAGTAGCCTAAGTTAGTCCTTATTACATCGGCTACCTGTCAATAAAAGTCCCATCAAAATCAGTCCAGCCATTTCAGAGATAAGCTGGAACAGACAGATGGACAAACAGACAGACAAAAATTGTAAAAAATATTATTTTGGTGTATGTATTGTATTTATATTCATATGCATATGGTAAAAAACTGTTATTTCAATATTACAAACAGACACTCCAATGTTATTTCTTTTATGTAATAGTATGGACAATAACTTATATTAATATTTAAGTATTTAGAATACAATTATTATAATTTATTACATTATAGGTATATGGTATTATCAATGGATTTAAAATTACAGGTGTTAAAATAAAAATAACCTAAAAATGTGACAGAATGATAGAATGAATATTTGTGTGTTCACAAAGTTAAAGGGAGACACAATATAATAATTTCTCTTCAGATTAATGAAGGAAAAACAGATTTACATAAGTGTTGATGGATCCCTTTATGGATAGATGTAAATAAAATGGTTTATGTAAAGTTTTCAGTACATAGCATATAAGATTACATATTATTACAGAATCTCATACTTTTCGTTCAGCTAATAAAAAATTCATTTGGTTCCATTCAGTAATCATTTTCACTGCTAAATTATTTATATAAATCCATACGAATAATCAACGAATAATATATATAAATCAATATGAAACAAACAACTATATTAGTTTATAGAAAACTCTGTTGCAGTTATTTGCACCCATGTTTAACATCTCCACATAGAAACAAAAAAAATTTTGTATATCTTCTTAAAACATAAGATAGAAAACTGTTTATTTAAAAAAAAACATACATTTTAGCACTTTTGAATACTGATACTTATTTTTTTAAATGAATTTGTGTCTGTCATCACAAGAAGAATGAGCAAGAAGCTTGTTTGTTGCTCTTTTATGTATCATATATATAAATATATGAATCAATAATCAATGTAAATTATAATGCTAAATAAATAATCCCTGTGAACATCTTTTTAGGTCATTCAAATTATCAACATATGATAACAAGATTACCCTATCCCCAAATAAATACACACTAATTTAAACATGCAAAATATATTTATAACTTATAATGAATCAGACATCACTATTTTATACTTCCATTACGGAGTATTCATCCATTGCATGTTGTATGTTAGGTCTACTTTTTTTTGAGGATTTTGGGCTAAGAAAGTCAAGTGCTAAGAACTGTAAGTGTAAGCACAAAAGTAATATAGTGGAGTCTATCTAAAATTATAGCATTAACACTAATGCACATGTTGAATAGAAAATAACATATCAGCTGAGTAATTAAGACTGTCCGTGTGTTGGCACTGATTCCGAGCCGCCGACCTCTGAATATGTGAAAGCACTAATGCACACATGAATAAACAACAGCACTAAAGTGATATTCTATGTTCCTAAAGTGGGAGCAAATTTGTCTAATATAATTCGGGCACTGTACTAAAATTAAACATATCAAGTGCTTTATTACGCGTTTTATGGTATACAGACACGTCCCTGTGACGCCCCCTTTCTAAAATAGAAAATAAACAAATCGGTGTCGCCTCTGGACACGACAATAATACTTTTCACATATGTAAGAGTTATATCACTGTTTCTATTCACATACCACCTAAGTGGCTAGTCTGTGAGGAACATTATAAAATAACTCGTTACAAATAATTCACTTAGTATTCCAAGAAAATAAATGCTATTTACTAACCTAACACATCTTGACCATTTTTACTACAGAAATATGTCGTTAATTTCTCATATATAGGTTCATCTGTTAATATAGATTTGGTAACATGTATAAAAGGCACCAATTAATATAAAATTAAACGAAGTTTTCTTGGAAATGGAAATTTTCCTATTTTTAACAATTGAAATTGTTTGGATATCACTTATGACTGACGTACTGACATATAATGACTAACATTTTAAATTATTGGATTGACGGCTTTGATTACAAGATTGATGTCATTACTTATAGGATTGACATCATTGATTACATGATTGACGCAATTGAGTGCACGATTGACAACTAAAACATGAACTAGAGATGTCGAATCTCGATTGATCGAAAGTACGTCTCTTTCGATCGAATGTTTTTTTTAGTCGATTACTAGCATTGTATTAATATTGGTAATTGTTATTTAATCCTAGAAATTTTAATTTCCTTTTTGTGTTGATAAGAACCATAACATTGAAGAGTAATCGTCTATCATGGTATGGACATGTAATGCGTAGGAACGGGGATAATGTTTTAAGAAAGGTGTTACATATGAATGTGGATGGTTATAAGGGCAGAGGAAGGCCGAATAAGAGATGGATGGACTGTGTGAAAGATGATATGGTAAGAAAGGAAGTAAATAACGCGAACAGGGATGAATAGAAGCGAAAAACATATTACGCCGACCCCAAATACCCATTTATTTGGGGTCGGCGTAATATGTTTTTCGCTAAGGTAAGGAGCAGATTATGAAGAACCATAACATTACATATATACAACTTAATTATAACAATAAAAACAAAATAATAATAACAAAAATAATAATATTAATTATTAACAATAAGCAATCCCTTTAATAATTAAAAAAAAATGAAGTTACTCAAGAATCATAAGGTGGCTCTGTGCTAAATTTTCTTCGCCTCTACTTCACAGAAAACAATACTAACTCTACAGTAAATATTTGTACTCAAACTAATTATATAGACATAACACCTGTACCTTGTACCTATATTTGTTGTTATTGATATTGTTAATTATTATTATACTTTACTAATAACAGTGAATTTGATTATGTAGTTTCTATAATTGAATTTGTATTAATTTATTGCATAAAAACTTGAAAAATCGACTTTGTATAATCTTTATAATAACATCATAAATGCGAAAGTAATTCTCTCTCTATGTCTGTTTGCTTTGTTTTCACACCATAGCGATTGAACCGATTTCAATAAATGAAATTTCGTATACAGACAGTCTAGACCACGAGAAAGGATATACATAGACTACTTTTTTATACGAAGAAAGGGTTGAAAGGGAAGACGAAAGGTTGTATGGAAGTATCGGTAGTTTTAAAGTTCGAAGCGTGAAACTTATTTTTTAGGCTGTTCATTAAATATAAATGAATATAACATTCAAAGTTAAAGAGGGTAAAATAAAATAGAGGAAATGGAAATTCCTCATTCGTCGTCTATTCCAAGTGGACGAAATCGCTAATCTTTTTAAATATGTCTGATTGATTTATCAGATCGATAAAAATTGATGTTTTTGATATGAATCAATTCTAAAATCTATCTTTGTCGTATAACATCGCCACCCCTAATTAAAACTACAAACTCGGAAAAAATATCTATTTTTAGTATATTATCATTGTTTTGAACCTTAATTTTTTTGTGAATCGATTTCATCAGGCTCGATACGAATCTAGTAAAATCGATCTTTCTCGAAAAGTATCGCCATCCCTAAGTGAGACTGTCGAATTGTGCGTGTAGATTATGTTTATGATCATAAAGTATTCGTTATATTCTGACGATAAATCTGCATGACAAGGACGACTCGAGAAATCTCCACCACAACGAACTCAACCTCAGTCATGTTTGACCGTACTAACACATTTTTTTTTATTAAAATGTAGCTTTTACGACTTAATGACTTATTTCGGGAAAAGATATTTTAAATTGGAGGAACTGTGCCCACACTTTTCCCAATTTTAATTATATTTCAATGTTTTAGCAACTTTACGTGGTCTATAAAAAAACAACAGAACAATTTGCATATTGTACTATTGGCAGTAATGGCAATATCATTACTATAAGTACGGAGTATGTATAGACGCGTGCCCTAGTGTAGTAGTAACCACCATGGTAATAATATATAATAATTAGGAAATTGGGGCTGAGTCTATAATTTGTGTAAAAAATGAACAATTCTGCATTCGAATAAAACTCATATGTATACAACTACAATAAAAAAAAACATTATTAGTACATTTTTATATATAACTCACTATTACAACTTGTGCAATATATAAAACAAAATTTCAGAAGTAGTAGTAGTATTAATTTTTTTTATAACTTAAGTATGCGTTATTAATAGATTTTATGTTCTTTAAAAATATGACACTGAGTATTCATTCATTATTAGTTTAAATAATCACGATCGGTAAGATACCTGATATAAAACACATCTTTTATGTGGTATAAAAGATCCAGTTTTAACAAATGTTCATTTTTTTAATAATGATCTCATATATTTTCTTATTATAGAAGAAAGTAGATACCACGTATACACCATAGAATCTATTCCAAAATATATGTTGTTATGGCCGTAGTACAAATACCAGTAATTAAATCATGTTTTAATAACTTATCTGTTTAATTTTAAACGTAATATTATTATAAATAATAAAAAATACATATATAAAATATGAAAAAGACTAAGATTATTCTTTTTCATATTTCATATATGTATTTTTAGGTAAAATTATTTTTTTTATAAATTTCACAAAGAAGAATGTAACACTATGTTGATGTGTTTAATTGCACTTATAAAATTGCTCTATTTCTTACCATTATATTATAGTATATGATGGCTCGCGCTCAGTTAGTTCTTTGTTCGATGACATAATGATTCGATTACTACATCCATTTTCTAATTCTGTACTAATACTATGCTCCTATTATTAGTGTAATGTAAAATATGTTATAAAAGTAATGTTGGCAACACAGCAAAACCTAGTGTTTAAAAAATATGATCATCTTGTTGACGATCATGTCAAAATAAAGTCATGATCATTAATAAATTATATAAAAAACAAAAATAATAAGGCTGAATGTATCCTTATTTCTTTGTCTATTCTGTGAAATAAAAAAACGGTCAAACTGAAAAAATAAAGCTGCTGACATATAGCAATAGTTGCCATTAAAAAAAAGAAATAATTATTTTAAAAATTATATTATAAAATGAAATACTAAAAATATATGTAATAAATAGTTATACTAAGTTTTATTATATTAAATTCATTTCAAGTAGAAATAAGCTTTAAAACATGTTGCCAACTATTTAATGTATGTGTGTTTTTTTTCCCATGGCACCGGTTTCGGCCATCCTTGGCTATATCCGTCGATTTGTATAAAATGGCGTCAGCCGAGTTTTTAGAGCAAGCTTTGTCCACAGACGTTGACGAGAACGCAGTAAACGCGATCGTAGGCTCACTCGAAAACCAATTAGTTACGTCTGTTCCGTCCGTCTCTCTGCATAATAACATTGTGAACGTGATTCCAAATCAGCTTTCTAACATTACGTCCAGTGCAAGTTCTATTATTGGTGTACAAAAATACAACACGGACCAAAGTAACAGTGGTGGAATCGTGACAGGTCTCCAATCATCTGCTACAAACAGCAATGCGCCCTATACCAGTGTTTTAGCGTCCGCGCAGTCTACTTTTATTCCACAGACACTTACGGGGCCCGTGTCAAATACTGGTGAGCCGATAAAAGTGCTATATTCGCAATCTCAGAATTTGCCAATCTCGAACAATCGTGTGACGTTCCCTAACCAAACTTTGGGTAACGGGTGTATTGGACTAGCAGCGCCTCAAAATCAAATAATCCATACTGTACCAGGGAACACTGTGATTTCCCAGCCTGTTAACAAAACTATAACTATGCAGAATCCTTTAGTAATAAAACAAGGCGCGACTACAGGCCAGGTGGGCATGCAGCCTGGCATGGTCACAGTGCCGATGTCGGTTAATTCCAGCATGCCAGCATCTATACCCAATGTAATGACATTGAACAAGCCAGGAGGGCAAAACGTCGTGGTTACTACACAAAACCTAGGCACGGCGCAGTCCGCGATCCTGCCTAATGTACAGATACTGAATATGAGGCCAGGGGCTCCTGCAGTGGCTGCTCAGAAGTCAGTTGCAACAGTGTCCCCTCGGGTTGTGATTGGTACTCCACAAGTGGTCGGTGCCAGACCTGCAGCGCCTGGAGTGAGTTTGTTTTCTAATATACTTGTACTTTAACAATATGTTATAATTGTCACTAATCACATTCATCAGTCACCATTAATTTGAGGTGTCTATTTTTTAATTTGGGGTATTTAAATTTTTTACATATTGTTTAATTTGGAATAATACAACAGATAAAAGTTACGGATCAGGTATAGGTTGCAAGTACTACAAAAAAATTAGTACATCCATACCTCTGAGTACATTTTGAATACCTTAAAAGGACTGTTAATGTTATAATGTAATTATATAATTGTAGTAGTTGTTTATTGTTTTTAATAAAATATTATAAACCTAGAGATTGTTTGTTCACTGCAAGCGCTGATGAACCCTTGCTGACATGCAGTTCCAATGCTATTGAAGTGTCTATATATAACCTAATCATTCATCTTCATGGTGCATGACTGGGCATTATGTGTACATAGCACCCCATTGTAACCGGGGTGCATATCATAGAAACATGTTATGATTCATGCATTGTTATATTCTGTCTCTTTAATTGCTATTGATTACTTAATGCAAATTACTTAATTTCTCTGTATATTCATTCTTCAGTGTACAATATAGGCAAATGTAAATATAATGATATCATATAATGAGGAAGGTGAATCCATTTGCTAATTGTTGTAATGGTTACTTAAGTAATGTGGCTTAACAATTATAATTACAAGAGTTGTACTCAGCATTCCTGGATTCTACTAATATTCCATGATTGAAGGAGATTGATGCAAACCTTATATCACTTTGCAATGCTAGTTGGGCTTATCTTTATTGAACAACACACGCTTATACCATGCTAACCCCAAACAGTCCCGCAGGAGATCGACATGCATAAGTAGTACCAGTTTCTCACCCCCACGGCTGCACTCTCATTGTTAATGTTGAACTTCACCAGTGTGTAATATCTAACAAATGACCTGCTTTAGAATCATTCTTTGGAATATTTTATTATCAAAATCATTTTATTCTTTGTTCTCATGAAACAGTCATATCTACTGCCAAATTAATTGGAATCGTCTATGAGTTGAGTGGAATTGAAATGAGGCGTTCGTTTTTAGATAACGCTGCAAACTCTACAAAGTCTACAACCAGGGCAGCAGGGTCATTTGTTGTTAAAGACTGAGAATGGTCAATACCAGCTGCTGAGGGTGGGCCCCGCGCCCGCGGCCAACACCCTTACGGCGCCGCAGGCACAGACCATCCGGCTCTCGACCGTGCCGGCAGTAAGTAGGCACAGCCACTTCGCTACACACCCACCACACTCAGGAATTGGACAGATGCTTTTGTTCGTAAACAGTTGTTCCCACTCGTTGATAGTGATTTAGTTGCTAGCCCAGTTTCAATTAATCTATCATGCATGTGCAATATGGTGAAGGTGCATGTTCTAAGGTAATTAACAAGGTAAGAAAGAATTGTTCTTCACTCTCATTGTGTACCTATGAATACTAACATTACAAGCACTTTTTTGTTAGGTGCAAATAGACAATAAGTTTATTGATGCCTCTTGTGAAAACTTCGTTGTAGCCTCAGAGTAGTGTAGTGCCTAACATAATATGTTTATGATATAGAAGGAGATTAACAATTTTCTGGCCATTTTCCTCTTAGCTTGAGAATGTATGCTTGAAATTTATATCTTTTGTTTGCAATGTGACACAGGCATGTAGCATGATAAATTTTCTAGCAGTGTGTTTGAGGTGTTTGTATCATTGCAGCACCCTGGTGTTGCGACGGTATCAACAAGTGTGCCTGCCCCCGGTCACATACCGGGCCAAATGCCCCCCGCGCCGGTGGCCACGCCTGTGGTGGCGTCATCGCCTGTGGTAGGGCCGGCGACGCCGCCACCACAACCGCCCACTGTCACCACCCAAGTGAGTGAACTACTACTGTACCTGAGTTCTAAGGCACTGTAAGGGAACAGTGGCCGGTAGTGACTAGTTGCAGAAGCAGTTCAGTACATTCAATTGGCAATTACATATCTGTTTGATACAAGGCTTATTGTTTTTGTGTTCCTTAAAGTGTTCATAATATCTACTGCTTCTGAACTGGTACTTATTTATATTTACTTCATTTGAAGGAAATTTGAAGGAATAAATTATGATTATTTCTTTTTTTTTTATAAGAAACCATCTGACAATACAAAGGAGAAATGCAGAAACTTTTTGGCCAATCTATTGGATCTATCAAGTAAAGAGCCAAAATCAGTGGAACAGAATGTGAGGAATCTCATTCAAGAGTTAATTGATGCACAAGTAGAGCCAGAGGAATTCTGCAACCGTTTGGAACGACTTCTTAATGCAAGCCCACAACCGTGCCTTATTGGTTTCCTAAAGGTAATAGTTATACAACTATATATCTACTATGATCATTTGAAATAAAAATACAATTGTAAATTATTCAATAAATATTCAACACTAACAGATTTTTCGACTAAAATATTTTGTATTAGCACACACCCCTGTATGACATGAGTATCGTTAATTTTAACATAACATCTAATGTTTACATTTCATGTTTATATATAAAACAGTCCAGATATTTAAGTTTAAGTCATATCTAGTTTATGATGAGAGAACTTCCACTTTATGTATAAGAATTGCTACTTATAAAACTGTAGACACAAAATTGAATAATTATAAATTAGGCAGAGTTTACTGACCGCCAGCATATGCGATTACAGGTTTGGGAAAAAGAAATAATTGAATCAATGGTCATTAAACAATCTCTTTTTTTTTTGAGTCAGCTGGCTTGATTTTGTTTATGCATCATTTTGCAGAGGAGTCTGCCACTCCTAAGGCAGTCTCTTGTGACAAAGGAGCTGGTGATCGAAGGTATCAATCCGCCCGCACCACATGTAGCATTCTCAAACATACCGGCTCCTACGCAGCAGGTAATCGCCACATCGAATGTTCAAATGGTAAGCATTACAACCCAAATAATTGAGCAACATTATACTGTTATTTGATATAGTTACATACTATTACATTATAATAAATTTTCAGTTAGAGAAGCGAGTTTGAGATATGACAGTGAAATTTTAGGCTACTTGCAATATTTTAGGTATGTCACTTAAGTCCTCAGGAACTGAAACATTTGAAGGATAGGTATTAGCATAGATGCTACATGTCAATGATGACATGTAGCATCTATGAAGTGATGTATCACGAGTAACATTATTAGTAAATGGGAGAGCTTGAATTGTTTGTGCAGCAGCTCAGCATCTTAATGTGAAAGGTCGGTTACACCATCTACTTCAGTAACTGACAGTGATGCTGCCATCTAAAACTCATTCTTATTCTTTACATAGAGTAAGCCAACATGCACCTGTCATCCTTTGGAAATTTTATAGTCAAGTTGCTGATGTTGCACTGACTTCATACCTGTTGACATGATAATAGTAAAGCTTCGTCAGTGACTCGCCTTAATTCCGACATTGTCTATTGAGCCAATATAAATTATGAAGAATATTGCAGGGTATATAGAATGTATATAATAATGTTGGAGTGGCTACAATAGTTCTAGCAATAGTAACAGTCTTAGTACATGCTTGGGAAACACTACATAAATTAATATTCTATATATTATACAAACAATATAATGAATGAGTCCACCCAGTATTTTAAAATAACTAGTAAGATAACCACAACATATAAAAGGAATTAATAATTTACTGAATAAATAGAATATAAATGCTATTCTTAGCATTTGTATGGAACTCAAATATACATAAATATAATATTTTATACAGAAATCAAATCTGCGTCATATATTTCCCATTCGCGATTCAAATTCGGCTCCACTTTTTTTATACCAGGGTTTTCTACTTCAATCATAACCATAATATTATTTCATATATTCTTAGGGTTTTTAAATTAATCAGGTTTAATTAATTGCAATTTTAAACAGCTGGTTATTTCAAATTCATCGTATGTGTATGTATATATACCCGGTATTTTTAAAGTTTGTGTAAAATTGTATTGTCGTTTTTCTCATGAACAATTGGTCCGCTCTCTTTTCCGTCATGCAATTTATTTTATCAAAACATAGAGTATTTGCACTTTTTGAGCAAGTCTTCACTTTTATTTCAAGTAATATTATATCTGATTTTATTAATAAGGCTTTAGTTATCTCAGTATAAATTTCAAATATTCCGCATAGGAAATTGTCAAATATTTGCTTATTTTGCTGACCACAAGATTGTTTTGCTGTCTAAGCAGACTATGTTCCAATCATGCAGATGACTTGTTTTATTATATTGCAACCGGTGACATGGTAGTGGCTCGCCCCAACTGTGGGTATTGTACATATAAATAACTTTAATCGACTAAGGCCGTTCTATATAGCTATAACTGTACCTAGTAGGCATAGGTCTTATGTAAATAAATAGAAAATTAAAGTGAAATGTAGGTATACTTTGGATGATTGTAATAACAATGTGGCGGGGCGGGTCACCACGTTGCTATCGCTCGTTCGCACGGTACACGCTGGAGTCTGAACTAGTACGACTAAGCTGGTGATGTTCTGACGCCAGCTGAGCGACGAGGAGCGCTCGAGCCCGACGCTCACGCCCCTACTGCCGCCGGTGCTCCCCGTATCGCTCACGTCCCCACTCGTGTCCACCTCAAAGCCCATTAACGTCGTGTCTGCGCAGGCGGCCCCCGCGCAGGTTTGTCCACACCTCTCGTCCGATCTTTGATGACCACTTACGTATGTTTCGAATCATTCACTCGCAAACGGATGCTGCACTTTCAGCCGGGACTGCATCTATATACACTATTTAGCGTTAAGTTAACCTGTTAGCCGATCGGACGTATAAATATGTCAAACGTAAACAATAGAGCGCAACGAAAATATATGTTTCATAGTCTTTTCATTTATTTGAAGCATAAATAATTACTCATATGAAATTACATTCTGACATACTGACACGTCCTAGGGAAAGAGTATGTACCCGTTATATGCTGCTTACTTAAAAAGTGATTGATCCGGTTAACAGGTTAAAATCATCTACGACATTCCGGCCGTTTTAATACAACGACAAATAGTGATAATACTCATGCATAAAATGGACTGATGGCAGGCACAATGGCTTGAATAAAATGTTTTTTGTTAAAAAATAATCAAGGCATAGACTGGCGAATGATTCATTAATTCAGTAACGGACCTGCCGAATTGGTCCTAGAGTCCGAATGTCCTCGCTGTGACTAATATGTAATTTGGTTCAGTTCAAATTGACTCGCAAGATTTTACATAATTGGCATGTCTCATTACCTACCAACAGATTACCGATTTCGAATGGTTCTAAACAATACGAAGCTCCTTTACTTAGATGTTGTTTAGTCCTAGCTGTTAGTCATTATCTGAATGTTAGTTTTATTCCTTTAGCCTCTTGAAATATGGATTTCCTTCGTTTATGATTTTATATATATATATATATATATAGTACGTATTGGATTTAATCATGGTTCCGTTTGGTTGCTATAATTGTGTTTGTAGAATATTTATATCGCAATATTTTCCTCGTCTGTTTATAGCGCACGACGCGGTTTAACAACCAGTGTCATCGTCAATGATGATGTTAATATATTTTGCTATTTACTTTTGATTTCGTACAAACATACTGTAGCCAGTAGAACACTCTGATGAATAATTATATCTATAGAGTTACAATTTATATTACTACTCCTCCATATAACATACAGGAAAAGAATTAGAATATGTTAAACAAAGTAATAGAAAACTGAAATTTCAGGACAGTAGTTGTATGTCCAACGTGACAGTCGACACTTGTGGCAAGATGTAACAGAAATATGCCGCAGAGTTATAATGTTATATTGTGAAGTCTATAATATGTATAAATGACTTATAACATATAAAAAAACACACACATACACATTGAAACAAACATTATTTTCTAATTCCTAAGTACCATCTATTCTACCATGTGAGCAAATAGAATTATTGTTCATCAGAGTATTGCTTATTTACATTTTGGTTCAGAAGTAAATGCTTATTTGTTAATATATAATATAGTCGTATATTATGTAATATTTAGTCTTTTCAACTATTACATTTTTTCTACCAGTGCATGAATTAAAAATGAAATAAACATGCATGATTTTTAATGTAGACAATTGAAAAGGATATTCACTTCTATACCAAACCATTATGTTCCAACAGCAGAAACCAAAGTCCAACAGCGGTATTGCAGTACTACAAAATGTACCGTTCCACACGAAGATTAACGTCAGTAAAGTCAGTGCAAACAAGGCAATGACGGTGAACAGTAAGACTAACTTCCCGAGACCCGCGGTGACCGCTCTCTCCACCGTCCTCACGCCGGGAAAGTCCCTCCTCAAGGAGAAAGAGAAGAGGTCTTCAATGCAGTATACGTCCCAGCCGTATGTCGACGACAAGATGGCCGGCGATGACGACATCAATGACGTCGCTGCTATGGGAGGGGTCAACTTGGCAGAGGAAACGCAACGAATATTGGGTTCCACTGAACTCATCGGTACACAGATCAGGTATACACTGATAGTTACAGTTATGTCTTTATACTAATTAAGAAAATACTACATCACATTAGATATCATGTCTAATTATTAATATAGTTAATCGAGCTTTCACATGAATAATTTTATAGTAACTAAAGGTATTCTCCTGAACGTTTCGACTAGGTTGCAGTAGCGGTCACAAGCTGACTTGTTACCATAAAATCGTATAAAACTCATTTAACTATATTATAATGGGTACTAAACAAAAATGTCTAATTAGTTTTACAGATAAAAAACAAAAAATTAACTTTGTTTAGTGATTTTGAAATATTTGTTAATTATTATGAGCCTAATACTCACTTAACTTATAATATGGTAAGCAATTACATCACTATATGAAGCTAGACCGATTTCTATAGAAAATTCGAGCTGATATGGATGGACACGACTGTATTATCAAAATACACAATAACGATACAGTTAATATCGCTCAATTTTAAAATTTTCTTCCCGTAACTATTGGCTTTCAATTCAACGTAAAAATGTTATTATCCCTTAGCTCCTATACATATAAATACAAGATGCAGCGGTTTCAATAAATCGTAGAATTCTCTTGAAATAGAATTAATATTAATTTTACTAATAACCAGGTCTTGTAAAGACGAGTATCTAGTGCCGACGAGTCATATGCAGGCGAGAGTGAAGGCTGCAGCAGCTAAGCACGGGTTGGAGGAACCGTCTACAGAAGTAGCGGGCCTCATCAGCCACGCTGTCAATGAGCGCCTAAAGAACCTCATTGAAAAGCTAGCCGTCACAGCTCAGCATAGAATAGACGCTATAAAGGTAATCCAGTTGCTATTTTTCCAGACTACTCTAATGCTCTTAGCCGCAGCCTTTTCAGATTCGCGCGGTACATATGGAGCGGCTGAAAGCCAAATTCTGTCTGAAGGATACGAGTGTAGTCTGAGGGTACCGTTAGGGACTCAGCCGAATTGGACGGAGGATCGATGGGAATAGGGGCAGTCTGGCAGTCGAACTACGGATGCACGTTGGACTGTTTAGGTTCTCTAGATACAACTAAATTATTTAAAATTAAAATGCAACTTTCCTGCTCGCTCATCGTAGATTCAAAAAGTAAGAGTGACTATTTTAATAAAATGCCGATATTCGAAATAATGATAGTACTTCTGGACAATTCACACTACGTCGTCTAGTCCAAAGCTAACAAAGTTTGCTAGATAACTGATATAAATACTTCGATACATTTTGTAATACAAATATAATATAGATAGAAAACACCCATATTGATACATATTCATGATGATATCATATTCATGAATACAAATGTTTATATTGTACGAGGAATTGAACCCGCGACCATTGGAAGTAAAGTGGTTTGGGTGTATTATCTGTGTACTTACATAAGGTGTCTAGTACCCATAATACAAGCACTGCTTGCGACTAGATGGCGCTACGTGAATTGTTCTGAGATATTATAATAGAAAATTCTGGAGAACTAGAGTGACATTTATAGCAAATTTATATGAACAATACTATTTCATTCTGAGAAGTAATTGTTAATTTCTATTCTGTAGGAATACTGGTATTATATATAATACCAAATTGTCAAACAAAAAGCTATTGTGTTTATAGTAATTTTAATGGACATTAATAATGGCAATTTTATATCTGTATGCATTATTATATATATAGGTATAATTATATCAAATGTCTGAAGGCCGCACGATTCATTTTGTCATCGAAAAATGCCTATTATATTTCTGTTATCGTTTGAAATTACAAAAATAGTCATTACATGTATAAAACTATATTATATATATTCTAATATGTTGTAATAGAAATTAATATGCTAGTTGGTGCCATGCAATATTTCAATCTGTATTCAATAGGTAGCCTAGAAATATCCGGACAGTATCTACTGTAAATTAACAAGATATCTTGTTTTTAATCGGGTATATTATTATTTTAAGTTCTAAGTAAGAGATTAGGATTTAATTATTATAATATAAATATACTATATCAATTGTTAAAGTAAAATGGTATATAGACATATATGTATAAATCTTCACTTCCAAGCTATGTTTCTAAATTATCGCCACAAGTATACCGATGTATTGCGTCATCATTGTACTTATTATTTCTTTATTTGGGCTCGCTGATACTTTTACGCTACTCTTGCCGGTTTTGCGTCCTGTAAAAATGTATAAATTATCGTCATAATCCTGCTAAAAGGTTCGATCCCAGTCGACCAGTGGACGTCTTCTGTCCCGTTTGCTTTCGACAATTACCTTAAATTTTCTGATGGCATGATCTTTATACGGGTACATCAAATATCCATTCCAAAGAAAACGACTTTCTCGCATTTTCTATTGTATTTGGTCTTTGCTTTTTGCAAATATAATTAACAATTTTCGAGAAGCAACGCTTTTCAGGTTCCTTAGAATTGGTAATTGCCTTATTATAGTTTTTTTTTATGTAATAACGACCTGTTCCATTTAACATATGGTCACAGTAATAGTGAGCGACCATTGTAGGTCAGCACTGAAATCCTTCCAATTTTAATTCCGATTCTGCTAATATTACATAGCTTATATATTACTCTTAAAAATTCTTGCGATGTTGTTCTAAGCATTACAGTGTTAGCTCCGGTTACGTACATAATATAAAAATAAATCGCAAGCTAAGCAGAGATTGTGCAATTGGCCATAGACCACTATTACAAATACATTTATATTGGATGATTTATATTGATTATAGATGCATAACATAATATACCATACATAGTGTAGATAATAACAAATAGACCCATAAAAAACAATCATATACTTTGTAAATTATATACTAAATTATAATTATTTATATAATTATCAATATATTTATTGATATTTTTCAATAATTATATTATCAAACGTAAGATACTTCTCCGTATGAAAAGTATATGATGTTTGATTATTTGTCAAAAAGTATTACTGTATAACTTATTATTATAATAATTATTATTATTTAAATCTACTTTAAAAATGAATTAGCATTTCGTCAAATAAGGCTACCATTTTTTCATAAGTCTTTAATAATATACGAATCTCCTACATGTACATATTATGGTATATATTCTTACGTATCGTAAACAATCCGGTGGTACTTAATTGATCTCAACAGAATATCAGCACTACATATACTCCATATAATTTATTGCTAGTTAGTTACAAGTAGGACAAGTGAATAAAATGTCAGTAACTACATGTCGGTGTGCCTGCAGTAATGAATTCACAATTACATTCGAGTTATTGTCTTAATTTAGCCAAGTCTACAAAACAATTGGCCAGTTAAACTCTATTCGAAGGATGTTTTAGTTATTATGGACATCTGTCTGCGGTCTGCAATTTGTCTCATTCCTCTCATTTCAATGTCACACATACAGCGAGTGACCATCATGAATTCAGTTGTGCATTGTCAATACATGTGAAGTTTAATGTTGTTAAAGTAGATAATAGGCATCCATTCGACTCAATTGGCTATGTCCTATTTGCAGCTGCAAAGCGTACATCAAATATAATGTAATCACGCGTACATCGCAACAATCTATTGACTCCCCACATTTATTGACCACTATTTACTGATCAGTACGATATATACAACCACAATCATTGTAACGAACCTTTGTTGAAAGTCAGCTTTGTTCTTTTTAATAGCAGTTTGCACCATGTCGTTGCCCCTATTATATCAGTGACCAATCGCCTCAAGTATTCAGACAGCTAAGTATTAACTCAGGGAATTGCAGATATTACTGCAGCGGTTTATTGGGTGGCAACAGCGCAGGATATTCTACGTCTGTGTGGGTAATGAACGTTTATTGTCAGTGCCTGAGTGTGTGCTTGTGACAAGTGAATTACTGGCAGGGGTATGCGTGAGTGGCTTACAAAACGTTATTGTTGCAGACTGACTCGCGGTACGAGATCACGCAGGACGTGAAGGGCCAGTTGAAGTTCCTCGAGGAGCTGGATCGTGTGGATAAGAAACGGCGCGAGGACTCGGAACGCGAAATATTGCTGCGTGCTGCCAAGTCACGCTCCAAGAATGAAGATCCCGAGCAGGCCAAACTGAAAGCGAAGGTAAGGCACTTATTTGAATAAATTTAAGTAAGCTTCCTGCCAGCTCTTCTCTATTGAATTTGTAGACTGAAATGGACGACAATCAAATATTATTAAAATAAAAACTTGTGAAGGGATAAATTATACATGAATAATTGATCTTTTAATTAGATAGCATAAACGGAACATGTTATTTGTTGTCAAGAATTCTTGCCATGTTGGTTCTCTTTAGGTTCTTTCTACATTATGTAAATTCATAATTTCATAATTATTATACTATAGTCTACATCATCAAGTACACTGTAATTACGAAATAAAGAATGAAAACTTAAAAAAAAATTTAACTCTATTTCTGAATTAAGCCATCGCCAACTGACGATCAATGTAGACTATTTGGTTATTACACCCTTTTATTCAGACGTACCTGTTTTCAGTACCTTTTTTTTTAATCTTGATTATCTATTTGTTTCCAAGCATTCTCAAGCTCTTCCATTCCGTTTTCCTCCGAGTGACTGTGGTCCATAGTTGTATTTGGTCATCCACCTTTCCTTTCCATGACTTGGGTACCTTGGGTATGTAGTTGCAATTTTATTCCATTTATACTTTCGACGTAATGTGTCTCTAAACCAATGTCATTTCAGCTGTCTAAATACTTATGCTATTATACCATAAACAAAGCATTATATAATTTCTTACTTTATGTTTACATAGGCTAAGGAAATGCAGCGCGCCGAGTTGGAAGAGCTGAGGCAGCGTGAAGCGAATCTCACAGCGCTACTGGCAATCGGGCCGCGCAAGAAGCCGCGACAGGAAGGCCCCAGCAGCTCTAGTGAATCCGTGACCAATGGCAGCGGTCATGTCACGAGCGGTATCGTAAGTAGTTAAACCTTAACTTATAGGGAAAGCTATTTTTGAATCGGACTAATAACCCCATTGCTAACTATGTGTGCCCTGATAAATTCCTGGTGAATTTACTATGATGTGCTAACTGACCTAATGTCATGAGAACCTTATAATCTGGTGCATTGGTGCCCTGCCAATGTATGCTGATATGCTGATAGGGCAGGCAAGTATGTGGTGTATACATAATAATATCATTATATATCATAATGTAACAGAAATTAATTACGGAGGTTTCCAGAAAGACAATTAGTGATAATAACATGTGCATATACTACATTAATTACGTAATAAACAAATACATCCGTTCTGCTCGTAAATGGGTGCAGCTTGGGGGGATTGTTCGGGATACGGCCACTGATTAGATTTTTTTTGACACCATGCAATAGCATATGCTGGAAGTAACTATATTATCCCTAATTTAATTTAAAAATGAAAATATTTTTGTATATATCTACAAGCTTACTTAAAAAGAATAAGGGCTGAGTTTCTTGTCAGTACTTCTTACTTCTTGAAGTCTAGATCTAATTCTACATTTGAAATCATAAGTCTGTAATAGACTTGCATAGATAGAAATATTTTGATTTGATATAATTGATTATATTTTGTATACTTACAATGTGTATATTGCAATATGAATAGACCTAATAAATTTCCATCACCCTTTAGACGGGGCGCAGTCATTTGGCGCTGAGGACGCGGCTAAAGCGGATCAACCATCGCGACATGGTTTTCCTGATGGAACAAGAGCCGGAAACGGCGCACTCGACTATGTTGTACCGCAGCTATCTCAAGTGACCCTTCGTATCCTCGTTCGCCGACGCCACCTAAGTGGTCTGGCGCGTCTCTGGGCTGCAGCGGGAACGAAACCTCACACAATTTTGAATTTAGTTTTTTTAATTTTGTTAAGGACTAGACGATTGGCAACTACTGAGTATGCTCATTATCGCGCTGTTAATGACTGTTCTAAATTTGTATTCAAAACAATTATGTATACTCGTTTACAAAATCCACCTCTGATATCAGTATATAGTTAGTAAGTATATGTCATAGTATAATGATACTATTTATTGTTATAGATGGTACATGTGAAACATCAATCATTTATTCTCTGCACCAATGGGAATCGGTGTTAACGAAAATTTTATTTTCCATTGACTATGTTTTAAGTTGTTTTTTTACTTACAACATTTTTTTAAATTATTGTTTGACCAAAGTTTTAATAGAAATCTAGAACAAGGCAACTGCTAAAACTATATATTAAACAGTATTGGTGACAAATGCAGTTGTGAGCAGTTGCTGAAGTAAAAGATACATTTCTTATTTTTATTCCTTTAACAATAAAAAATACTAAAATGTGTAAAAATGACACAGTGATAAATGAAATATAAGTGAAAATAAATAAATTTTAAAATCTTATCGACATCTGATAAAATGGCGTTTTTATAAAAACGTATATTTGTAATAAATAAACATAGACTAATTGTCCGAAATTTACGTCGAGCAAGAAATTGCTAAAATTGTAATGCTACTATCTAGCGGTTTAGTACACCGCTTCACATCCGATGGTCGCGGGTTCGATTCCTCGCAAGGTGCAAACATTTGTACTCATGAGTATGAATGTTTGTATCGGTCTGGGTGTAATCTATATATATTATTATGTATCATATAAAAAAAAGTTTTATATCAGTTGTCTAGTACCCATAACAAGTTCGATTAGCCAGGGACTAGATGGCGCTGCCTGAGTTCTCCAGGGTTAATATTAAAAAAAAAACATGAACGAATTGTATCGTTTCAAACTTCAACCTTTGTAATGAAATATAATTTGTAATGTAAATACATAAATGCCGTTTTTACCATTGTGATAGAATAGCATATCGACAATATTTATTCTTTTGACTCTAACCATTGGCTGCTGGTTTCCAACCATATATATATATATATATATATATATATAACCATATAATATATATATATATATTTAAATGCAATAGAATATTAAACACGGGTATACTGTAATAGATACGTTATACTGTATCAAACAGAAGTGTTACGCCTCATTGCTTGCAATAGTTGTCTCATTCCGTTTTGTGACAATATCTAGAGAGTTATATTTTTTTAGTATTCTGCGGAGAGCACGGTGGCCAGTAGTGACTATTGACTACCGTGGATTATATGTATTAGTGAATTATTGTTGTAGTGTTATCGTAACAGATTATTTTACTATATTTACAATAAAGTGTAAATAGCTAGTATGTAGGTCAACAATTATGTAAATAGTACTAGTGTAATGGTATGTGTTATCATTTAAATTTCTGTCTTTGAATTGTTAAATATGTTGGCGCATTTTTGTTGAGTTATTGTGTTATTGCCGATTGTGTATTGGTGCTCCGGCGGCCTCGGTACATTCCTATATAAGTAACGATTGTTTTTTTTTTATTAGCGTATAGTATATTTTATTGCAAAAAGTAAAAAATTACTTAGGGTTGTATTATATTGGAAGTAATATTAAAGTATATTATTAATACAGTACGGACAAGTAATTTGAACATAACCAGGAATGATGTATGACTTGTACACTAAAAGTTTTTGGTAACGAAGTGGTCACGGCCCATGCTTCATTGTTCATGGATTTGCTCATATTATTTGGCTAGTGTAATGATACAAAAAAATGTTAGCGAATAGTGTATTGACTGACACATTTTATTTCTCTTATTTTCTATCCATTGCCTTCTTATTTTACATAGTGTTTAAATATGTACCTATAACATATTTATAATTCATAAATAATGGTGTAATTATTATTATTAAATTTTAATATTTAACATTTTAATTTAGGACAAAATGTCTGCTGGAAAGTGATCCTAATTCATATACTACTTATAAAGTCTCATAATTTGCGGTTTGCATAGTTTTTAAACACCATCATTAATTCATTATCGTCTATGGACCACTTGAGGACGCGACAAAATGTAGTGATGAATTTGCAAACCATAGAAAGTTTAAAACAGATTCGGGTAACGATACTGTACCACAAAATAATCGCACAAAACAAAATTGCGGTGGCGCCACTAAGTACTATGTACGGACGGCACCCTGTGAACCAGCAACCAAATATAATTACAGACAGAACGGTCGTACAGACCTAATGCATCATTTTTATTATTATATTATTTTTATTTTTCTAAACGTTAGTGCTGTCAAAGAATTAGTTTAAAAATATATTAAGCTTGTACAAAGTTCACAGAGTGAATTTGTTTAAATGTAAAAATAATTAAGGCTTATTACGAATATTTTAATATATGATTGGCTGTTGGCAATCTTATAGCTATACATATATTTTTCTATAATGAAATAATATCTTAAATCATGAAGTTCTTTTCTTATAATGTAGATACATATTATATACAATCATAGTGTATAAATGGAAAATGTAACCACCACTGCATGTTCATTTTTATTTATAAAGATTCTCATACATTAGAATAAGTATAAATATATGAAAGTAACCACAATATCCCTTATGTTATACAGTCGATAATTATATTTTAGCATAACTATCTGTTCTATATGATGACTGTTACAAAGTCCCATGGTTAATTATGTATTATAATACTATTTTTTGACTAACCAATTGGTTGTAAAATGTTACTTACCACAAACAATTACTATTGTGGCCTGTGTATAATACTACTACATGGAATTTTTTTTGTGTAAAATTAATTTATTAAACTAAACCATGGAAACTTGTAATATCATTGTTTGGAGTTATGAATGTGATACTATTATTTCTGTTTTAATAATTGACCACCCTAAACAAGGGTAACTTTTTTGAACTGTTTTCTTTATTTAAACAATATCGAAATTCAAACACTGCGCTTTCATTTGAATCATTTGACAGAGACTGATCTGACTAACTGGATTTTACGCGGTGATGATTGCAACTACGAGGGCATACGTAGCCGCAAACATTTTATTCAATTTGTTTTAAACAAAGCTAGTACATTGGCAGTAAACTTCCGCCGAATGAAATGTAAACTATAAAATCTGGTAACATTTTGTATTTTTTTTCTTGTCCATATAGAAACAAATAAATATATATAGAACTGTATATTGTTTTAATTTTACTCTCTTTGTGGCTGTGTTATTTTCAAAGCGGGGAAATAACAGGGTTTGAGTTCTTAAACCAATTATCATTTTATAAATAATTATTATTTTAGCAAATAAACCAAAAATAAGAATAATAAAGTATGCAGGGATGGATTACCTATTGTGTCTTTTAGATGAGTAAGAGTCACGCGACTTGTATAATGTATTACGGTAGTACGGTAATAAATAGCAATATTCTGTTTTAATACAATTTCCATTAAACTGGTTTCCTAATTTGAGAAATACATCAAAAAATAAGTCATGTTGAATATAATTTGCCTATATCGAATTATATTTATAGTGTAGAAACTAACAAAAAAAGATGTAATGGGGAAAGCAAATGAAAGTATTTCTTTATGTATTATTTTAGTCTCTGAAAAAAATTAAAACCAATAATTTATTTCGGCAGTAGATGCCGCCATTGTGCTATGAAGTAAAACGTATATGTTATATGTAGTCTGTGGTGCAATGACGGATGAAAAGAAATGCGTAAAATATTTACGTAATCTTTATTTCTATTTAGTTCGTGATTAATTATAAACTAAGCATCAGCGAAGTACTATTAAACAAAATTTTTAACATAAAATATTTTACGATTCCATTTACCAAATTGTTTCATCGGTAATTACCGGTAAGGTTATAGATTGTGTAGAGTGTATCCGATTGGAGTGTCACAAAAAAAAATACAGTGACACGTCCACCCACCCTGTCAAACATCGGAAGTTTTCTGTTTCTGCATGACAATTTTTCATGTTTTAACTATTAAAAATGGTAAGAATTATTATGATTTAATTTTCATATTTACAATTAAGCTATATTGCATTTATCTGTACGAAGACAGATTTGTAGCCACGTATTTGGTGCATTGTCAATAGTGTGTCATCATAATCATATCGGCGTTCTTGGGTACAATTAATAAGCACATAATTACATCTGTGAGCTGGTCGGGTTCATTAACCCAACGTTTTGTTATGTATCCGCAGCCGTTGCGCCTGGACACCAAGAGGAAATTGACAGCGAGGTCTGACCGCGTCAAGTGCGTGGATCAGCACCCCACCGAAACCTGGGTGCTCTGCTCGCTCTACAACGGCGACGTGAACATATGGAACTACGAGACGCACACGCAAATCAAGAGATTCGAGGTAAATTAATTTATTGTTTTATTGCCACTTGAATGATCAAAATATGCACACTGATACTGGTGTGAATTGGTTGGTATGGTTTATAACACATTTACATATTATGATTTATATTACAAAAATCGCAGAACCTTTTTACTAACCTACATTATTATTTTATTATTATAAAAATAAAACATTATTTCAACATCAAATTATATATATCTGTTATATATTAAGTAGTGATATTTACATATTTTTATTGCCGTAACATATCATTGCATTCATCCATCATCAACATTAATTTAATCTCAATTTGATCATTTATTTGTATTTATTGTAGTGTTGGCAAAGTTTTATCCTAATATATTATGTGCAATATGATAATTTGAATGTATAACCATTACATACTATTTCATCATACCCAATAGAAACAAAAAATTTCACATGACAACACATAAAGTGTGTGAACCTCCTACTTCTAACTTTATATAAATCTATATTAGTTTGAGACAGCTCTTTCTCAAAATAAATTTGGACTTGAATATGACATGAAATTAATGAAAATGAGTTCTTTAATTGTTTTTGCATTATTACAAATTACAAATGTATCATTATTACAAATGTTGAGCATCCTCAGTAGAGTGACCACATAATTACAAATTTGACACTTACACTTAATGACACAACAGTTGTCATTAAATTGTCTGGTTTCTAATAGTCTATCTAGTTCAGATATGATGTAACAGTGAATCCACAATTTATGTACTATATATCTTATATACTTTTTTGATTTTCTGATTATATCATGGAATTACTGTATACTTTATCAAATCTTAAAATATAAAATTTAAAAGTTTAATTGGTTAAATTCTGTAAAACAGTAAGTTACATAATATTTACAAAGAAAACTGCAATTTTGGAAGACAACTTTTCACTCTGATCTTACTAATATTATAAATGTGAAAGTTTCTAAGTATGGATGGATGAATAGATGTTCTTACTCTTTCGCGCAAAAACTGATGAATGGATTTTATTAAAACTTAATAGTAATATAGCTTATACATCAGAATAACACATAGGCTATAAATTTCATGTGAGTGGAACACTGTGGGCACAGCTAGTGTATATATAATTATATGCTTTATCATTATTATTACATGGTATTAAACAAAGTCACTATTGTTGTCTGTCCCTATTTATGCTTAAATCTTTAAAACTATGCAAGAGATTTTGTAGTTTTTTTTTTTATAGATAGAGTGATTCAAGAGGAAGGTTTATACATATAATACATGCACACCCATGCGAAGCCGGGGTGGGTAGCTAGTTACTTATATATTAACTGTATAGTTTATTATATTACTAGCTACTGTATGTGATTTTGACTGCAGGATTATACTTCTAGTAGCTTCTTTTCATCTCTAAGGTTCTCTCTATCTTGATATCTAGGTTATTGGTGCTCTCCAGATTAATACATATTTGTCATGCAGTAACTGTTGCACATTATGGATTGAGCATCATCAATCTGATCTTTGATGTAGTAAAAAAAACATAATATAGTCAGTTCTACTATTTCTACATTCATAATATTAATAAATGTTTGACAGGTATGCGATCTGCCAGTGCGCGCTGCAAAATTTGTCCCCAGGAAAAACTGGGTGATCACGGGTTCGGATGACATGCAAATACGCGTGTTCAATTACAACACATTGGAGAGAGTGCACTCTTTCGAGGCACATTCAGATTATGTTCGCTCCATTGCTATTCACCCCACACAGCCTTATATTCTGACTAGCAGTGGTAAGTATTTATTTTGTCGTATTATAAAGTACATAATATAGTATTATTGTATCCGTTTTTTTGTATTTAAAGCTCCTATCAGATTTGTCTGGGTAGGGAGAATAACATCAGCAGTGAAGGTGAGGCAAAGGGACTTTTAAACCTACACCCAAGTCCTAACTGAATAACCTGTTAACTGCTTGTAGTTTCTCTCTCTTAAATACTTTTGTATTTCAAATTGTATTATATTGTTTTCATTTTTACTGCTCAGTGTTATAAAGTACAAGATGTACCAAGTGTCTGCATATTACAGATGATCTCCTCATAAAACTGTGGAACTGGGATCGCAGTTGGGCCTGTCAACAAGTGTTTGAGGGCCACACCCACTATGTAATGCAGATTGTAATCAATCCAAAGGACAATAATACATTTGCAAGTGCCAGTCTCGACACCACGGTCAAAGTATGTAAAGTTGTACTTAATATAAGTAACTTCATTATGTTAAGAAGCAAATGCTATTTATTATGCTATGTATTTACCATAATATATAATTATATTATTTTAAGATTGTCTAATATGTTTCATTAGACCTCTTTACTTCTTTAATTATTTACATATAAATATATTTTTTTATTTTAAGTGTCCATGTAAGATATTTTTGTATTGATTTCCTTATAATTTATTTAGGTATGGCAACTGGGTTCCTCAGTTTCGAATTTCACATTAGAGGGACACGAGAAAGGAGTCAATTGTGTGGATTATTATCACGGTGGGGACAAGCCATATCTGATAAGTGGTGCAGACGACAGGCTCGTTAAAATATGGGATTATCAGAACAAGACATGTGTTCAAACACTAGAAGGTATATTAAAAGATAGTAATTTCTATTCAGTGATGTTTCAAGCGTTCCTTTATTCTTTTATATACTTATTTGTTGTTCTTGCAGGACATACACAGAATGTGTCGGCAGTCTCTTTCCATCCCGAATTGCCCATCCTGCTCACAGGGTCTGAAGATGGCACTATCAGAATTTGGCATGCTGGCACCTACCGACTTGAATCTAACCTAAACTATGGTTTTGAAAGAGTGTGGACAATTTCCTCCATGCACGGCTCTAATAATATTGCTATTGGGTGAATACTTTTAACTTGTTAATCATAGGTAATGAAATTATATAAAAGGAAAGAGTACACACAGATTATTCTCTTTTTCCAGTTATGATGAGGGGACAATAATGATAAAAGTGGGCAGAGAGGAGCCAGCGATTTCCATGGATGTGAATGGCGGCAAAATAATATGGGCGAAACATTCCGAAATGCAACAGGTCAATTTGAAAGCACTTCCAGAGGGTGAGTTTTAGTCAGAATTGCCTTTACCCTCTGCCACAGTTTCGTTTGCTGCTGAGACAGTATGGTGTAGTTGGACAGTTTTTAAATTTTTGTAACGTTCCAGTTTTATATATGACTAGCTGACCCAACAGATGTTGTCCAATCTTAGATAACAAAACTTGTGCAAAATGTAAAAAGTAACTTGAACTCTATTCTGCGCTCTATTAGCCTTTTAACTACAAGAAAACTTGATAACCATTTTAACGTTTCTAATGTACCGCGCCGTTTTCTTAATTCTTTCTTTCAATAAGAACCATTCACAAATGCAACAATTATCGAAATCGGTCCAGCCGTTCACGTGTCGTGCCGTGACTAAGAGAATAGCGATTTATTTTTATGTATGTATAGATTATATTCATGCAAGTAGTTATTCAAGAAATTTATTGTTAGAATATTTTTTTTCTAATAAAAATAATAGTTACTGTTTATGTATACATTAAATTATTTTAATTTAAGTAATAAGAATTATTAATTTAGATACTGAAACTTCATTGAGCCAATAGAGCCAAGCAAATGATTTACAAGTGGCTGTGTGTTGAATGAATGTGTCTTGTTGGCAGGTATTGAAATAAAGGATGGAGAGCGGGTTCCAGTGGTGGCCAAGGACATGGGCTCGTGCGAGATCTATCCACAGACGATCGCGCACAATCCCAACGGTAGATTTGTGGTGGTTTGTGGTGATGGAGAATACATAATCTACACAGCGATGGCACTAAGGAACAAGGCGTTTGGAACCGCGCAGGAGTTCGTGTGGGCATTAGACAGCTCTGAATATGCCACCCTCGAGAACTCCAGTACCGTCATAGTGTTCAAAAACTTTAAAGAGAGGAAGAGTTTCAAACCGGAGTATGGAGCAGAAGGTATTGTTTTACTCTCACTGTGGCATTATCGAATTGAATCTGTGATTATCGATAGCTGTTGTACGGCTAAATAGATCTGTTATCTTCTTTTACAAGTGTTTTTAACTATTCATTGTCAGTTTATGTTTGTAAAGATTAATATACTGTTATTTCTGACAGCTCTTTGCAATGGGAGATGTTTACTGTTATTGAGAATGTATTACAATGTTTATGCAGGCATCTTCGGTGGATTCATGCTGGGCGTGAAGTCCATCAGTGGCATGGCTTTCTCCTTCTATGATTGGGAGCAATTAGACCTAATCAGACGGTAAGCATCACAGTTGTTTCTTGTGTACTTGTAACAATGTATGAATGACCATCAATAATATTATACAAGCTAACTAACTATTGATTGCGTATATGTCAGTGTCTTGTTCCTTGCAATGTATTCATATATGCTTAAGATAAATCCTTGTCAAGTGTTGTTTATGTGTTGTATGCGTTGATACATATTAAGTAATGCTGGCGTAGATGTTCTGAAATGCTACTTGCTGTATATAACTTTTATATATATTACTTATCCTTGTTTTGCATATTTTCTAATTGCATGTGGTCTAACTGTTTAGCACAACGCATTACTTCCGATGGTCGCGAATTCAATTTTTCGCACGTACAAACTTTTGTATTCATGAATATGATTATTTGTATTCGGCTGATTATATGTACTTACAATAAAAATGTATTTAAGTATTTCTGTCAGTTGTCTAGTACCCATATAACAAGCTATGCCTTGCTTGGGACTAGATGGCCTTGTGAATAGTTAGCATTATATCCATATATAAATGCACCTTTGTAGTAAAGATAGACATGTTTATTTCAATAACAAATCCTAAATATTGGCCAGATATAATGAAAGAATCAAAACGATGTAAATGATTTTATCATGGATGATGGGGTCCTATTATGTGAAGAGTTTACATCAGGGCGTATGGTACGGCAATAAACTGTAGACAGGATGTGAGCAATGTGTTATCGTGAAAGTACGCGCGTCACGCATCGCGTCCGTGCTGTGGTTTACATAAATGCTAGATAGTTGCGGCAACTGATTTGTTTACCATAAAAAATGTTTATCTACAAATGGATGTAAGCCGACAGTGTGTATTAATAAATATATTTTAACTGAAAACATTCCTCCAGTTTGGGTGATGTAAATAAAATCATTTCATTTCATCATTTCATTTCATTTCATTAAATTCTAGATTTAATATGTAGCGCAGCGATAATTATACAATACCTGTTTGTTTAATAATCATTGTCTTACGTTTTTGGTATATAAAGAGGCAAAACATTACAAATGAAAAAAACATTATTACATCTGTCATGTTTGCCACTAGCATGCCACCTTCACTACAAGGGTTATAAGCTTTTTGGACAGGTTTATTTCATGTAATTGATGTATTAATATATTTAATAGTATCTCCACTATAGATATATATATAGACAACATCGGTGATATAGCGGTTTAGCACACCACTTTACTTTCGATGGTTGCTGTAAAGTTTCCTCAAAATTGTGAAAGAGTGTTTGTATTGGTGTGGTTGTTTTCTATGTGTATTATGTACGCATTCACATAAAAATGTAGCTATGTATTGAAATGATATGAATTATTACTATATCTACTACTCTTATTAGTAGTGATGTGTTTTTTTTTCAAATATTTTTTTATAATATCTTTTATTTTTAAGTATTAAAATATAATGTTTGTCTTTTTAAGTATTAGAATATTAATTAGTAATTGCTGCATACTTTCTATGCTTGTTTTGTATAGCTATACTTGTATTTTTTGTGCTGCGATGTGACATTTTATTATGAGAATGAGAGAGTATCTTAATTGAGTACTGAATAATATCATTATTATCCTAGTGATTAAGAAATGATAGTCATTCATGATTTCTTAAATTTTAGACCTAAATTATTACTATCTACAGCTCATTCAACTAATTAATTTGGCCTGACATATTACACAACTTTGTATATTATTTTGTAACATATTTAGGTGTCTAATAAGTGAAACAATTGTGACAAGAGAAATCCGAATTCCTTTCGCGTTTCTTACATTGAGACGCAGAACGGTACAGGACAATTAATAAATTGTTAAATTAACATTGAGAGAGGTAAATTTTTATTTACCATAAAATTATTCATATAAAATCAATTTAAGATTTTCATTGTAAAATTGCAACACTTCTCTATCGTGATACACGTTATATTCGTATATTCGTATTATCGTTATATTTGGGAGGACATAATGAGTCATTATGTCCTCCCTCGATTCCTTTAATTTAGTTTATAGTGAGAGTACTATTACGTAACTGTAACTATGAATAATATTTTTATTTTTAGAGTTTCTAGTTCTAGCTGTGCTCTTGGAATCTTGTTTATGTATTTCTATTCTTACATTTTTTTACACTTTTTTAGAATCAGGCTTATCATAATTGTGTAGTTTATAGTACTATGACATTATCTGCCTTTACACATACGCGAATTGGCTTTCACGCAGCAAATCATGTATGTGAATGTAATTTACAAAGAGAACGAATCCGTGTCTTTCAATCGTGCGTGCTACAAAAAGGCACTACTTTTTGTAATCATTAATTTATTTTATTTCTTATGACTTATCACTGCAATCACTGCACTGCACACACAATATTTATTATTATCACTGCAAAATTGCGGGCTTCTGATTGAATAATCTTATACGTGTCTATGTAAATTAAAACCCTCGGATCGAAATAAATGCAGTTTTAACAGAAACTGAAATATTCCCTCCTTTTCGCGTGTGAAAGAACGTGTTCAGTAAGGGCAGCTATTGCATGGTGGGGATTTGATAGCATGCCACCTTCTACAAGAAATATAAGCTTTGTCGATTTGGTACATTTGATATCATTTATGTATATCCGCTATAAATTGAGCATTACAGCATACATCTATTAAATTGTGGTTATTATTAGAGTTTATATAGATTAGATGGTGGTGATTTGATGTGAGGTGTATGTCCCCAGTATCGAGATCCAGCCGCGGCACGTGTACTGGTCGGAGAGCGGGAACCTAGTGTGCCTGGCGACTGACGACTCGTACTATGTACTCAAGTACAACGCCGCGGTGGTGACGCGCGCCAGGGAAAGCAACGCCAACATCACAGAGGATGGCATTGAGGATGCATTCGAGGTAAACCCACGCATATATCCTAGTGCCTTAATACCGCCTGAGCGCAACTGGCATAATGTACTTGGGGCTTTACTTAATTCATATTACTAATGGCCCATTTTATAAATACCTTATAGACTAAGATTAATATGAATGATATTGAAATTAATATGAAATATAAATTGACTGTGTGGTCACAGCACTGATGACAACAATTTTGCAACCGTAGTGCTGATACACCACCCCTTTCGGCTAGTAGTCCTCCTTCATGAAGGTGGTCAGCATTATTGCTAATAGTTTCGTTCTTTATATGTTGCTATACTTGTGGACGAGTATAAATATTGCATTGTATTGCGTAGGTGGTGGGTGAGGTGAACGAGACAGTGAAGACCGGTCTCTGGGTGGGAGACTGCTTCATCTACACGAATTCACTGAACAGGATAAACTACTATGTGGGCGGTGAGATCGTCACCATCTCACATCTCGACCACACCATGTACATACTCGGCTACGTTGCTAAGGAGAACAGGTGAGCGCGCCAACATGTGACAGACATTTACAGATTTCACTATTCCCATATCCTTCCATAAACTGTTTTTATTATTAAATCAATGGAATCAAAATATCTTTATCATGTAGGTCTATTACTGACTAATGACATATACATATTTACCGTCTGTACGCACTGATTTATTTGAAGATCTGAACAGAAGCACAGTTCTTATGCTTTTCAAATAAGCTTGTAAATTATTACAATAATATTATTGAACATAAATTTTATCTCACTAGCGACCAGATATCGCATAAATGAAAAGTTTTTAGAGAAAAAAGTATATATATACAGTCCATGTTATGCTTGTCAATGTCACTTTTATCAGCTGAAAGAATTTAAAAAAAAGAGAAAGAGAGATTGTTTAAATTCTTTCAGCTAATAAAAGTGACATTGACAAGCATAACATGTATAACATAAACATAAACATGAATAACATAGATTAAATATATGTATATATCTGTATTAAATAATACAGATATATAGATATATTACGTTTGAGTAGATATCTCTTTCTCGGCCTCAATTGTATCACTACCACAACTTACAAAGCATGCTACTGCTTTGCAAGTTGTGGTATCAAGCCTCAGAAGATGCTGTACAATTATAGCACAAGTGACTAAATAAATTTAGTCCTATACCATGGGTTCTGTTCATCTATATAGGTCACTGTTACGAAATACCTGACCACTGACATTTGAACTAATACTTGTTAGTAATAGGTGCTACAGACAGTCTTCTTTGAAATAACGAACTGGAATGCGTAGCACTACACAACGTATACAAATGTATGTGATGCCTATGAAGACATCAGAAGGCTTGTGCGTTTCTGGGGGAGCTTTGCTGGCTACTCTAGTAGTCTTGGTTTTACATGCTCTATGGCCTAAACGAAAGGCTAAATGCAATAAGGGTGTCTAACATACAATACAATAGGTCAATGCTACACTTTTCATTACGTGGCCATTTAGTTTGTTACCAATCCTGTTCAATAAAATAATAACCAAATATATTGTCATCTTGTTAAAATTTTGCAACTGTGTGTTGTGTGTAGACTGTACCTGAATGATAAGGAGCTGAACATCGTGTCGTACTCGCTGCTGCTGTCGGTGCTGGAGTACCAGACGGCGGTGATGCGCGCCGACTTCGAGACCGCAGACCGCGTACTGCCTACTATCCCACACGACCACCGCACCAGGGTTGCTCACTTCCTCGAGAAACAGGTCTCACACACACACACACAATACTACATTTTTGTTTTGCCTGAACAAATTGTATTCATATTAATGCTATTAACAGATTTTGTTAGTAATGAAGCAAGTGAAAATCGAGACATGACATGACATGACATGGTCTACCTTAGAATTATAAATATTATGAAGAATGGTGAAGGTTTCCAAGCAGTAAAATTTTTAATTTTAAATTGTGCTCTGATGGCGTGTAAATAAAGCACATCGTCTTGCGCTCCTCTACTCTCAAAAAACCGAACGTGATTTTCTTTAATAAATATATGTGTGTCGTAGGGCTTCAAACAACAAGCCCTAGCTGTATCTACCGAGCCCGAGCATCAATTCGAGCTGGCCTTAGCCCTTGGGGAACTGCAGCGCGCGAAGCAGCTGGCAGAAGAGGCCACATTAGCTGAAGGCGCTCCGTCGAGAACATCCGGAGCGCGTTGGTCTAGACTCGGGGCGGCTGCAGCAGCCGCCGCCGATACGGAACTCACCAAGGCGTGTTACCAGGCAGCTCAGGATTACAGCGCGCTCTTGCTGTTCGCTGCCAGCACTGGTGAGTCATATACCATATAGTACCATAGTTTATTTTTAAATCTCGCAGAATAAGGTCTGTTGCGGGTAAATGATACGATGTTGTTGGTTGTGACAATGCATTATATATTACAGATGATAATAGACTGACAATTTGTACATAGAAATAATGATCTTATATACTAAATAACAATAGGAAAATGTAAGGTGGGGTGACACAGTTTGGACACGGCTAGAGACTCATTACGTCAATGCTTTAAAGAATCAAATATCCTCACCGTTGCCTTACAGTACATTTATGAAAATATTATGTATACAAGGAAAACCTTAGATTGTTTCAAGAAACTTAAAGACTGTACAAGTAGAAACTTACGCAATAAAAATAAGCTAATTTTACCTAAATACCGTCTACACAAAAGTTATTAATTAATTTGATGGTAAGATTCTATAATAAACTGCCAGAATCTACGCTAAATCTGACAGTGAGGCAATTTAAAATTTAATTTAAACAAATGTTATATAAAAAAGCTGATTATAGGATACATGAATTTATAGATGATAGCAATATATAGGAAGAATAAGTTTATTTGCGAACAACAACTGCTTCTTGATATAAGATAGCGTAGCGGCTTTTGTATTGATTGCCGCATGCATCCTCATATAAAGTGCGAATACTGTAACTACCATATAGTAATTTTTAGTAGCTGTGACGTGTGGAGTGGAACGAGTAGTCATGCACACTAAAATGTCCAGACATGTGGCGGCGTGGTGGGCCGGGTCATTGGTCTCCCTAAAATATGGTCGAGTGCAGTGATGGCTGGCTCATCCGTCATACTCGTGAACGAGTGATGCTTGTAGGGACTGGTCTGCTCTTATCATTACGACTGATTTAATCTTATTGTATATTTATATTTAACCCAAAAAAATTAGTGCTGGTTGGTAGTTTGTATTCACACGTTTCGACTTGTAAATGTAAACTTACAAGCATTATTTAAAAGAGCAACACACAAGTTTCTTGCTCGTTCTTCTGTGATAAGACAGATTTCCGAACGAGTGGTAGATAAAAAACAAATTGTTATGACTATTCAGATGTGCTTAAATTAAGTTTATTTGAATAAATGATTTTCTATTATGAATGCATCTGTATACACCATAAGATTCTACCAAGAGAACATCATGATTCCAAGAATCCATCACTTAAACTCCACATAATACTTGCTAATGTCTGAATACACGTACAGTACAAAAAAATATATTTTGAAGAACTTATAACGTGAAAAAGTGGTTGCTATATTAGGTCTGTACTCAAATATATCTGCGCAGGTGACAAGCAGCTGCTGCAAGATGTGGCTCGAATGTCGGAAGCGGAGGGTGATGACAACATAGCGTTCTTGGCTTACTTCACCCTCAACGAGCTGGATGCCTGTCTCCAGCTCCTGATCAGGCGAGAAAAGCTGCCTGAAGCGGCTTTCTTTGCCAGGTAACACTAATACACATACCATATCGGGTTGATCTCTAGGCGGTTCCCCCTAAAAACAGTCGTAATAAATTCCTGCTGAATTTGCCATGGAATAACTGATCTACTTAACCCTGATTGTATCATCCTCCAATGGTACCCTGCCAGTGTAAACCGTTAACGTATACCGGTGAACTATTACATTATTATCCATTAAGAAACATTACAACATTAACTTAAATAACCCTGCGGAACTAACAGATATTCTGAAATTATGCAGATCTTTATGGGTATTAGATAACTGAAAATATTCAGTTGTAATGTTTTTCAAATAAATACATAAATGGATGTCAACACAATGTGACACTAACCAAATTTAAATAAAACACAGTTTTATATATAATTTGGAATGAGAAACATGCTATTACATATAGCCTTAGCCTATTACATAATACCCTTGATATAAAGGAATAATTGAGGAATATGGTATCATCACATATACATATCAATATAGTAACATTACAACAGAGTTATAAAGATTTCCTTTTTAATAACTATGATTCTTTTTTATATGTATCTCTTTTTGTATAATATAATAACATCTCAAGATAATTTCACACAGCCCCAAGTAGTCCCAAGCTAAGCAGAGGTTGTGTTATAAGTACTAGACAGCTGATACAAATATATATATATATATTATAAATTTATACATAATAAATAATTATACACACATATTATGTAATAAATAAGTACATTCATGAATACTAATGTTGCTATGGCACAAACAGGAACCAAAACCCACAACCTTCGGAAGTAAGTTGGTGTTCAAATCTGCTAGACCGCCAAGGCCGTATAGTTCGGTAGTAGTACAGTATCTTGAATGTTGTTCATTAAACTCTCAATTACTTACCATCAGCTAACCCGCAAGTTTGTTTGTCCCCTATGCTGTAAAACAATAATAACGTTTGTGGTGTGTTGTGTTGCAGGTCATACATTCCGTCGAAGGTATGCGAGGTGGTGGAGATGTGGCGCGAGTCGGTCGGCGCCACCAACAAGAAGTCCGGACAGTCGTTGGCGGACCCTCACAACTACGAGAACCTGTTCCCAGAGTACATGGTCAGCGTTAGATATACAATACACTACAAATTGTGTTCCAGAGAATTCAAATTAGAAATTATTAGACATTATGAGTAGGACATTTTAGCCGCTTATGAACGTCAATTTTTTATTTTAATCAACAGTTTAAGTTATATTTTTAGTGTCAGTCACGAAAGAAAGATTTTATTTATTGCTTGTAATGGGAACAAAATAATAAAACGATTTTAGAAATTCTTTTATACATAAATATAACATGAGACAACGCTGTTTGTTCAAAGGCGTGTCTTCGTTTACAGGACTCACTCGTGATGGAAAAATTTCAACGAGAGTACGGTTTCGAGCACAGTTCAAAGCTGTCCAACTTGCCCACTGATTCCAAGCAGTGCAACATAGAGCGGAAGCTCGCTGATGAGATGGCACAGGCTGTGAAAGTCGGCGCATGGAAACTGACAGTTGGCCCCGGTGAATTGAAACCATCCGGTAGCGAAAGGAAGCTGGAGAACTGCAATCAAGTAACACCAGACAGCACCAGCGATTTGAGAACGGACAACACCAGCGATAGGAGGCACAATGTGGCCGCTGACTCCACCGTCGAAGTTCCCGATTCCGCTAGCAGGTCAGTAAATTGATTGTCAATTAACATATCTCATGGTGGAATTGGTATTTGCCCGTAAGTAATTCAAAAGTCTTAATAACGACCTACCAGAATCAGTGTTATGCATGCATAAACGAAATATCTCATTTAGAAAGAATACACACTGTTCTGAGAAGATAAAAACCATCACTCCTAAGAAAATTCTTCAATTCTTTTCCCAGACGGGTCTAGGTAGCGAACATTGAAATAGAGCGAGCACAATAGATCTATGCAGCTCGCAGTGCTACAGGTCTATTCGCAGTTTTTTCTCGTTCTCTTTGTCTACATTTACATGTACATTTACTTATTCACACTTTAAATAGCGTACGTGTAAAGGCTTTCTTTGTGGTGTTATGGTAGAAAACAGATACCCGTTAATATCCAGTACCCTTGCTAATTTTACACACACAAGTATCTCATGTGGTAAAGCATTAATTAAAATGGGATAATTATATTAACTCGTAAACTTTTGAATAAAACTTCTCTTTTAACTTTTATCTTTATAATGTGGGTAAATAATCTTTAATATTTTTTTTTAAGTAAACGGAATCGCAAACAACCGATTTATCCACCTGATGATAAGGGGTAACCATATATATGTAGAGCACTACGGACATCGCGTTATCACACTCGAAATACCATTCATGCGTTGCCATTCTAGAGGATAAGATGTCATCCTGCAATTTCTGTCTAATTTGCTCTGTTTTAGTATTAGGGAACCCTAACAGAGCCTGCAAAGGAAATAATTTGCTTAGCGGCTAAAATAGGTTAGACTGAGGTACCCACACAGATAAACAATATAACTATCAGTTTAGTTGACCACGGGTTTTAATCCTGATTCGTTCAGGACAGGCTCAGGCAGGTATACATATACAATTACATATTTTGTTAGGATATTACAGGATATACATTATTTATAAACAAAGATGTCGTCCACTATTTTTTATAGGTTTTGTAATGATTTTTTAATTTCTTTTTTAATAGACCCCAGTACATTTGTTTTGCAACCCTTATTTTTAATTTTTGTTGTATGATTGATGTAAGTTGATTATAGCTTATTTTGGAAATTCCAGTTTATTTGTTAACACTGACGAGTTGCTAGCAAGAAAATTGAAGCGCAGAGATTCTATTGATATAATGGAAGAGATCGACCGTGAAATAGACGGCATCGAGCTGGACGGCAACGCCGATAGTGTGGTACGTAATGGGGCCTACCCGTCAGTTTTCTTAATAGTACAATCCTCCAATCATAAGGACAGCGTTGTCTTAAATGATCATGATGAAGACTAATACTGAAGAAGTATATATTATACGTATTATAATTATAAAATATTGGAACATATATCAAATAAAATTATCTTTAATCATGTAGGCCTATTTCAGACTCTTATATGTCAAATCCACCGTCTGTTCGAAGTGCTTTCGAGCTAAGAAGAACTGACTAGAAACTCGGCTCTTATTCTTTTCACATGAGCTTGCACATGTCACAAAAAACAGTTTCATTTTTAAATACAAATTAAATTAAATCATTAAATTGTATATTATATATTGTAGGTCTATTAATCTTATTTATTTGTTTAGTGATTTTTATAAAACGTATCCAATCTATATAATTAGTAAAGAAATTATATTTCAGAATAATATCTTAATACAATATCATCTTAGCGTCTTATGTGAAATTTTATTATGCAAAAAGAAATAATGTTTGATATTTTTTTTTCACATTACAATACATTTCTTGTATATATTTTTTCCAAAATCTCTTCATTATATTTTATTTCGATTAAAATTGTGTGTTATCAACTAAACAAGCGAAGAAGAATTTTATTTTCGACTTCGGTAGTCTAACAGACAGTGCACACTGTGCACTGCCATTCTTGCTATTAATTATTCATAAGTATGATTATTTGTAACGGGTCATATATACATATATTATGTACACATTTACAAAAAGAAATATCTCAGTCGTCGTCTGTCTCATATCTGTCGTCTAGTACCCACAACACAGGCTAAGGTAAGCCTGTGTTGTGGGTACAGACTAGTTGACGCGGTCGAAATTGTCCTGGGATATTATTATAATTATTAATTATTTATGAAATAAAACATTTTCTGCGTTCAACACATTATTTTTCCTTACATTATATCTAAAAAATAAAATTTGTTTATATTCCAATACATGAGCAAACAAAATTACATTTTTTGTCAAAGAAATTAAATTGCTTCTTAAATATATTACTTTTATTAAATAACACTTAAACTTATGTTTTATTAGTCTGGGTAAAACTGTGGTTTATTTTTTTAATTTAAGTTTTAGAGAGAAATTATTATTGTCAGTGTAGCGTCGAGTGTATGGGTATGCGCTCGCGCGTGTGTGTGTGTGTGGGGAGGGGATAGGGAGGGGGGTAGTGCCTTACACAGTGTCTGGTGCATAACACTAACTCAGGATGTTTCTTTTCCAGGACTTGTCGGATGAAGCGGATCTATTGGACTAATATATAAGTGTATTTAGATTTTTTATTTTATATATAATACTATTATATAATGTACTATTTCCTAAAGTGCTAATACAATTAAGATTAAAGTATTATACAGTTTTCTTTCAAGGTTTTGTTTCTTTTCTGATTAGATTATGTCACTGTACAAAATATAACGATGTGTGTTGTATAAATACATGACAAATAATGAATGCGCCTCATTTATTGTGTAAAATTGTGTAAAGTCGCGTGGAGGAGGCGCTAAGACAAATCGCTGACGATTAGTAAAATTTATTTTAATAAAGACGTGAAATATGTAGATGTTGTAAAGAGAAATATATTTGAATACTCCCGACACGCAATACCTCTCGACCCTCGCCTCAAATTAAATGTATATTTAATTGCTACGCCAACAATTTATAGTCTATTTTAAATTTTAAATAAATATATTTATCGTAGATATATCATATAGGTACGCTATTGTACAAGGTTTAGTATTTACCTGCATGTAGAGTGCATTAGTAAAATTTTGCAGCGTGACATTCACAAAAATGTTGCATATGTTGCATGTTATTTGTTATTGTTATCAAATAACTATTGTCTATTCCGCCTTGACAGACAGAAAAAAACATAATATATGTCAAATACTAGATTGCACGAAGTATGTAATTAGGTCATAATGACTAGGATTGATTGTAATATTTGCATGTAAATATAACGATTGAGACAACCACAAGTGCATCATGTTTTATTAAATTTTTCAACAATCAAATTAATCCAATTTTTATTTCACTTCACCTTGATCAAGCTGTGTTCATTTTTCCATCAAAACGGGTCTCATTAATCTACCGCATTAATTGATGTTACACTACTATTGTTTTCTTATACTGCACTGTCTATATCACCAAATACTGTTACTGTGCGGGAACTTTATTACCAATGGAAACTTTTTTTTATGACAACGACTTAATTATACATTTTACACAATTTTGAAAAGTAAAGACTAAATTATGATCAACACCGTTTACAAGTTTACAACAAATTGCAGTAATAATATATATATATATATAAAGTAATTATATAATAGTTATATTATCTGAAGTATTGATGCCATGCCAACTTGACGATGTTGATTGCTGTATGAAAAATTATTGTTATTATTGACATTATTTACTATAAACCCAAGGCATGGCTCTATAATATTAATTAAGATCACACTTCAATCAACACCATCTACCACAGGTACACTGTAAAAACTCGTCAAAATGGGTACCTGTCTTACCTATTTCAGACGACAGCCAGCTCGCTTTGTAAGCTGTGTTTTAAATGTAGGGTACATATTAGGGGCATGACATCTACAAATATCTACCTCTAGAATGGCAACACAGTAGAGCAGTGTCTCCCAAAGATTTATGTGACATGCCCCACCTTTTTTAAAATTCTTATACAGCCACCCATTTAAGAATTTGGGAAAAAATGGTAGGAGGAAATCACTTGGAAATTTCCAAGTGATTTCCTCATTTAAAGAAAAACAGAAAGTATATTTTAAACCATGTAATGAAAAACGTAAATTAATTGTAAAATGAAAAAATATTTTAATAAACATTTTTCAATATTTCCATCCATTTTGGAAAAAAGACTTGAAGTGTTGGATACCATAAAACGTAGGAAGTTACAGTACCTAGGACATATAATGCGTAATAAAAAATATGGTCATTTATAATTAATTATCCAAGGTAAAGGCCGCTGCCTTAGATTCTTTAGCCATGAAGTGCGGCGCCTGCCTGATCTTCGGTGGCCTTGGATTTGGGGTAGGCACCAGATCCTTGTTCAGAACAGCGGTGGACAAAATTAGAATCGCCAGGATGATCGCCAACCTCCGGTAGGAGAGGGCACCTAAAGAAGAAGAATATTAATTTAGTGACAAAATTATTAATACTATTATATAATTTGATTTCTTTCCTTAAATTTAGCTTTGCATTTAAATGACCCGAAACGATTTCAAGTCCAATTTAAATAATCCAAATTGTCCCTCTATGTGGCCTAGGGCCCACGGTGGGAAACACTGCACTAGAATGATATCACGGGTGCCACATTGTGACATCAGTAATGCTGTTTATTTATGTAGGCAACCTTACCTCTCACCAACAAATATTGTTACATAGTGTATAACATAAGTGAATGGATAAAGATAGATCATCAAGCCTTGACTGTCTTTGGAAGAGGCGTACATGGATGAGCTTAACTTAAATGAAAAAATAATTGTGTCTAAGCATATATATATATATAAATATAGCGTAAGATCTACGGTAAGGATAGATAAAATGATCCTAAACTAAGACAAATTCTGTTCAGCATTTGAATTAGTATTTGAAATAAAGCAGTTTGTAGCCGCGGTCATAGAGGTAACATAACGTAATTTTGTTGTTAGCTGCCATTTTGCTTGTTTTGGATGCTGTATTTAATTCATCAAGTGTGAGATACGGCAGTGAAATTAGGACCTCTGTTTTTTTTATTTTATTTTTATAAGATACTAATGACCCGTCGCGGCATCGCACGGACGAATTAAATTTTTTTAATTTCTCAGCTTGTTCTATAGTATAACATGCATGTATGTATTATACACATAAACCTTTCGTATCACACATTAAAAGATATAAGCGAACAGACATTACATACAATATTATATTACACCATGTCGTCACGTGACAGTTACCTACCACTTTCTATCAGGTCTGCCGATACCTTTTGTGACATTCCAGTTCATGAACTACTAAATATTACAGATTGTCAGAAGAAACAGTTCTGCTGGTTCACTTGCCACCACCATAGATGTAAATAATTTCTATACTGCACTATTAAAGATGTCAGACAAATAAGAAATTGTAAAGTCGGCATATATTACTTTATTATGATTTTTTTATACAACTGATGGAATTTTAATTGAACTTAGTTACCGCAAGCTAACAGTCCACCTGATGGCAACGGCACAAAATATACATATCCTATGGTACCTCTCATGAGTTGTTACATACTTATTGGGAAGTTTCAAAAATGATATATCGATGCAGCGGTACTTGATTTTTATTTCACTTTCAAATAACTCCACTTTAATTGCGTAACTAAATGATACACACTGCTAATAATTTGTATCATACGTCTGGTCGTCTCGGCGGCCTTGTACAAAATGTCGCCTTCCACTGGTATACTTACTCTTTGGTCGCCACCTTCTCCTTCCCATCTTTACCCTATGCGTATTGGCGGGGGCATAACAGTGGCGCTAAAAATGCTAAGTGCAATTACAAATTAAGTAAAATGAGTATTCTAAATTTTGGTATGTACTGACACGCTATCTACATTCGACTGTCAGCATTGTAATTTCAACCGTAGACTAATTTAAAAAAATGTTAGTCATCTGAGCTCTTTTCTCTATCTCCAGCTTCCTTTTCTTAACACCTCAAGGTCGTAGCGTAATTTTAGGCTTCAGGCATTGGACTGTAGAAAGTAAAAAGAATTTTCCATTCTGACTGATAGTTCCAGAGATTAGTGCGTTCAAGCAAAGAAACTCTTCGCATATATATATATAGATATATATATATATATATATATATAATTCGTTGCACGGTGTTTCCGTAAACACTTGATTAGAGCAGGTATTCTTTCAAACAGCTGAGACACATTATAGGACAAGATCAGCGCGCAGTAAGCATTATCAGCAGGGTCGCCGTCGGCGCTGTGCCACTAGTAAACTGCTGCGAGCCTGTTGCAGTTGACCGCGCGCGATCAACCTGCGCACGCGCATCCACACCTATATTGTAAGAGAGCTGGGAAACGATCCGTCGCGGCACAATACCGACGAACGTACAGTAAGTCGATATTTTATTATCGGTAATTTATTATTTAATTCTACACGTTCAACTGAATTTATATAGTAATTATATTACTTTAATTTATTATAGCAGTATTCTTGTTAGTATAAATGTTTAAAGTGAAAAATGTAATAGTAAAAAAAACTACTACTACATCCTTATTACTCTTTTTTATATGTATACCTAAATCTAAAAGTAACATAATACATAAAAAGTATAATTTATATTCAATTAAGTATATCATCAATAGCAGTCTAATCATCAATATAGGTAGGTATATTATTTCATTTTTTCTATTTGATTATTTGTTTTCTTTATTATATTTTCTCTTTAGGGACGACCATCCCCTTATAATTTATATAGTAGGATGGATAGATATCACAAAATAGATGCTTGCGTATACCTACATTTCATGTGACAGGAGAATTTAAAAAAATCAAACATTAATTTTATACCGAACTCCCACATGTCCCTAATACTCTAGATTCTAGATTATATCCTAAATTATTTGATTTTATTATCATCCTTTTATCCCTTATAACCTGACTTTGTTACTCGAAACCATCACCGTCGACGCGAACTCCTTGCCGCCATCATCCACAAACAATTTCATATTAGTAATGCAATATAAGGTCCCATTACTAATAATCTCTTGACTGACTCTTTGGTCTACCTGACTAGGTAGTCAGGTAGTATTTCTGGAAGTAGTACTTGTAGACTAGTTTCGTAAACTTCTCGAATAACCATCGTCTCTTATTCTTAGATGAATTGTCCGCAATGGGTCAATTAACGCCATTCTACACTGGCGCCATGTCTCACGATCCCCGTAGGCAATATCAATATAGTGATATTATAATACACATAAATCTACATCTATATTTCCTTAAAACATCAATTTCAATACGTAACAACCCTAAAAAGATACGAGAAAACAAGTTACACCACTGTACCGAATACCTATCAAGTTAATAACATGCAGTTGTTGAGTAAAATCGTCATATCACACACAGAATCACATGAACCGAAGCCTCCCAAGCGGAGACTTTTAACATTTTAATATATCTAGGCATCTATATTAATACGACAAGTAAATACTTTGTTATCCTCTTTACAAAATTGAGCGGACGGAGGAGTATAGCATTTCGCACATTTATGCTTTTTATAAATATTGTATTATTTTGGTATCTTTTTTCATATATCACTTTTTGACTACTTCGCTGTGGGCCCTCTTAGAAATTATACACATATACAATTATTCAATTTAATGGTCAATGTGTCCACTACAGTTATACTTATAGTTTATGTAGAGAATATTTTTTTTATAATTAAAAAAAAATATTCTCTACATAATTTATAAGTACAATATAACCATAAAAAATCTATAAATAAGCATTACACACACTAATATATATATATACTACACACGCATTTAGAATTATAGTCTGACAATAGAACATTAATAATGCTTATTCGACCATTGGGCGACCACAAGTAAATATAAATATAATGAGATCAAAATACTTCTTTAATATTGTCTATATCTGATCTGTTTCATTATTTATAATGTTAGCGCAATATTTATAACAATATGTACTTGTTGTATTTGCAAAATAAATATATGATAAATTTATGTATTTACTTTAAACTTACAAAAGCCGTTTTATGTGTAAAGACAAGGCCAGGTGTACGGTGACGGTATATTAGGTATATGTCGTATTTTAATGTATGACGGTGCCTACAGTTGGCTGCATACAACTGGTTTTCTTGAATTTTTTGGTCAACTTCCGTGTGGACTCGATCAGTTCCGCTGTTTAACAGTACCATATGCAAATATAAATTTAAATATTCCTTACTGCATCCACGAAATACTGCAATGTATTCGTGGACCCTCCGTAACTAACCATAGCTTTTAGTATCATCAGATAATAATATCTCAGGATAATTCACGCAACGGCCAGCGCCTTCTAATACCAAGCTGAGCTAAGTGTTATTTACTCTACCTGTAACTAATAATTTCTATTAAGTGAGTACCTAATAGAAATTCTTAGTTACATATTTTTTATCCACATACGCTGTATACTTAGAAAATACCCAAATGTTTTTACCGTGTGAGGCATCGAACCCGCGATCTTTGGAAACAAGGCAAAACACAGTCAATATAAACTATCAACGTAGTAAGCTAACTAACCAAGATTTCCGATGGCTGCGGAGTTGATTTCCACAACACAAACGTTGTACAAACACGTGTTGTGGAAATGTGTTTGTGCCGTGCGAGGAATCGAATCCGCGACCATCGGAAGTAAGGCGGTGTGCTAAACCGCTAGACCACCGAGACCGCCAAATGTATTAATTATCAATAATACGTCAAATCCATCGTCGAAGTCTCAGTTCAGATATTTACTGCCTTGACTAAAAATTTAAACATTAGTACCACATCATAAAATGAAATTATTGGTTTTTGAAAAATCTATAAGAGATTTTTTTATTTAATTATATTTAAAGTTTTACTACAATTAATCAGCTATTTATTATAAAAATAAATAGCCGATTAATTGTAGTAAAATTTTCCACTGGCAACACTGATTTAAGTAGTCTCGAAAAGTAAATATGACATGTAAGTATACACTTTCATCCAATCGTTAAGGTATTTAGACTATAATATGTGTATTTACATTAATAAATAAGAAATGCACGATGTATCTTTTCTTTATTAATTTAGGGGCATTTGTCCATTTTTGATATAAAATGCATATTTGATAAAAAAAGAAACTAGACAATTTAAAACAGTATTAATACCTACAACTAATTATATTATTATATCAACCTTGCTTCATACGAGGGTCCCTGACGCATTCTCTCAGTGCCAGATGAACATCGTCAATAAGACACCCGAACAGTCCCGAAAGAATATGTCTAGAACGTATTCTGTGATCTAGAATTGCTTGTATTACAACACGTGAACCATGGCATACGAAGAGACTAACTTCGAGAATAGACTATGTTCTATACCAGGTTCCTGTAGTCTATGAAATTTTACCAAAATTGTATGACCTAAGGTTGCATAATATTGTTTTGTAAAACAGAATCACCTTTCAACAATGGTATTTCCGAATTGATACAAAATTGATACCTACTAGAAAATAGCTTATTCCTTCTTAGAAAGTTAGCAACGCACTTGTAATTCGAATGGTGTTGCGGCTGCTCATGGGCAGCGGTAATCACTAACCATTAGGTGAGACGTTATAAAAATTATTTCGGAGCCTTCAGTAACAGTTTAGCTAATACGTCTGCGTTCTCGTTACCACTAATTCTGGTATACGATGGAATCCATTGCAACATCAGAGAGACCTTTTTGTTGAAGAAGGCATATTTTTTTCAATATGTCGAAAGTAATCGATATACCTTAGATTGAAGGAGCGCAGTCAACTGAATGTTGAAAGATGTTGTCCATTTATCATATACAATAGACATCTGACGTTTAATATGACGTAAGTAATGTGAAATCTCGATAGTGTCACTAGTTACCACGTTGCTCCTACCTATAGACGCAGGTTCGATGCACAATACAACATACGTTACATACATACATAAAGTTATATAGGATGGATATGTCTATTTGCATTGATTTCTGTGTATCATGTATTTATAGCAATCTTATTCTACATCAGTTTGTAAATTGTTATACATATATTGCATTAAGTAGACAGCGTCATCTACGTTACTGAACAAATGATAGAAACTTTCAAACATATATTTTTTTACATAAAATAAATACATGTTACCAATTATATCATATTGACGAATACGAATGTTTCCATCGTAGGAGGAATTAAACGCGCGACCACCGGAAGTTAGGCGGTATATTTATGCTGTTAGACCACTGATGCTGTCAAAATATACAAGTTTCAGACTGGACGGCGCTGTGGAGTATGTCCATGAGTGTATATTTATTTATTTATTCTGTGCCTCCACTTACAACGCAAGGTCTGCTGTATTTGCTGAAAATTGACCATGACTAGAAATAATCTATAGATTTGTTCATGGGTTCAAGGTGAAATGAGTGGTACCTGCAGAAGGTCAGATTCTTGATTTGTGGTACAAATATATAAATAAATCAGCTCACGGACACTGAGACAGGAACAATAATTATGGATAGATTATCTTCTAGCTCTTTGTCACTTATCTTCTACCACAACCATCTATAATGTACTGTTAGAAGATATAGATATTACTATTCTTAAATAGATTAAAAGAAGAACTCTAGTTACCCACTTACAAAGAGAGATATACAATACAGTTCGAATCTAGTCAATATTAAAAAAAACTGTGTTTAATCATTGTTATACTTTTATAAAAGTAGTCGTACGTCGTAGTACCTCTATCTCTCTATTTCAGGTGCTATGCAGTATGCTTTGTAAAATGTATTTTCGTTGATGCTGAGCTAAGGCAAAAAATATAGGTTAAGGGGCATAGTACTGTAGAGTAACAATGCATTAGAAAATAAGTATATGAAAATTTTGGCTTTACTTATGGCGTATATATTTTACTATATATACATCATTATAAAATTTTCTGCTTGTCAGAAATCTCGGTTGGATGTTGATGTATTGTCAAAAATCCAATTAGCAGTTGTAAACCATGCCTCACACGTTAATAAAGTTAGCAAACTTTACTCGTTAATTAATTCATCTGTTTTAGAATATATGCACTAGTTTTGAAGTTGTTAGTGTCGATTTTTTATAGACGTAACTGGAAAGGATAATGTAGGTTTTCTTATCATACCTACAGTATCACATTATCACGTCATCACATTAACCTGTAGTTACGGAAGACCCTGTAATTTCAATGCCAACGCTTTTCAGCTGAAAAACAGTTAACAAAGCTAACTGTGTTTCAATCGAAGCTATTATAAGGTGAGACAGTATTATTTATGCATATATTTTTACAGCTGTTGCAGTGTACAAATGTATACATTTGGGAAAATCAGATTAGGTATG